GCTTGGATATATATATATATATATACATATGTATTCCCACACACACACATTCACACACACAAACAAAACACAAAAAAGGCTCGTTGTGTGTTGTGTGTCTTGTTGTGTCTTGTGTGTTTTCCAGTGCGTTCCTGTCCACGGGAAGTTTGTCGCCGCTTTCGGCTTCCGGGGGCCCTCGCCGGGCCCCGGGACCGTCAGCAAAAACGGCCTGGGATGAGAAGTTGGTCCTGGGGAAGGGGTCGAGACCTCCGGGGGTCCACGCCGTGAAAAGGAAAGAGCCGCACTCTATACACCGACGCTTTTTCCGGCCCCGCACTGAAACTCGCACAGGAATGCGGATCCTGGCGTATATGCGGGACCATGGTGTGCACATTTGTCGTTGTCCCCCGGGGGAAAAAAATACACACCACACCACCCCGACGTCGTCCCAGACCCTCGAAAAGTCCTGGCATTGAAGGACGGCCCGTCACTGGGGGGTCTGGAGAGGGAGCGCGCCGCCCAGCGCCCGGCAGGCCCATCGTGACCCTCGACCCGCTCGACCACGCCTGCAGGTTGAGCATCATCTCGTCGACCGACTCCGGCGAGTTCATGGTCACGCTGCCCTCGGCGCCCACCATCCCGGGCATGTGCTTGGGCTGAACCGCGCGGTCAAGGTAGAAGGCCCCAGACTGGAGCTCGTCCGCAGGCGCGACGCAGAGCCAGGCGATGCCCTCCGCCCCCTCCCACGGGCTACGCAGCGGCTGAAGCAGCACCTTTGCCCTGCCGTAGGCGCTGTCAACTCCTGCGGTGTCGGTCCACCCCGGATGGCAACTGACCACCTTGACCCGTGGATGCTCCGCTGCCCAACGCTCACACAGTAGGACCTGACCCCTCTTGCTGTAGGCGTAAGCACACTGCCCGTCATACCACGTGAACCAGCTCGTGGACGTTGCCACCCCCCAGGACGGGAAAGCAAAATTGTACATCCCGCCGCTGCTCACGACGACCAGCCTTGACCCTGCGGTGCTCTCGAGCGAGGGCATCGCGAGGCTGCCGAGGAGGTAGACGCCAAAGAGCAGGTGCGTGGCAAAGGTCGCCTCCACGCCCTCACTGGTCATCGTCTTCCTGTGCAGCAGGGCGCCGGCGTTGCACACGACCCCGTCCAGGCGCGGCGGGTCGCTGGAAGCCTGCGCGGCGAACTCCCGCCAACACCGCCGCACGTCGGACTCGAGGCCCACGTCGGCCTCGAGCAGGTGCACCCTGGCCGCAGGTGACTTCGCCAGGATCTCGGCCCTGGCCGCCTCCGCGCGCCCGCGGCTCCGGCACACCATGAACACCGTGGCGCCGCGCGTCGCGAGGAACGACGCCACCTCCCTGCCGACGCCAGCGTTGGCGCCGGTGACGAGGAAGACGCGGTCGGACAGGTCGAGGTCATCGGCCAGGATGTCTGGCTCGTCGTGGAGAGCCCTGCTCGACTCCCACCCGGTCCGCGTACAGTGGCGCCTGCCGAAGCGGTAGAACTGGGCCGTGGCGACCAGCTGCCGAGGGCCAAGCATGGCACCGAGCCCCTCTCGGGCAAGGAATGCTGGCGCCAGGCGGAGGAGCAGGTTGGAGGAGGAGGAGGGGGAGGAGGAGGCGAAGGAGAAGAGGGAGAAGAGGGAGGCGGCGGAGGAGGCGGATGAAAAGGATCTGATTCAAGATCTTGTTCAGCCGAGAACACCCGCCACAGGTCAGAGCAACGGGCGCTTGCTGGCACAATACAGACTGCTCTACGCCGGAGCCCCTACTTTGGGACGGCGACCCTCCCACAAACGCGTCAGCCTATATATCATTGAGCGTCCGGAGAGGAGGAGGAGGAGGAGGAGGAGGAGGAGGAGGAACCAGGGACTTGGGATGACGTCAGTCGGCTTGGGGAGGGAGGAGGAGGAGGAGGAGGAGGAAGAGGAGGAGGAGCAGGAGCAGGGGAAGGAGGAGGAGAAGGAGGAGGAGAAGGAGAGGAGGAGAAGAAGGAGCAGGTGGAGGAGGAGAAGGAGGCGGAGGAGGCACAGGAGGAGGAGGAGGAGGAAAAGGAGGGGAAGGCACCTACCCACGGGTTTCACCGGGGCCATTGGGCGACCGTCAGTTGGCTTGGGGAGGGAGAGGAGGAGAAAGAGGAGGAGAAGGAGAAGGAGGAGGAGGAAGAGGAGGAGGAGGAGAAGAGGAGGAGGAGAAGGACGAGGAGGAGGAGGAGGAGAAGGACGAGGAGGAGGAGGAGGAGAACGAGGAGCAGGAGGAGGACGAGGACGAGGACGAGGACGAGGACGAGGACGAGGATTAGGGTGAGGATGAGGATGAGGATGAGGATGAGGGTGAGGAGGATGAGGATGAGGATGAGGATGATGATGATGATGATGATGAGATGATGATGAGATGAGAGGAGGAGGAGGGAGGAGAGGAGGAGGAGGAGGAGGAGGAGAGGAGGAAGAGGAGGAGGAGGAGGGAAGAGGAGGAGGAGGAGGAGGAGGAGGGGACGAGGAGGGGAGGGACGCCAGTGTCCCCTACCCACGTGTTTCACCGGGGCCTTGGGAGGTCGTCGGTCGGCTTGAGGAGGGGGAGGAGGAGGAGGAGGAGGAGGAGGAGAAGGGGGAGGAGGAGAGAGAGGAGGAGGAGGAGGAGGAGGAGGGGGAGGGAGGAGGAGGGAGGAGGAGGAGGAGGAGGGAGGAGGAGGCGGAGGAGGCGCAGGAGGAGGAGGAGGAGGAGGAGGAGGAGGAGGAGAAGGAGGAGGAGGAGGAGGCGCAGGAGGAGGAGGAGGAGGAGAAGGAGGCGGAGGCGTAGGCGGAGGAGGCGGAGGAGGAGAGGGAGGCCTTGCCCAAGACGCATCAACTTGGCCTTCGTGTCGCAGGACCTCCTGAGTGCGTTCAGACGCATGCGTCGCAAGGCTGAACCTACAGGGTGTTGTTCGTTTTCGTTTCGTGTTCGTTTTCCCTAGTTTTGTCTTCAATCCGCCTTTACCGCAAAACGAAGCCGAAACGAAAACGGCCCACGGGATCGCCAAAACACCGTTTAGGTCCACCCCTGATGCGTCGCAGGGCGGTGCTGCACCGCGTGCAGGAGCGCTGCCTGGAGCTGGAGGGCCCGGTGGCGCAATGGTACGGCCGCGCGACGGTGCACTTAGCTGCCGGGGGCCCGCGGGGTGTCCCACCCGGTGGAGCAGCAGGGGGGCCTCGACCAAGGATGCCCCCTCATGCCCAGCGTTCTCCAGCGTAGGACTCGCTCCGAAGCTCTGCGCCCTGCGGGACTTCCTGCGCACCCTCCTACCCCAAGCCCCCTCCCCCCTGGGGTCTGGATGAGGGAGGGGCTGGCAGTTAGAGCGTCGAATCTGAACCTATGTGGCCCAAGGAGGTCTCCAGATAGCTCACGATTACCTCTGATAGTGTTTCCAACATGGCTCTAGGAGGTCCCGAGATGGCCCAAAGTTGGCCGGAAGAGGCCACTTCCAAAGGACGACCCAAAAGTACCAAACCGTAAATCCCTCAAAGTTATTATGCTTATTGTTATCTTCTCGCAGTTCCGCGTCGGTTGAGCCTGCCCAAAGGGAGCCCCAAGAAAACCGGAAGGCATCAAAGATCACCCAAAGAGCGTCCCAAGAGAGCCCCAAACGGCGATCAGTCGGATCCAAATGGAGCCTCAATCGAGAGCGCACCCTCTCTGGGTCAATGGTTTCCAGGATAGCACCAAGAGCGCCCGAAATTCAGGACGGTTCCAAAATGCTTCGAGAGGCTCCCGAGGAACCGCATGGTCACTGGTGGGGGCTGCTCAGACTGATCTCAACTTCAGTTCTGCTCATTTCCCCCTCTTTGTTTTGCCTATGGGCCTGCATTTTCCTCGTCACGAGACAACTCGACTAAAAATCGTGCCTTGATGGTCTGGTCGATACGCGAAGCTCCACGAACTGTGACTGACCCCAACAATCGTTTGGAAACGTATCGTGTACAACGAAATTCAGATCAGGGCAGTGAGAAACGGAATTGGGGCAACGTATCCCACCTGACCGCGCGGACGATGGGGAGGACAGTGAGGACGGTGGCACGCCACACCGGTCTAGTCCCACGCGCCGCGGCACCCGAGCGGCCCGAGCGCACAGTCGGCATGACGACGAGCCGACGCGAGAGCCGGGAACGGTACGGGCATGAGGGTGTGGACGCGGACGAGACCAGGGGAACGAACACTGACATGAACATAAAAACTCTGGGCTCCGCGTGGAGTTCTCGGATCGGCGCTGGACCCCCCTCCCTGGCGCGCGGAGCGCGCCAGGGGCGGCGCAGGAGGCGCCGCCAGGGGGCCCCCGCGCGGGTCCGAGAAATCCGCGCAGACCTCCGAGTTTCCATGCATTGCCATTGCTCGCTCCCCTAGTCAAGACGAGCCGGCGCGAGAGCTGGGAACGGCACGGGCATGAGCACGCGGAATGGAATGGAATGGGGTAAGGCGGATCAGGTCCGCCTGCCGACACTGCGGCGGCACGTTAGGCTTAGTCGTCTGCGAGTGGCCACGGCAGGCCTCACGCCTAGCGCGCCTGAGCTTCCTCGCCCATTCAAGCGCAGAATCGGGCGAAACAAAACCATGCAGGCGCGCAACTTGGGCCAGGTCCAAGGCGGGGACCAGAACCCCGTACCCGTGCGCGCGCCGCCGAGAACGGGAGGGCATCCCTCGAATGCTTTCGTCACAAAGGTCCCTCCTCCTCCTCCCCCTCCTCCTCCTCCGCCTCCTCCTCCGCCTCCTCCCCCTCCTCCTCCTCCTCCCCCTCCTCCCTCCTCCCCCTCCTCCTCCTCCTCCTCCTCCTCCCCTCCTCCTCCTCCTCCTCCCCCTCCTCCCCCTCCTCCTCCCCCTCCTCCACCCCCTTGCGCGCGCCGCCGGGAATGGGCGGGCACCCCTGGCACCATCGGCCACGGAGCCCACGGGGGGCCCGCCGGCGGGCCCCGCGCGGACGAGGGGACGAGGGGCGAGGCGCGGAGCAGGCGCAGGGGTCTCGGGCGGCAGGGGGCCTCCGGCCCGCGGACGAAGAACTTGCCGAAGTAGGACTGGTCGAAGATCGCCACCCCCTCGCGCGCCGCGCGGCACTCCTCCTGGGCGGCGCGGAGGGTTCGGCGGCAACTCATGGCAGCCCAAAAGTCCACCCCCATCATGACCACCCCGACACGCGAAGTCGTGTAGTAAACGCGCCCAAAGAAGGAATAGCACAGGGGAGGGCTGTTTAGTGAACGCCCAGTGCCATTTAGTACATGCCAATTGTCTGGTCTGGGTGTTTTTTCCTCCCTTGAATCTTGTCGGCTCTTGCGAATCGACGCTAGTCGAAGCCAAATCAACGCTGATCGACGCCAAATTGATGCCAATCGACGCCAGCCGACGCTAAGTCGGCGCTACCTCGTCGAATTCCAGATGCTGATCGACGCCAATCGACGCTAAAGACGGAATGAAGAGGGTACACCAGGCTCCCATGATTTGCGACCGAGGGAGGAGGAGCAGTCGGAGCAAGCGGCGCACGCAATGCTACCGCATCACAGCGCGCCTCCCTTCTCTGTGACCCTCTCTCGTCGTCCTCCTCCTCCTCCTCCTCCTCCTCCTCCTCCTCCTCCTCTCCTCCTCCACCTCCTCCTCCTCCTCCTCCTCCTCCTCCTCCTCCTCCTCCTCATTCGTGGGCTTGTTTTCCACCACCACCACCATAAGTAGGAGGGGGAGGGGTCCTCCTCCTCCTCCTCCTCTTCTCCTTCCTCCTCCTCCTCATCCTCCACCTCTCTCCCCCTCCAACTTATGGTGGTGGTGATGGAAAACAGGCCGCCCATCACTCATCCTCCCTCCCCGGTGCTTCCCCGTCCACACCAGGGTATGACGCCTCAGGGCGTCCGCGCGACGATGGCTCGAGACAAAAACAGGCGGTCTCTCTCAGGGTGTCGCAACGCATGTCAGCGCACGGCCGAATCGCGATCGGCCGCGCCTTTGAGAATGCCGCGCCAGCAAAGCACGCAGGAAGAGGACGACGGCGGAGCGAACCAGCTGAGACCAGGACGCGGAAGCATGCCGGCAGCACACTACAGTCAAACATATGATTAAGCAAATTATGAATTAAGAAAGCTGGGTCAACTTTTCAGAAATGTCTTGAGGAAACGCTGGGCCAGCTTTTGGAGCCCGGCTTGTACACTATTCATGTCTAGGATCCAAGGCTACCAATCCCCTTAAGAAACTGAGCCAGCTTTCCGGCAAGTTGGTTACGAAACGCTGGGCCAGCTTGTCGGGGGAAGGTTTCTCAATCATAAGCGGGACCGTATTCGTGGCAACCGCATGCCGAAATGTGTTGCTACAGATTCTAGTCAAGGGGTGGACGCACATGACAAGTATGGCCATGAGCACTGCGAACGTGTTTCTCATGCTGCGAGCGCTGGTTCTTGCTTCGATGCGCCGCATGCGCACAACGCTGAGCCCTCTGGTAAATCGTAGAATCGAAAAGTACAATTGATCCTTACTCCATGGACGTCTGGCTCTTTTGGAACTGCATGAAGCCACCTCTGCTGAAACCCTGGGCCCATCACCAATAAGGAGCCATGCAGCGTCGGCACATCAAATTGAATTCGTCTTCCTTGAAATGACGCTTGGCTTCGCACTGCAAACGTGCGTGACACACCAAGCGACAGAGATGCTATCACTGCTTCATCCCCGAGCCCATGATCGCTATCGGTATGGAAGCCCATGCTGTGGAAGCCATGATCATAAGAATGCACAAGCAGTGCGTTGAACTTAGCTGATGATGCAACCTCGGCACGCGATATCAGCATAGAGCTCCACGGTTCCAGAGAATGCGCAGGAAGCACTGTAGGTGGTAAGTGCTCTCCCGCAGCGAGCGCGGCTGCAAGACGTTCTGGGTGATTGAACCGGTCGCTCACCCATGCCGACCGGCGAGGCTGCTGAGCATCGATCGCTTGAAGACCGCGATTGAAGCGGAGCACCTGCCAGCGTGCCCCACGGCACGCAGTGAAGTGATAATAGCCATGCGCTGTTCGTGATACTGCCCACGTGGTTACCCTTGCCGCCAGGGCGCCTTCAGCACGTCGCAAAAAGCCCCAAGACAGCCCTCGAGGCTTCAAGTCAACCCCAACTGCCTCCCACGAAATCCTAAGCGAGCCCGAGAGGCCCCAACAGCTCCCAACAAGGCACAGGTGCCAAAGACTTTCCAAGAAGCCCCAAAGAGGTTTCCAAGAGGTCCTCCTGGAGGCCCTTGAAAGCCCAAAACGACAAAACTGGTATAAATCAAGCGTTCAGCTCGTTCTGTATGCCACCCATTGCCCCCCAAGATAGGGAAACCGACAGATTCCGATACTGCTAATTACTCCCCGGACCACTCCCCAGGTGTGTCCTGACCAGCATTTCGAATCGAAGAAGCAATGGCGACAAGGACCTCCCAGGAGGCCCCCAAGAGCGACAATTCATCGAGGGTAGCGATAGCGGCACCTTTTCCTCCTCTGACAAGAGGCCGCTGGGGCGCTCAAGCTCCACCCTCCGCGCTCCAGGAAGAACTCAAGCGGCCCCAAGATGGCCGGACGAGAGGCCCCATGACGGCCCGGAGACGACTCCAGGACGGCGCGTCCGGAAAAATGACGGCTTCAGACTGGCCCCATTGGCCCAAGATGGCCTCAAAACGAGTCCAGGGCCCTTCCAGACGGCCACAAGACCTGCCAGATGGGCTCGAATGCCCCAGATGGCGCCGAGGCCGCCCCGGGACGGTCTGGATTCGCCGAGTGGGGCCCGAAGAGGCGTCGAGAAGAGCCCAAGAGACCCGCCAAAGAATACCCCCAGTGGCGCCCAAAAAGCAATCCAAAGGGCCCGTCCATGCGTCGATGCAGGCCCCTCCAGCAAGGACTCGCCGCGAGACCCCAGCCTGTGCACTTGCGAATAGGAGGAATGGAGGGATGCCAGGAGGGAGAAAGAAAGAAAGGAAAGAAAGAGAGAGAGAGAGAGTGAGGGAGAGGGAGGGAGAGAGAGGGTACACATATATATATATATATATATATATATATATATATAGCGAGAGAGAGAGAGAGAGGGAGAGAGAACAAAACAAACTCCGTTTGACTGATCACATGTGCCCTCGACGGTTCGCGAAACGGAATGATGCGCTGGCAAAGTGCGGGAGCATGTTGCCGCAGGCAGCTGAATGGGCTGCTTAAAGCAGATCCGCTCTTCGATGTCTCCCTTTAACGTGTCGGCCTCTGCACATGACAGCCAGTCGGGGATCCACAGCAGTGTAGTACCCCATGGCAATCGGAAGAGGTATCGCCTGCCAGCAAGAACGAGACGCTGAATCTCGCAAGGCCATTCGACCTCTGTGACTCCAGGAACAGCAGATCGGGAAGGCGGCCAGGCAGTTACGTTGCCCCTGTGTTGGAACAGTACTGCGTGACGCGCGCTGGAAACAGTCTGCAGATGAGCAGTCACATGGAACACCTCTGCAACGCCGTCATCAGTCAAGGTATCGGAGACCGACCGACGCACACCATTGCGTGGGTCTCCGTCAGCGAACAATAACGCAACAGGTGCAAGCGCAAATTTCAGCGCAGCATGCAAGCGACTTTGCTGTGCTTGTCCACCGCCATCGTCTAGCGGCAATCGCTCATACGTCAAGCCGTTCTGCATACACGCTCTAGCGATCACCCGACGACCGATCTTACTTGCCACTGAAGTCGAAGGAGAACGAACATCCAACAAAGTACGTGGCTGGTACGACTTGATGGCTTCGACCAGCTGCGCCTCAACGAGATTGTGGCCAATCGTGAACACTACCGCTGCCGGTGTCCGCCTCGACCCAGTCACCGTGCACGGGCTGATAATAGGTGATTTAGCATCGGCCACCTCTTCCAGCTCAGCGTGCACTCCTCCTCCAGGTCTGTGTGCAAATGCCGCGGCCGGTTGATGCTGCAGACTGGATTGGGGAAGTGCAGGTGCCCATCCTGCCGAGACCTCCCCCTTCTTCCCTGGCCCCCAGCGTCTCCGCCGGTCTTCCAAGTCACCGAGCTGCCGCACGCTGCCTGCAGCAGGAGTCTCATGACACTCTACTGTGCCGTGCCCCGATTCGCAAGTCATCACAATACACCGCTGCCCGAGAAACACAACTTCGCGAATTCTCAGTGGCGCGCCTCATCCGGAGCGTCAACGATGAGCAGCGGGAAGCCATCCTCCTTCCGCCTCGTCCGAGGGAGAGGCTTGGGCCAAAATAGCTAAGGGCGAGGATGAGCTGGAGGAGGGGAGCCCAAGCCCACACAGTGGGGGCCCGACCACCAGAAACCTTCCGCAAGAAACCCAACCCTGAGACCCCTGAGATGTTTGGTGTGGGAACGTCACGATTTCCACAGCAGAACCATCGAAACCCACAAAACCCAAGGCACCCTGGAGACAAGCAGGGTGTTTCTAGGCATCGGTCTCCACTGTATCTGCAGGTGCTGCCGTGGGCAGCACGCGTGCCACGGAAATCTGGGCAGGCCCGCTGCCTGCACGGCCTGCTGCGAGGCCCACAAGGGCCGCCCACCGGGGTGCCGTCCAGAGCCTGGGCTCGCGCAGGAGAGCCTCGCTGGCACACACAAACGTGCTGCACGTCTCGCCAATGCCCGCGGCGCAGGGAGGAACGCCCCATACAGACGGCCTCAGCTCGACGAAAGCTTCACCAAAACGGGAAGCACGGCCGAAAGGCTGATCCCCTGAGCCTGGCAACGGCCCGGGGGCCGACAGGATGGTCCGCTCAGGCCGCGCACTGTTCAGTATGGCGCCGTCTGCGAGCAAGTTTGGACGACCGACGAAAGGGAAAAACAAAACAAACTACTAGAAGGCGTGCAATACGGTAAGGCTGTCGACCGTTCCTGAATCGGGAAGTGATATGCCACACGTTACAAACGGACCTGACATCTGGCAGGACCCAAGAAGTTGCAATGGTTTCCCTAAAAATGCCGACGGCGGCTCTTGACGGTGACAGCGATGGTGCGAGCGGCAACGATTGCAACAGTGGCCTGAGTTGCGGGTGGCACTGGCGCAGGAGATGCAGGAGGGTGCTGCTGACGTCCTTGACGACGGGATCGGTGCCAGGCCAACCGAACGTCAGGTTGCTCTCCACGAGGTCCAAATAACGGTGCTGCTCGTTGGACTCGGAGACACAACAAACTATTCGCTCCCCTGGAAATTCATCACATGCTTCGTGCGCTCCCGTCTGAACTCGGCTTCCGACCTTTACGCTGCCTTACCTTGCTGCTCCTCCGAAAGCTCGTTTCAACGACAACGAAACCAACAATGCCGCATGTGTCCAACAGCCTGGCAGCCAACCGATTTTGCCCCCTTGCCCAACAATCTACCGACTTCACGTTCCTGGACCAATGGCAGCGCTCCAGCCCAGCGCGTATCTGCGGCTTCCCCTTCTGCACTCGCTCATGCTACAACCCGAAGCTGTTACATGATCGAACACTGGCGGATTCTGCAGCCTCCCCAGAACACGCCATTCCTTTTACTTACACGTAACTCCTCCCTGTCGCACCCCGAGGCCAGTCGGAAGGGCGGGCCGGGCGTTTCGCCTAAGACTTCCTTACCATGTATGATCCAGAAGCTTGTTAAGTGGTAACAGCTTCACAGACGGAGGGCAGGCGGCTTTCAAAATATGGTTCTCGCCTTAGCGCCGCGCACATTCGTTTCAAAAAAGAGCAAGAGGTTCACAGATCGAGGGCGAGCCGTTCTCAAAATGCGGCTCTCGCCGCAGCGCTGCGCACACTCGTCTTTAACAATTGTAAGAGGTTCACGGATTGAGGGCGGTCCCTTTTTAAAATGCGGCTCTCGCCTGAGCGCCGCGCACATTCGTTTTCAACATGTTCACGGATTCCCATGGCCAGCGTACCAAAAATAGCGTTTGGGAGCGATTCAGAACTGTCAGGGCGCAACCGTTACGTTGATTCGCGGTGTTGAAGTCCCAGGAATGGTGTCTTGGCACGACTCAAGATCATCAAGACGCGACAGTCAGATTGATTCGTGGCGTTGGAGTCCCGAGAACTGTGTTTGGGTACGCTTCAGGATCCTCAAACGGTTGTCTCCCAACGGGGCACTTCCCTCAGTGGAAACGCATCCTTGTAGGATCCTGCGAAGAGGGAGCTTGGAGGTTTATTCCAACATCGTGTCGGGGTCCTGGGTTTACACTGGTCCTCCTCCTCCTCCTCCTTCTCCTTTTCCACCTCCTCTTCCTCCTCCTCGTCCTCCTCATCATTGCTAACCCTTCCCCTCATCCTCCTCCAAGTAGTTCGCAGGGACGCCTGTCCACTGGCCGCATGTCTAGTTCGATGCCCTTGCCGCCTTGCCCCCGTCTCCTCCACTCCACCCCGAAGGCGGAGAGAGGAGGCGAGGGCGGGGATGGAGAGGCGCGGCGGCACGAGGCAAGGGGAGGGAAGAGCAGAGCGGAAGAAGAGGGGCAGGAGAGGCCGGGGTGGCGAGGGAGGGGGGAGAGGAGGGAGGGGAGGGGAGGGGGTAGAGGGGGAGAGAGGGCCATGGGCGGCGCGCGATGCTGCCCAGGGCAACTTTCACTCAGCCTGTCCCGAGAGCCCTCCCGCACGCTGCCCTGAGCAGAGTTTCGAGCCGCGCCCAACCGCAGCCACAAAGAGGGACGCCCCCAGAGCCCACGAGACGTCAAAAACCACCTTCGAGTCGCCTTCGCTGGAGGAACAGGGAACGTCCACACCACCACCATCGGGGCGGACGAAAAGGGGAAGCAGTGATTCATAGCCGAATCATAGCCGATTCCCCCAGCGCCTCTCAGCGCGGGAGACTCCGATGTAGCGAGGGAAGCGCCTGGCGGCGGGGCCGAAACCAGCTGCAAACCAGCTGCGTGCAGCAGACTTCGTAACCCCCACGTGCCCCATGCCCCCCCCCCTTCGTGCGACCCGACACCACCGCGAGGAGCCACGGAGAGCTCTGCTGGTGGTGTGGTCCCCCCGTCTGGCCGCGTCCAGTTCGGGGCATCCCCAACCTCCAGCTCGGGGAGACATCGCGGAGCTCTTCGCTGGATGCTCCCCGCTGGTGGTAGTGGTGGCGCCGCGTCTCCATCCTCCGGCGCTGGGGGTCTTCCGAAGGCCAGCATAACTGGCACAAATGCCCGAAACGCCTGATAAAAACATACCTCGATCCCCATACCTCCAAGAAGGGATAGGAGAGAGGAACTTCCTTCTCCCTCTCCTCATCCTCCTCCTGCTCCTCGCCCTCGAACCTCCTTGTCTTCTTGTTATCCTTCCTCCTCCTCCTCCTCCTCCTTCTCCTCCTCCTCCTCGTCCTCGTCCTCCTCCTCCTCCTCCTCCTCTTCCTCCTCCTCCTCCTCCTCCTCCTCCTCCTCCTTCTGCTCTTGGCATGAATGAAAAAAGTCCTGGTGCAAACGGGTCCTCGACCCCAGGGCTTTCCCTGGGACCGGCTTCTCATCCTGAGGGTTGTTTAACAAACCTTGGGCCCTGTGAGGGCCCACTGAGCCCACAAACAGTGAAACAGCTCCGAACCCAGGTTCCTCCATGCCAGCGCTGGTTAGTCTACCATGGAACTCTCGTGGGGCCCGTTTCTGACCTGATCTTCGAAGAGGAATCCAGACGTGGTGATGAGCAGGCTTGCCGACGAAACCTCGATCCTGAGGGGGCACGATTCGGGGGGGGGGACGGGCTCAGAGGGGAAAACCATCGATCTGGAATCGGCCATACATCGCCGATAGATCGGCGACATGAGGCCCTCGGACGGCCAGAAGGCCCGCGATCGAACGGCCACCTTCACCACCACCACCGTTGATGACATCATCCCCACCGTCGCCATCATCATCGTCGTCGTCCTTGCCGTCGCCCTCGGCACCAGCGCCCCCACACTCGTCGTGGTCGCTGTCGCTGACGTCGCCACCACCATCCATCGCCCGCCCGAGCCGCCCCCCCAGACCCCCGACGTCATGATTTTTTCATGACGCGACCCCCAGAGGTCCGGACCCCTTCCCCGGGACCGGCTTTTCATCCCGAGTCGTTTCTTGACGCTCCTGAGGGCCGGTGAGGGCCCCCGGAGGCCGAAAATAGCGAAAAACCTCGCGTCGTGATTTTTTCATGACTCCAGGGGGTCAGGGCCCGCCACAGAGCCCCGGACAGGCACGTCGGGCTGGCCCGGATCGCCCAGCCGCCAGGCGCCCTCGGCGTAGGCGCCGTAGTAGTCGTAGGGCCTGGGCGCCTGGTCGCCGCCGGCGGGCTCGAACCATCCTGGCGCACGGGCCGCGGGGCGCCTCCCAGGGGTTTGGGTTGGGGGCGGGGGGGGGAGACGACGAGGAGGGGGAGGCGGAGGGAGGACGACAGGGGGAGGGGGAAGAGGAGGACAGGGAGGAGCAGGGAACAGAACAGGAGGATACTGCAACGTACGAGCTCGAGAAAGAGCCGACGTTGCGATGGCCTGCGTGGACCCCAAGCAGGATGCACCTGTGTGGCGCAATATGCGTATGGCTTCCCAAGCATGGTTTCCGCTGAGCACTCTACTTGCTTCAAGTGTGTGTACGCCTGATTCTCGGCTCTCCGGAATTGTACCGAAAGATGCCTATACAATGGGCGCATGTGTGTACAGGGTTTTCGGCTCGTGGCAACCCGTGGTCGGCACTGGTGTCCGTTGGGGTGGGCGCCATTGGTGCCCTTCTGCGCCGTATCGAACATCACGGCGGATGCACCATACTGATTGCACCACACATGTTGCACCACCTGGATTGCACCTCACAGGCTGTCACAGATAGCTTCGTCACAGATAGCCTCCAACACGTTCAGATTGCCCCACATACACTGCACGCCTTGTACATAGATAATACCATGCAACGGTGGCACCACATTTTTCGCGCGTCCAGAGCACAATAAAACTTAACCGCTGATTGGGGTCAACGCTGGTTGACGCTTGCGCCGCGCCTTCGGCATGCGTGGCCCCCAGCACCAGGGGGGGCCGGAGGCCCCCGGGCCCCCAATCGCGGATTGCAGATGATCCTGGCACTCCACCAGGGTAGCGACCATGAAAAACTGCAAGCCAAAACGAAACAACACACACAAAACAGCACACAAAAAACACTCCGCCGGCCAGGTGGCATCACAGCAGCAAGAGCTACATGCGCCGCATGCGTGAATTCCTCCAGGATTCGCGAGTGGGTGACTGCGCTAGGTGAGCGAGCGCGCCCGAAAAGGCCCAGCTGAGGTGCGAGCGAAAAACACACTCACTCACTCACTCACTCACTCACTCATTCACTCACTCTCTCACACACACAAACAAAAGAAACAAAAAAAACTAGACTAAAAACAAACAAACAGCCCCGCGAATCCTGGCCGCTCGAAGCCGTGCCTGGCCTGGTGCACGCAGCCGCGGGCGACCAACTCACCGTGGATCGGGGAGCACCTGCCGCGCGTTGCCGCGCGCCGCCGAGAGGGGTCCGCGGGGGGGCTTCGTCATCATCACCATCGTCACCACCACCACCACCATCACCATCAGCATTAATTAGCATCGTCATCATCATCATCATCATCATCATCATCATCATCATCATCATCGTCATCATCATCATCATCATCATCATCATCATCATCATCATCATCATCATCATCATCATCATCATCATCATAAGTATCCACATCATCATCAGCATCAGCATCCGCATCATCATCGTCATCGTCATCGTCATCATCATCGTCATCATCAACACCAGCATCATCATATCTGGCATCGTCATCAGTATCAGCAGCATCATTGTCACCGACACCATTATCATCAATCAACATCAACATCATCACCAAACACCATCAATTTCGTGTTGACCATCAAGGACTGTGGCGTTTGAACTGCGAGTGCCGATCTCGGACTTAGGGATCTGCCTGCAGCCTGCCTGCGGGGATTGGTATCGTGGACCCACTGGCACAAAACTCATCATCTTCATCATCACCATCATCATCACCATCATCATCATCATCATCATCCTCATCAGCATCACCATCATCACCATCCTCATCACCAGCATCATCATCATCAGCATCATCATCAGCATCATCATCAGCATCATCATCATCACCAGCATCACCAGCATCATCGTCGTCACAAGTCTAATTCTCATCATCATAATCCTGCCAGTTCCCACCACCATCCTCCCCCATCCTCCACCTCGTCGCACGTATGTCATGGCCCCCTTCTCTTGATCCTTCTCCATCCTTGCCTTGTCATCCGTCCCCTTTCTTTTATCCCTTCGTTCACGCTTCCTCGAACAACGTCTGCTGCCCCTCGGTTTCCTTCCCTCCCACCCCTCTTTCTCCCTGCCTCACCCTCACCCTCCCTCCTGCCCTCCCGCTCTGCCCCCTCTTGCACTCCCTCCATGCATACACCCGCGCTCCTCCTCAAAATCCACCCCCTCCTGTTCTTCCTCACCCTTCGTACCCCTACTCACCCCATCCTCCTCCTCTTCCTTCTCCTGAAGATGATCCTCCGCATCCTCCTCTGCACCCTTCCCCCCACATGCGAGTCATGCTCATGGTCCGCTTCGGGGACCGAGGGCATTTTTAGGCCCGGCCAGCGCGAAGAGCGCCCTGAAAGGGTGAAGCCGACGCCGCAGGCTCGTAGGGCATGCACCCCAGCCATGGGCCCAGGGCGACCCCGACCAGGCTTCGAAACATCCCCTGCACGGTGGAGCCGCATTGGGCTGGGTAGGGTTGAGTATCTGGCGCTCTCTTCCAGCCTGGCTGCACGAGCATGGTGCCCCACCACCTCCGACAGCGCATCGCAGACCGAACAAGAGCCAACCGCCGACTGGGGTCTCCCCATCCACATGCACCCATTTCCCCCCTCCTCCCCTCCACCATTTCCCATAGGCGATCGGCTCAAGTTCGGGCTGCGATGCTCCGTCGGCCCGCGGGCCAGCCGCCACGCGCTTGGTTTTTGTTTGGGGGTGCGCGGGACAACGCCTTGCGACGCGCCTTCGCTGAGCCACAAGAGGGGGGTCGCTGGGGGGCCACAAGAGGGGGGTCGCTGGGGGAACGCCGGAGCAGGAACAGCAGCCGCGGCTGGAACGTGAGCTGAAGACGGGAGGGGGAACAGGGAGGGTTTCTGAAAGCATGTTTTGTTTCATTGCGTTGTCTGGAGGGGGAGCAAGGAGTGGAAGGAGGACGAGGAGTGGGGGGGGGCAGGAGGGAGGAGGAGGACGAGGAAGAGGAGGAGGCGGAGGGAGAGGGGGAAGAGCGGGAGCGGTGGGGCGAGGAGCAGCAGCAGGAGGGAGGGAGGGCCATGGATAGGGAAGCCCAGAGATACCTGATGGGCCTGTTTTCCACCACCACCACTAGAAGTTCGAGGGGGGAAGGAGGTGGAGGACGAGGAGGAGGAGGAGGAGGAGGAGGAGGAGGAGGGCGAAGAGGAGGAGGAGGAGGGCGAAGAGGAGGAGGAGGAGGAGGAGGGAGAAGAGGAGGACGAGGAGGAGGAAGAGGAGGAGGAGGAGGAGGAGGAGGAGGAGGAGGGGGAGGACCCCCTCCCCCTCCAACTTATGGTGGTGCTGGTGGTGGAAAACAAGCCCATCAATGCCAGGACCGCTACTCCACGGACCTCTCCTGGGGTGCGGTCTGCCCAGACTTGAAGGGGCAAACCCAGCCGCGGCGGCGAGGGCCTCCCAGGAGCCCCCCCCAAAAAAGCCAGCAACGAGGCAAGGCGCAGCGGTGCCGGCACCTCTCCTCAGATCTGACGCTGCGCACACGTTGCACAACACAACACAATCCCCGATCGAGCACAAAGCCTGGTCCAATACTGGACTCGGTTGGGAAGAGCTGAATTGGTTAGAATCGGTCCCAAGTTATGCACGGCCTGCCTCTGGAACGCTGCGGCCTTGCAGGCAACTTCGCATCAGCGACGTCGCCGGGGTTCCACCTGTCAGCCATTTGCACCAACTCGTTGCGCTCAGGGCGCTGCAACTTTGAGCGTAGCCTCTGCTTCTAAGTGCGCAAGTGGTCTGCCCATATACAAACAACAGGCTGGTGCTGAACAACGTATAGAAGTTTGTCTCGGACACGCCACACAAAACAATCCATTCGTCCGTGCCATGCTTCACGAAGCCGGCCATGAATATCATCATGAGTCTTGGCGTGGAAGCAAATTTCTTGAAGTCGGTAAAAGTCAAGAGAGTTGTTGTCAGGCCGAATAGGCACAGTTAGCGCGACGATGCTGTCAAAAAGGCGAACTCTCAGAGGAAGATCAAGGTGTCGGTTGGTCAGGACGGAGGGGAACTTGCGGTGCTTCGCCCACGCGCATCGAAGCTGGTTTGCAAGACTTGTCTTGGCCCTGTTCCTCAGGCTCCCCTGGCACTAATTTCCGAGATACACGTGGAAGTCTCCCTGTCTTGCGACCTCGATAACACCGCCAGCTGCATCCACGAATATTGGTCTGACACTCTGAAAAAGTCGCCATCCAGAGAGAACCAGTTGCTCTTCTTCGCATTCAGTTCCAAGCCAACTCGATGAAGTTCTTCTGCGAAAAAAAGCCTAACATCAGCGTCCATTCGTCCATGATGGTGGCATATATGATAAGGTCGTCTGCGAACCTGACATGAGTCAGCCGTCGACCAGAAAGACCGGGCTCGATCTTGATGCCGTGGTTCCTTAAGCGAGTTTACCATCTTCTCACGTCAGGTTCTCATGCAGCGTTGAAGAGCAACGGACTCAGAACGTCCCCTCGGCGAACACATTGCAACAAAATCAGAGTCGCAGCCAGAGCCCCGGACCCCACCTCTCTGCGCCATCTCTCGAGCCAGATGGATCGATCTGCGAGGGCCCCAGCCAGGCGAACACGCCCGCTGTTACAAAGTGCAGCGCCAGGGTCTGAGGGTTCTCCTCGTCGGGATGGATGATGGGCCCATTTGTCACCAACACTACTATAGGTAGGAGAGGGAGGAGAGGGAGGAGAGGGAGGAGGAGAGGGAGGAGGAGGAGGAGGAGGAGGAGGAGGAGGAGGAGGAGGAGGAGGAGGAGAGCGGAGGAGGAGGAGGAGGAGGAGGAGGAGGAGGAGGAGAGGAGAGCGGAAGGAGGAGGAGGAGGAGGAGGAGGAGGAAGCCGGAGGAGGAGGAGAGGAGAGAGGAGCGGGAGGAGGAGGAGGAGGAGGAGGAGGAGGAGGAAAAGGAGGAGGACCTCCTCCTCCTCCTCCCTTCTCCCCCGTCCCACATGCGGCAGCGGGGGGGGGGGGAAACTCGCCCCTCCGTGCAGGGGGCCGCGGAGGAGGGAGGAGCGGCGCGAGAGGAGCGCGGGCGCGCGGACCTGCTCTCTCGCGGCGGCAGCGGCGGCAGCCCCACAGGGCCACGGGGGGGGAGCCCGGCCCGCGCGCCGAGCTCTGCCGCGCAGGCCGTGCGGCCGCGGCCGGGGCGGGGCCCCTCGCGCGGCGGCCTCACGGCATGAGGTACTCCTCCTCGCGGCGTCCCGTCCCTCTCGTGTGGGGGCGCGGGCTGGAGTCATGGGGAGGGCGGGGGGCGAGGCGCTTCCAGGCGTTCCGGCAGGTTCTCGGCGGGGGGTGCGGCCGCGGGATGCCCTCCAGCAGCCGCGCCTTGCCGAGAGCGTTTTCCGGGGGTGACGGGATCGTGCCGAACGGACGCCAGAGAGCCACGTCAGGACCCGAAAACCAGAAAGCTAGGCTCACGGCTGCAGAGCCCTCCCTCCCCCCCCCCGTCCCTCCTCGACTCCTCGTCGTCGCCCTCTTGAGATCCTACGGGGACAGCAAGCGACCACAGTCACGTCGAGGACACACCCGTTGGGAATGTCTTGCGCATGCAACAAATTGTCAGATCAACAGCCACAGCTTCGTGCTGGTTGTGGTCGATGCGGCGTCCCGGGGGCGGCCAAGTCGACCACAACCACAACCAAAGTGCTCGTGGCGAAGTCGGTGGGTTCTCCCCCGAGGTGTCCTCCCGAATAGTCCACTTAGTTGTGGTTGTCGGGGATCTGCTAACCCTGGTCAATCAGACCCCGGTCAGCAGGAAATCAAACATTGCAATGCAGGAACAAAAACTGCAACGCAGGGCTTCGCAAACCCGGGTCAGCCAATGTGCCGCTTCGCGGCCACGAGCGGCTCGCTGACCCCGGGTCTAGCCATCAAGGGTCTTCGCAGGATCCTGCAGGATCCGGTGCCCTGACAGACCCCTGCTTGCATTGACCCCCGTCTCTTGAGCGCCGAGGCTGTGGTTCTCTGCTGTGCCCGGAGGTCCCGGCCCGAGCCCTCCGTGGGACGGGCACGGCCGGCCTGGGCGCGAGGGCCAGGGCGAGCTGCCGCGTGCCCGCGCGGCCCCCCGCCGAGGCTCTGGCACCAGAAGGGGGCGCAGCAGCTCCGCGGGTCTCGGCGGGAAGCGGCGGTCCAGGACGGGGCAGTCGTGCCCTGGGGCCTCGAGCACATGTACCAGCAGCACGTCCGAGCTTAGCGATGGGGCCACACCAGCGAACCAGAGGGCCCGCTCCAGCAGCGCATCCAGCAACAGCAGCGGTCCGATGCCGTGGAACGGGTGCGGCGTCCCAGGAGGTCCGCATAGGGATGAGCCCGACCAGGCCGCGCATGCGGCAGCGACACTGCGCAGGAAGGCCTTGGGGCTGTGTCTCATCGTGCCATCTGAAGGTGCCCATCTCAAGAAGGCCTCACAGGAGCCCTGGAATACCCAGAGCCCCACCCAGCCAAGCAGCTGCAGCAACAGCAGGTTAGCATTGTGATGTGTGCGGCCCCCCCTTCCTCCTGCTCCCTGCGCTGGCCTTCCCTCTCCCTCCATGCTCCCTCCTTCCTTCCTCCTCTCAAGCGAGGGGGCGACCCTCCTCCTCCTCCTACGCCTCTTCCTCCGCCTCCTCCTCCTCCTCCACTTCCTCCTCCTCCTCCTCCTCCTCCTCCTCCTCCTCCTCCTCCATCCCTTGTGGTATGCAATAAACAGCTCCTCCCTTCCGCACCCCGAGACGTGTCGGTAGGGCGGGCCGGGCGATTCGCCTGCGACTTCCTCACTGCTTAGGATGCTGAAGCTCGAACGTGCACCAGCTTCAAGGAAGGAGGGCGGGTCGTTTTTCAAAACGCGGTTTTCGCCACAGCCCCGATCGCAGTCGTCTTGAAAGCCCACGGCCGCTTCGAGGATGGAGGGCAGCTGATGTTCGAAATGTGGCGCTCGCCTCAGCGCCGCGCGCACTCGGCTGAAAGCTCACTGGAAGTTGGAGGATCGACAGCCGCTTGTTTTCAATATATGTGGCTTTCGCCGTAGCGCAGCGCACATTCGTCATTAAAAGCTGCAGCTGCTTCCAGAATGGAGAGCGGGTCCTTTTCACAACATGGTCCTCGCCTGAGCGCCGCGCACATCCGCCTTATAACATGACAGCAAAATTCAAAAACATCGTAAACTTAAACCCCCACGAACAGAATCTGGCGCGATTTGCGACTGTCTGGGCAGAACAGTCGCGTTGATTCGCGGTGTCAAAATCCCATGGTTGGTGCTACGGCGCGATTCAAGGTTGTCAGGACGCAATAGTCAAGTTGATTCGCGGCGTTGAAGTCCTAGGAATGGCTTTAAGAACAATTGAAAATTATCCGAGGAAAGTTGTCTTTCAATGGGGCTCTTCAAACACATTCCTGCAATCAACTGTGAAGAGGGAAACGTGGAGGGACGGTGTATTACTGCATCGTCCTCCTCCTCCTCCTCCTGGTCCTCCACCTCCTCCTCCTCCTGCTCTCCTCCTCCTCCTCCGAATTCTCCTAGTTCTCCTCCTCCTCATCCTCTTCCTCCCTCTTCTTGTCCTCCTCCTCCACCCACGCCTCAGTCTCCTGACCAACCACGCCCCGCCCCCTCCCCCCCTCTATGCACCAACCCCTCCTCACCCTCCTGCCTCCTCCTGCCTCCCCTGCTTTCCTTCCCCCCGTGGCTGCGCCGCGAGCCGGTTCCTCCGAGATGTACCGCATGGCCTCTGGCGGGAATGACGACGGCGGCTCGGGAGGGTAGAACATCGTCCACAGCGGCGCGGCCTCAAGGCGGCGCACAGAGAGGCAGAAGCTGCCCTGCCACCGACTCATCCTCCCCTCCTCCACCTCCACCTCCTCCTCCTCCTTCTTCTCCTCCTACCCCTCACCATCACCATCACCACCACCATCACCATCATCATCACCATCACAACCACCACCATCATCATCATCATCATCATCATCATCATCATCATCATCATCATCATCATCATCATCACCATCATCATCATCATCATCATCATCATCATCATCATTATCATCATCATCATCATCATCATCATCATCATCATCATCATCATCATCATCAGCACCGCCACCACCATCATCATCAACAGCAGTAGCATCGGCATCGACCTAGCATCGGCATCAGCATCTGTATCATCATCATCCTTCTCGTCATCATCATCAACAGCAGCATCATCATCACCACCACCACAATCATCATCATCATCATCATCAGCATCGTCATCATCATCGTCATCATCATCATTATAATCCGAATCATAATCATCAGCATCATCAGCATCATCAGCATCATCAGCATCATCAGCATCATCAACCACATCATAATCCTCGTCATCATCATCGTCATCAGCAGCATCAGCATCATCATTGTCGTCATCGTCAGCATCATCCGCATCGTCATCAGCATCCTTGTCATCATCATCATCATCGTCATCATCATCATCATCATCAACATCCTCATCACCATCATCCTGATCCTCATCATTATCGTCGTCGTCGTCGTCATCAGCAACAGAATCGTCATCACGGCCACCATCATCATCAGCAGCGTCATCAGCAGCAGCAGCAACGTCATCATCATCAGATGCAGCACCGTCATCACCGTCAACGTATGCATCAGCATCATCAGCATCGTCATCAACATCTTCACCATGGTCAGCATCATCATTGGTAGCATCAGTTACATCATCACCATCATAATCATCATCAGCATCATCAGAATCATCATCACCGTCGTCATCATCAATCTCATCGGCATCAAATCATCGTCAGCATCATCAGCATCACCGCCATATGCATCCTCGTGATAGGCATCAGCATCATCGTCATCATCAGCAGCATCATCATCAGCATCATCATCAACATCAGTATCATCATCATCAGCGTCATCATTCCCACCATCGCCAGTAGTCGTCGTAATCATTAGCAGCGTCATCATCGGCCGTATCCTAAGAATCAGGTTCAGCAGCATGGGCATCATCATCATCCTATCACCGTCGCAATCACCATCGGCATCACAATCAGATTCGCATCGATTGTATCAACCTTAGTGGTAGTAGCATCCAGGATCTCCATCATCATCATCATCATCATGAGCACCATCATCATCGCCAGCATCACCATCATCAGCATCATTATCATCATCAGCATCATCGTCATCAGTGGCATACTCAGAATTCGTTCTAACCTCATGCCCGTGAGAATAAACACTAGGGGATAATAAAGTTCGGGGTTCAGGGAGAGATAATAAAAGTAGCCCAGCAGACCTCAGCATAATCTCGAAGTAAGAGATGATCAAGAGGAGACCAAGCCGAGCACGTTTTGAGACATCCTTGGCGTTTAGTTTTCATAGAAATATCCTCAACAATGGCTTATCTCTCATGAAAATTGTTTTTTGTAAGTGCTCGTGTAGGGTAGCTCATGTGCCTCAATTTCCATGGATAATCAACCCCAGAGATAAAAACGTTCAGGCGAGCGTGGGGACAGAGAGAAATATAAAAGAAGAAGAATACAGTAGAAGAATAATAAGAAAGAAGAAGAAGAGGAGAATAAGAAGAGGACGAAGAAAGGAACAATCCAAAGTTACAAATCTATCAATTTTAATTTACAAACGCTTTATGAACATTGCTTTTTTAAGTGCTCGTGTAGGGTAGCGCATGTGCTTCATTTTCCATGGATAATCAAACCCAGGGATAAAAAAGTTCAGGCGAGCGTGAGGACATATAGAAATATAAAAGAAGAAGAGGAAAGTAGAATAATAAGAACATCGCTTGATGTTGCTATCTCAACATAGCGTTTCGAGGTGATAATGAAGTTCGGCCTCAGCGCTCGCCGCCCAATTTGAATTTTGTATAGGGCGACGATAATCAACTCTAAACACTGAAGGGGGGGGGTCCCTTTATTATCATCGGCATGCGGTTATCATCATCGCCATCGCCATCTTCATCTTCGCCATCATCGTCATCATCAGCACCAGCATTAGCATGAGTCGCACCAGCATCAGCATCATACTCATCAGCAGCATCAACATCATCAACTTTGGCATCATCACCATTATCAACACCAACAACCCCATCAGCATCACCACAAGCATCATCAACATCACAAGCATCATCGGCATCAGCACCATCAACATCATCGCCATCATCGTCAAAGTCATCATCGTCGTCGTCTTTGTCGACGTTCTCCTCATCACTACCACCATCATCGTCATCATCAGCAACTGTCAACACAGTCACAATCATCATCACCATCGTCACCATTAGCACCACCATCACCATCGTCAGTGGCATCATCACGACCGTGATCAGCATCATCATCAGCAGCAGAATCGTCATCAGAACCATGATCACCATCATAGCCAACATCACCGTAATCAGCCTCATAAACATCATCATCATCACCATCATCATCATCATCATCATCATCATCATCATCACCAGCATCAGCATCGTCATTATCAGCATCGCCAGCATCACCACCATCATCAGCGGCCGCGTCATCAAGGCCATCCCAATCACCATCGTTATCATCATCTATATCATCATAAACATAGTCATCATCATATTCGTCGAGATCATCATTCGTCCTCCACAACAACATCACCATCGTCAACATCATCACCACCACCATTTCGTTACCATTATCATCAGCACCATCAGCATTATCAGCATCCTCATCTTCCCCATAATCATCATTAGCAGCAGCAGTATCATCATCATCATCATCATCATCATCATCATCATCATCATCATCATCATCATCAAAATCATCATCATCAGCAGCATCATCAGCATCTTCAGATTCATCTTCATCCTCATCATCATCATCATCACCATCATCATCACCTTTAGCATCTTCATCACCATCATCCTGAATCAGATCCTCCTCCTCATCCTTCTCTTCCTCCTCGCTCCTCTTCCTCCTCGCTCCTCCTCCTCCTCCTCCTTCTCCTCCTCCTCCTCCCCCTCCTCCTCGTTCCCTTGCCGCCTCCTCCCCCTGCGCCACGGGAGCGAAGAAATCTCCGAGACCAGCCTCCAGTGCCCAGGAGGGCGACAGCTGCGGGACGTACAGCGCCCGCGGGTGGACCGCTGGGGGTGGCGGGCGCGACTTTTTCCCCGGCTGCTGCGGGCGGGGCGCGCGGAAAGTGCAGCACCGTTCTTCTCCTCCTCCTCCTCCTCCTCCTCCTCCTCCTCCTCCTCCTCCTGCTCCTCCTCCTCCTCCTCACGTTGATCCTGGCATTGCAGTCTTGCCCGCACTGGGCGTGTTCGCCCCATTTCTGGCCCAGAGACCCTCACAGATCGATCCGGCTCCAAAGACGACGCGGAACGATAGGGGTCGGGGGCTCCGTTGGTGATCTGTTGCGAAGTTGCATTTGTTGTTGCAACGTCGGATCTGAGGGACCGTCGCAATCCCTCCCTCACAGCTCGCTCCGCATCCCTCCCATTCCATTTCCCCTGCCCCTCCCGGACGCTCTCTCCTACTCCTCCCCCGCACCCACACACACACACACACCCTCCGTCCCCTCCCTTCCTGCACCCCGCTTCCTCACTCCTCTCCTCCCTCCTCCCTCCTCCCTCCTCCCTCCTCCCTCCTCCCTCTTCCCTCCACTTCTCTTCCCCGCTCTGTCGCTGCCTCCCTCCGCGCGGACGAGGAGCCTCGAATGACGGCGCGCAGCGCAGTGCTCTTGAGGGTATCTCGACAGAGACGGCCCACGGCGCACACGCTCAAGGGCTCCGAGAGGCGGCAGGCCGCCATCCCCGCGCCATTCCCGAGTTCGATGCGCGCTGCACGCCAAAAGCGGGAGGCCTGGGCGTGGACCGATTCGACATCCTCCCCGCAAGATTTGAGCAGGGACCGACCGTCCCGGCATTCCTATTGTCCTACCACGAATGTTCTTAGAACCCCAAAATGTTCCAAGAACAAAGACAATGCCCTTTGAACAGAAACCCGATGTGATAAAACAAGACAGTCTCATCCAGAAGTGTTCTAAGAACATTTCGTGGAAACCACACAAGGTTATGAGAACATTGTTTGCTAGGGCTACAGGCGAGCCATGGCGCTTCGCCATTGCTTGAAAGATCGCCGCGTGCTCGGGCCCTCTCAGCCCCCCGGCCGCTCCATGTCGCGACGCTCGAGCGGGACCGCAGGGCCACCCGCAGCGAGGGGGCCGCGCAGGGGGGGAGGGCGAAGGAAGCAACTCTGCCGGACGACGTTGCCGCCGCCGCCGCCGCCGACGACGACGACGACGACGACGACGAGAAGGCGGACAGACGACGCCGAGGGCGACAAGGACAAGGGCGAAAGCGTGGACGAGGAGGGGTAGGACGAGATGGATGAGGAGCAGGCACGGGGGGAGCCAGAAGACACCAGTGCCGCTGCTCCCCGCACCTCTCCACAGGGGCGCGTCCTGGCCCGGATACTTCGGGGCGACTCCGGCGGTGGCAGCGAGGGGGCCCCCAGAAAGGTGGAAAACGAGGGAAGGGCTGTGGTGTATGGGTGCTCCAGGTCTCCCAATAAGCGTGGGGGGGGTGGATCGCGTGGGGGGGTAGGAAGCCGCTGTCCTTCGGGGGGCGTGGGGAGGTTGGGGCGCGAGAGGGGGTGGGCTTGGGGCGCGTGGGGGCCGCGGGCAAGGAGCATCGGACAGGTTGGCACGGGGGGGGGGGGCTTACCGAAAGAGATGGAATACCTCCTCCTCCTCTGAGGCATGGAGCCGAACGGGGGGGGAGGGAGGCGGACGAGAGCCAGAGAGGGCGGGCGGTGGAGACCGCGGCACGTGTCGTGCTGGCCAGCGCGTCGGCCCCGGCCCGCGGAGGGCGGAGAAGGCGAAGCACGACTCCTCGAGCGGACTTACCTCGCAACAGGACCCCCAACCGACCCCCAAGATTAGGTCGTTCAAGTCCTACTTGCGGACCGCATCCCAGAAATGATTCCGAGCGCCCGAAAGAGCGTCGAGAGGGTGTCGAGAGGGTGTCGAGAGGGTGTCGAAACGGTGTCGAGCCCTCGGGCTTCGGTACCTGTGTGGGTGCTCGAAGCTCTTCCTGGTGACCAAGGCGAAGAGTAGGCTGGAGCATCATAACCCTAAGACGCCAGCCTGCGGGTGCCGGACTCTCCCGCGTGGCGCGCGCGCCACGGCAAGGCGAGCTGCAGGAGAGGGCAGGGCAGCCTCCCGCGAGGCCACCCTCAGGTTCCAACCTTGATGCGGGCCGCACGGCAGGCAGTGGGGGAGGTGTGGCAAGGCCGATGTCCAGGACGTCGCTGTGACCTGTGTTGTGCCGGTTGTCGGCCTGTGATTTGTTTTTTTGTTGTTATTGTTTTACTTGTTTTGGTGTTTCGGTTTCTTATATATATATATATGTTATTGATTTAATATCGTTTATGTTCGTCTTATGTTGTTTTGTTTTTCTTTGTTATGTTTGGTTTAGTGTTTGCTTTGTTGTCGGCCTGTGAAAACATTCCTGACAGCGCTCAGCTCGCCGCCCCTCGCCCCTCGCCCCCCCCCCTACTACTATTCGCTGGCAGACTCCGGTTCCCGAGGTGCGCTGCACCTGCCTGGTGCCTGGCACGACGAGGGAGAGGAGGAGGAGCAGGAGGAAGAGGAGGGGGCGAGGACGGAGGAGGAAGAAAGAGAGGCGACGTGAGGATCAGGCGCAAGACGAGGATGCGTTGGACGACGATCGGGAGGAGGAGGAGGAGGGGGAGGGGGATGAAGGCCGCGAGGGCGAGGATGAGGATGTATAGGACGATACAGCAGGAGAACGAAAATGAGAATTGGGAGGATGTGGATCCGGAAGAGGAAGAGATGTATGACGAGGATGGGAAGGATGAGGAGGAAGAGAATAGGGAGGATGAGGAGGAGGGACGGCGTCGTTCTGCAGCGGGCCCCCTTTTCACGCCCCAGAATGTATCATGAGAGAAGATGAGCGAACAAAGGGTTGAGCAGATCACGTGTCGAGGACCAGAGAACACTGATCCCGCAGAGGTCCACACACACAGAAAGGGGCCCTGGGACACACAAATAAATACACACTAAATTTCTCCATGTTTGTTGGACTTTTGTCTTCCCCCATTTCCCATATGTTCTCATATTTTCTATGGGATCGACGATGGATTGTGTCTGTGCGTTGTTTCCTTCCTGAGCACACACAATGTGCGGGTGCTCCCGCACCCGTGCCCACTTACCCTGGTTGCGACCAGCACATTACAACGATTAGCGCATATGTGGGCACCTACGTGCGGGAGCTATGGAAAAGAGGGGTTCTCCCGCTCACCATCCAAATTGCCGTAGACATTGGACTTCGTACTCAAAGACTGCCTGACTCAACATTGTCGGTTCGCGCATTCTTGATCTTCCGCTGCTTCGACTGCCGTGCTGAAATCATTCTGCGGCGGTTGCTGTGGCGCATCCGCGCTGGACATCTTGGGCCGCCGGGGCCCTCGATGGCGTCGGAAGCCTTGGGCGGGTTCAAGAAGCAGCGGGCGCAGCATCATGACCTGAACTATTCAATGGTAGCCCGCCTGCGCATGTAGGCTGTGTAAAGAAACGGCTGCTCCTGTTACCAATCAGGCAAACTCCGTAAACGGCCTTGTTTTTGAGGCTGCCTGAGGTCACCCATGGTGAGTTGACCGGCATGGCGTGTCGCTGGCGTAAGCAAACGGTTGCGCGCGCGGGCCCTGGCATCTTGATGCCACCATGAAATATGGCTTATTTGAAAGAAAGAAGCGGCGATGTGAGAGGATGGTGAGGAGAAGGAGGAGGAGGAGAAGCAGAAGGAGGAGGAGAAGAGAGGAGGGAGGAGAAGAGAGGACAGGGGAGAACGGGGACAGGAGCACGGAGGTGGGTGGAAAAAAAGAAGTGGGGGGGCTACCTCAGGAGAAGTAGGCCGACGAGAAGGGTGAGGAAAAGGCGGAGAAAGAGAAGGGAAGAGAGGGGGAGGAATAAGGGGTGGAAGGAGGGTGGGAGGGGGAGGAGAAGGATGGCGAGGATGACGAGGACGACGACGATCACGATCACGATCACGAAGACGAAGACGACGATGGCAATGACAATAACGATAACGATAACGACGGCGACGACGGCGACGACGACGATGACGACGACGACGACGACGACGGCGACGGCGACGGCGGCGGCGACGACATGACGACTACGATAGCGACGACGACGACGGCGAAGATCACGCCGATGACGACGACGCCTACTACGATCATGAGAGGGGCAGTCAGGCCAGCGCTCCTGTGGGCGTGGAGTGGTCGAAAGGGTCCCCACGGAGCGCGGGCTCCTCGAAATTGTTAACGCAGTACACCTTCGCGAGCGGGGGGCAGAGGGAGGGCGCTTGCAGTTCGCCGCCCTCCCCCGACTCCTCCTCCGCCTCCTCCTCCTCCGCCTCATCCGCCTCCGCCTCTTCCTCCTCCTCCTCCTCCAGTTCCACCTCCACCTCTTCCTCCTCCACCGCTTCCTCCCTTCTGCCTCCTCCTCCTCCTCATCTCTCCTCCTCCTCCTCATCATCTCTCCTCCTCCTCCTCCCTCTCCTCCTTCTCCTCCTCCTCCTCCTCCTCCTGCTCCTCCTCCTCCTCCTCCTCCTCGTCCTCGTCCTCCCTCATCCACCTCATGGTCCTTCTCGTCCTAGTGCTCCCCCGATGCCCCGCGGATGTCCCCCTTCCTTTGTATCGTTCTCGCTGCCCCCGTGCCGAGTGGCCACGGCACCGCGGTGCACGGTCATGCTGTGAAAAAAACGCGGGGGGGAAGGAGGAGCAGCAGCAGCAGCAGCAGCAGAGTCAGCATCAGGGAGGAAGAGGTGCGGGGGGGGGAGGGGAAGGAGGGGGAGGAGGAAAAAGAAGAAGGAGGGGGAGGAGAAGGGGCGGAACGGGTGCCATTCTTTGGCAGGGCAGCCCGCCGCGCGACCTCGCCGGCGCCACAACATGGGCAGGGCAGGGACTCAGAGGGGGGTGGGGGGAAGAGGAGGACAGGGAGCAGCGGGAGGAGGAGGAGGAGGAGGAGGAGGAGGCGAAGGATGAGGAGGAGAGGGGGATGAGGAGGAAGACAGGAGGAGGACGAGGAGGAGGAGGAGGAGGACGAGGAGGAGGAGGAGGAAGACGAGCAGGAGAAGGACGGGGCGATCGCGCACCATGACGTAGGTCATAGTGGTCGCGCAGGTCGCGAGCGCCATCCAATGGAAAGGGTACAAGCTGCAGTAGATCCGCGAGCACCCCAGCGGCATGGTGCTATGCCACCCGCGCCCCTGCCCCTCCTCTTCATCCTCATCCTATTCTTCATCGGCTCCTTTCCTGCACCTGCTTCCCCACCCGCTCACCTCATCCACCTTATCGTTCCACCCATCGTCCTCTTCCTCGTCGTCATCATCCGCATCACCACCACCAGCAGTAACATACGCATCAACAACGTTATCACACCATCACCACATCATCACCATGAGCATCATCATCATCATCATCATCATCATCATCATCATCATCATCATCATCATCATCATCATCATCATCATCATCATCATCATTACCAGCATCATCACCATCACGAACATCACCATCGCCATAGTCATCACCATCACCATCATTTGATCTTCCATATCATCAGATCGTCATGCCCCGCGTCATCCTCATCGCCATCGTCATCGGTATCGCAACTGCCATAACCATCATCGCCACCGACATCGCCATCATCATCCTCATCGCCACCGCGGCCGTCATCATCTTTGTCACCAACATCAACATCCTCAGGTACGTATGTGTCTATATACATATATATTTATTGTTATACCCAATCCCTCTGGTCAACTCTGATCACAGTTCTCTGACCAAACCTAGAACCTTAGGCTCGGCGGTGGACAAACCTCTCTTTAGCAAACATCCCTTTAATGAAAACGGCCTGGGACCGAAACCGACGGACCTGGACCCGCAAAAATGACGGCCGCGACGCCCTCTCGCGAACCGGAAACGGCCAATTCGCTAATCGACGTGTCAGGGTAGGAGGTCTGTCCCACCCCCGATAGGCTGCCAAAATTCCAGAAACGGGAACTGGAAAGCTGGAAACCCACCAAACCTTGCGCTGCCAGGCAGGGACCCTGGAATCGGGAACTGCTGGGAATTCCGGAACCAAAAACCTGGGAACCCAGCCGACCTTACACTGCAGAGAACCGGGAAGCCAGAACCCCAACCCACCACCGAAATTGGCCTAGAACCTAGAACCGGGAACCCGGAACCCGGGAACCCAGCCGCCCACCGAAATCGAACCCAGAACTGGGAACCCAGGGAACCCAGTCGCCTCTCGAAATCGGTCCCAGGGAATAACTCCATCCTGTCGCACCTCCAGACGTGTCGGTAGGGCGGGCAGGGCGCTTCTTAGGCTTCCTCACACTTGATGATCAAGAAGCTTTGCAACAGCTTCACGGATGGAGGGCGGGGCGTTTTCAAAATGTGGCACTCGCCTGAGCGCCGCGCACATGCTCGATTCAGTTTGTTTTCAAATATGGAGGACGGGCCGTTCCCACAGTGTGGTTCTCGACTTAGCGCCGCGCAAATTCGTCTGAAAAGTTTGCGACAGCTTCACGGATGGAGGGCGGGCGGTGTTTCTACTGTTGCTTTCGCCTTGGCGCCGCGCACATTTGGTTGGAAAGTTCGCAACACTTTCAAGGATGAGGGGCGGCTCTTTTTCATCAACACGTTTGCAGTACTTGCAAACATGAAGGGCTGCTCTTTTCCAAAATGTGGTCCTACCCTCAGAACCACGCACAATCGTTTGGAACATCCCCCACAGCTCACAGTTCTGGCAATGGTGTTCTGGCAAGATTGATGACTGTCAGGACGCACCAGTCATGCTGATTCGCGGTGCTGAAGCCCCATTAATGGTGATGTGGCAGGCTCCAAAATTGTCAGAGCGCAACAATCACGATGACTCGCGACGCTGAAGTCTGGGGAATTTTGTTTTGGCACGATTGAAGACTCTCAGACGACTGTCTTCCAATGGGGCATTCCTCACCATGAAAATAAAATCTTATAGGGCCCTATCAAGGGGGCACTTGGAGAGAGGGTTGATTGAACCATAGTTGATGAGTCTTGGGTTTACACTGTGACCCCCCTCCGCCTCCGCCTCCTCTCTTCCTCGTCCTCCTCCTCCCCCTTCTCCTACTCGTCCTCCTCGTCCTCCTCCTTCCTCCCTCCCGCGTCCCTCCCGCCCTCCCTCCCTCCCTCCCCCTACGTTTCTACGTTTCTACGTTTCTCGCTATGCAGCGTCTTGTCGCGCGCCCCGCGGGCGCGGAGCGCTCTGCAGCGGCCCTCCAGGGCCGTGCGGGCACTCAGACAGCGGCCCCGGGAACCCGACCCCGAGGAAAGCAGGGAGCCAGGGACCAAATAATCACAGAGAAGGGAGAAGGGGGGCCGGGTTTCAGCAAAACTAAAAAGATGAGGGCCCGTCTGGGCCCTCAGCGGGCGCCGCGCTCGCCCGTGCCAGCTCAGCCAGCTCGGCGCGCAGCCAGGCCTTCGGCCTCTTTGTGGGCGGTCGGCCTCTTGTGTGGCGGCTGGGCTCCCTTCGGCGCCTCGCGCTGAGCCCAGCCGCCAGATCATCAGATGGATGGCCGCCTTCTCTGCGGCGGCCTCCACCCTTCGGCGCTTAGCGCTGTGGAGGCCCGCCGAGCCTCTCTTGGACTCCGGCGGCTCTGCAGCAATCTCCTCGCCTGCCACGCGAGGGCGGTGGGGAGACACCCTTCGGCGCCAGGCGCTGTGTCTCCCTCACCGCGGGGCAGGCTGCCCCTTCTGGTCGAGTACTCCATGGCTTGTAATTCTCCATGGTGACTGACGCTGTATACTTCCAGTACTGCCTGACGTTGCAGAGCTGCTCCATGTAGAGCTTGCGCTTGTAGGGCTCCATGTAGAGCTGCGGTGCTGCCGTCGTCAGTCATGACCCCCCTGCTTTTGAGGTGCAGGGGGGTGCTGATCACGGATGTTGTAGATGTCGATGTATGGGGGCTGAGTGCAAGATGTGGAGCGAGTTGGACGGTCGTTGGGGGTCGGTTCGTTGCTGGTGTTGTGTTGGTTGTGGGCTCCCAAGGCCTCCATGCACCGACTTCAAGTGGGGGTCCTTGCTGTCCCACCTCGTCCCGCTATGGCTAGGGGTCACGGTGCCCTCGGTGGGGGCGAACCCCAGGCCTGGTACTTGTTATCGTCGGAGTGGGGTGTCTCGGCTGTCCAGCTTCGCCCTCGGGCGATCGGGTAGCTCCTCCTTCTCCATGGGAATGGTGGGGGTGGCGAGCTAGGGCGGACCGCGGGGGCGCAGGTAGTGGCCGTCCTACCCCCCCCCCCTGCCCCTCACCATCCCCGCTGGCGGGCGCGGGAAGTACTCGTCCTTCCCCCCCAGCCCTTCGAGCCCGTCTCGAAGTTTGATCCTCACCAGGACAGCGTTGACTTGGCAGGAGTTGTGTGGGGTCGTGCTGGGTATGCTGTCGATGTCGGTCGGTGGTACGCTGGCGGCCAATGGGCCGCCCGCTGCCAGCCAGCTGGCGCCATCCAAATTGTAGGTATCCAGTCGCCGCCGGGGTACACAACAAAACGTGGCGACTTGTGCCTGGGGTGTTCCCTCGCATTCGGGGCTTCCCCAGGACTTGCATTCTAACCATAGCAAAACTTGACGACGCTGCCTGAGGTCTTCCAACGCATTCGGGGCTTCCTCAGGACTTAAGCAGCACACCGTAATGCCTTGTCCAGGGCGCAAGATAATCATAGAAATAAATGCCAATGTTAGGAAAGTCGCTAAATCCAGAAAGTGCTCGAGGGGGGGGCACGCTCCGTCGCCATTGAGGGATCGTGCCCACCCGTGTGGGCGCCACGGGTCCCCCCCCCCTCGAGTGTGGCACGCAATCGTTGTCCAGGTCGCAGCCGTGCCAGTAACCCAGTAGCAACGGGGTATTGGGCCATGCAGTAGGTGCGCTGATGCTGACACGTCTGCTGCCAATCTGAAATACTCTGTATACAATATTGTAATGCCAGCTGCCCTCAAATCTGTAGCAGGCCGGTGGTCTGCGCCAAACTGCAGACCAATGTTCCCTTCAGGGGCTGAAGTATATAATACTGAACGCTTGACTCGACTAACTGCACCAAATAATGTAGCGCCGCTGCCGTGCCAGCTGCTAGCGCCGATGGTTGCCCCATGCCCTGTGACAGTCATGGCCGAGCTGCTCTGGCTCAATGTAGTAATCCAAGGGGGCGTAGAACCTGTGGTAGCATTCATCCGTCTCGGCCCACATTGCCTCTTCGTCAGCAAGCTGCCCCCAGTGGGCTGCGAAAGCGGTAGCCATTGCCTTGCACAGCCTTGATGGATACTCTTTGAGGGGGGCGGTCCTCCAGCCGCCTTGGCCGCCTCGTCCGTAAGCTCTGGCATGTCCCGTATGTCGGCATAGCTGTCCCCCAGGTACCGCCCTTAGCTCCTGTGCGAGTTCACCGAGGTGTGCCGCCATCAGACATGTTGGTTTTCTCGCAGCCTGCCCAAACTGGCACTGGTCTATGTAGTGAAGTTCGACGCCCGTCTGCTCCAGGAGCCAGAGTGTCTCTGCCCGCTGCCAGCTGCTAGGCGCTTGAGGGCACCAGGTGGCTGGGGCGGGATGCTCGAGTACGGCTGAAACGTTGTACTGCAGGCCCGTGGTGATGAGTAGTAAAGCTGTCCTGTATAGCTCGTTGGCTAGTGCGAACTGTTGATGCTCCGCTTGACTAGCTGCTTGTATGCCCCAGGGGGATTCATGTGCACGTAGTGGTCGTGGTGCATTCCCCTCGGCGGCATGCCAGCGCGATGAGCACCACGTCTCGCAGGGCGGGCCCGCCACAATACCAAATATTTTGCCCTGTCGTATCGCTGCGCACCAAAACTCGACGACGTCTGGCTTCGTCAGGTCTCCTTTGTCGGGGTCTATCTGCACGTCGATCGATAGTACTACCAAGTTACATTCCCGAATGTTCATCTCGAAATGGTACTGGAAATCCTCGATTCGACGTCTGCCCGAGAAAAGGTGCAGCAAGAACATAGCCGTAGTAACCATGGGCCTGCACGGTGAGAATACGTTTGCAGGTGGTGTCGCTGTTTGGACGTCCGCTGCTGCAGGCGGGGCCGGCGAGAGTTGGAGCTGATGCTGCTCTATGTAGTCGGCCAGCTTGAGCTGTATGACCTGTTGGGCGGGCACCAGCGCCTTTGTAGCTCCATGCCCCATTGCCTTCCTCGCCGCAACAGCTTCTCGTTCTTCTTCTCGGCGTTCGGCTGCCTCCTGCAAATCCATTGGGGCTTCGATTGCTTGGGGGACCGCCAGGCATTTGGGGCGCCTCCTCAGGTGCTTGAGCATGCGCGATCTCGTTATGAAGTTCTTCCCGCACCCAGGGCAGGTAGTCGAACGGGCAAGCAATTCGGGAAGGTCGTAGCCGATGTGTTCCATGGTGCGATGGCGCTTCCATGCTCCCCGAGTTTTTAATATCTTGCCACACTCATAGCATATGTAGCCACAGTGCTGTGCAGGCGGCAGCCCCTCGAAGTTGGGCGTGGTCATTCCAAACTCTTGCGCTAGACGGTGTAGCTGCCTTTGACATACTCGATGACGGTATATGTCGTGCTGCCATGCTTTGTACCTGAGCCACGCACGGGTGATCGTGGCTTGTGCGGCTCGCACATGCTGTGTGCGTAGCCATCGTATCAAGCCCCTGATGTCGCTGCCAATGTCCTCGTCGTCTAGTAGGAAACTTCTTATCCAGTCCAGATCTTCGACGATAAGAGCATTCCAGGCCTTCTCATCCTCCCAAAGTTCGTCGATGAGGCGGTGGAGGAAGGGCGTGTCTGCATGCGCCGTTCTGGCCAAGTACATCAGGCGCCGTCGGCGCAGGTACATATGGATCGGTACTTCGTCACACATCAAGTATATTTCGTCATCCAAGGTATGTGCATGTCCCGCGCTGTGTCGCTGTTGTCTTGCGGCGGCCCGCAGGCTCGCCATGTGTCTGCTCTGCAGCATCTGCTTCTGCTGTACTGTAAGTGGTCCCCATACTTCGCAGTCGTAGGTCAGCTTGCTTTGCGCCAGTGCCGCGAGATACAACAGCTTGGCCTTGAGGTCGATGTGCGGCAGGCGGAAGATGGACTTCAAGGGGCCCTCTGCGGATCTGTGGTCTATGATGCGTCTCATAAGGTTCGGCCCCTCCCCGCCATCACTTGTCACAATATTGCCCAATGTGAGTCCCTGGGTCGTGACCTCCGCCGTTGTAACTTCAGTGCTGGTTGGCGGCTGACCATCCTCGCGCAGCAGCGTGATGGGATTTGTCTTGAAAATCTTCGCCTTGATATGCTGTTTGGCGTGCCCATCAATATGCAGCAACGCTTTGGTCTTCTTGGGGTGTAGGTCATGCCCAAAGATCTTGAGTCTCCTTGCAATGATGGACAATACGTCGAAGATGCTGCTCTCGATTTTCGTGTTGTCGTTAAGTACGCACAGGAATGTCGCGTCGTCCATGAAGGATACTTCTGGCAGGGTCCCCTCCAGCCCTTGGAGCTGGCCTGACGTGACAATGGCTTGTTCGCCCGCCGGTGGTAGTTGTAGTAAGTACCCTCCTGAATGTAGCTCCTGCTCCAGCGGGCCCAGGGCGTGCGCGAAGCTGATGTTGAAGATGAGGTCGGCCAGGCCGTTGCCTGGGCGTGTGCCCTTGCGGCTCTCCGCGCAAAGCTCCTCTCCCCGCACTTGGAAGAATGTCGTGTCGTGTGCTTCTTCTAGCTGGAATCGCAGGTTCTCGTCTACATCGTTGAGTGCTAAGTGGCCTGGTGACGCGATCAGCTGCTGGATGGCCGGCATGAGCCATTCGGGTGGGGCGCCTCCTGCCATCACCTTTAGGAGCCAAGGCTTCTCCCCTTCCCGTCCCAGCACAAATTCTCGAATAACCGAATAAAAGGCCTGTCGTAGATCCAGCAGGATGCCAACTGCGCTGAGACGTCTCCGCCTGCAGATCCTGAAGAACGCTTTGATAGTATGGGTGGAGTACGCGCCTGACTTCTTCGGGATTCCGCCATGCTGGGTGACTCTCAGCAGGCTGCTGCAGACCCTCAACGTAGTTGCGCGGAGCCACTTGTGGTAGTGCTTGGCCACGGTGTTGTTGAGGAGGATCGACCTGTAATATTCCAGGAGGGCCCTCGTGCCGCTACCCTTGTACAGCTTCACTGCAATACCTGCTTTAAATTGGATCGGTTCTCGGCCTCGCAGTATCGTCTTCAAGACGACTGGGTACCAGTGGCGGGCCGTCTCCTCGGGTGCGAGTTTGAGGATGTCGTCCAAATTGCCGTCGGGTCCTCCTGCTCGGCCCTTCTTGCCGTCCGCAAAGCTCTCCACCAGATCGTTGAGTGTCATGTGCAGGTACTGTGAAACCTCGTCGGGTGGCGATCTGTGGGTACGGTTGACATTGTAGCGGTCCGCAAGGTCGTACCTGTCCCTGATGTCGGCTGACTCGATCTTGGCGAAGTGCTGCAGGGTGGCGCGGCTGATCTCGCCCTGGCTGCCCATGACGGTGCCGTCGGGCTGCTGCATAGTGGGCAGCGCGCTAACATATGTTGGTTTGCGGCCGCCATGGATCAGAATCTTCTTTGTCAGCTGCCACTCGGTCCTGGCGTCTCTTGCTGTTCTGCTATCCGCCAATTTGCTGCCAAGCTCGTGAAAGTACTGGTTGCGGTCGGTACTCAGCTGGTGTCTGAACATGTCCTTGGTGTGGGCGATGAAGAGCCTCGCGGCGTCATGCGCGATGCCGAGGCAGTCGGTGGTGTGGCTGAGCTGGCACGCTCCAACAAGGGCTGCCACAGAGCAATACCAGCTATCTTCCACACGGGCATAGACAGGCGCCTCGTGGCAGAGCCTCTTGCGGAAAACTTCTAGAGGTGTTGGGTCCCCGTTGTTCGTGTAGGTCCGCGTGGAGCTCTCAGCGTATCTGCGCAGCCTCAATAGGCGCATGCTGGCCTCTGAGATTGTGACGTTGCAAGGGGTAAGCGGGTCCCCTCCCTCCCCCTCCTCCTCCTCCTCATCCATCCTCCGATCCTCCTAGGGATAAGGCCTCCCCTTGAGGAGCAACGGCATGATTGGCACAGCCGCGGCATGTAGAAGTGGAAGTAGACCATGCACGCCCAGGCCAGCCTGGCGAAGCGCACGCGGAGCACACGGAGCAGGGGAAGCAGACGGGCACGGTGACACGGGGCAGACGGGCACGAGCGCACCCCCTGGACCGATCTGGCGTCGGCCGTGTCAGAAACTTGCTCGTGTCACCGACCAGCCATAACTGGGGGAGCTGTGGTCCTTACCCCCCTGGGGGAACCCATCGCATCGACGATCTCTCGAGAGGGGTGTCGAAATCGATGGGTCCCCCAGGGGGGTAAGGACCACAGCTCCCCCAGTTATGGCTAGCCTGTGTCACGCAGACGGCGCGCAGGGAGGGGCACCCCAGGAGCCATCAGCATCTGCCCTCCTCGTCTGCGGCCGGGCCACGCCCGAGGGGCTCCTGAGCTCTTCTGCGCGCGAAGGGCCCGGTGGCCACAACGGAACGGGCCCGGCTGCCCGCACCCGAGGGGGGCCCCTGCGGGCGCCGAGTGGCACGTGGTCTTGCGACTGCGCCGCCCGGTTCCCATGGGGAGGCCTCGGGATCCTCTCAACGTTCTTCTACTCTGCCCTTCTCTGCGCTGCTCTGTGCTGCACCGCCGTGGTTTCGGCTGGCACTGCACTGCACGGCATGGTACTCCTCTACGCTACTCTATATTGGCCCGTCTGATGCTGTGCTGCGTCGCGTTGCCTGCATTCCATAACAACGTGGTGCATTGAGTATAGCGTTACACCACCTGCGCTGTGCATCTGCGTTGGTCTGGTCTGCATCTGTGTGCATGGCATTGGTCCCCATTGTAAATAGTTGGTGCTGTCTTGCATCTCAAAACTTTGCCTTGCATGCGCTTTCTGCTGAGCCACGGAAGTTTGCCCTGTAGTGATGTGCTTTTTATTGAATTGTTCAGCATTGCGTTGCGTTGCTTTGCAAGGCGTTCCATTGCATTGCTTCGCATGCGTTCGGGTTTCACTGCATTGCCTTGCCTTTGCAACTCACTCCTGTGCGGTTCGCCTCGGGTTAACATAAATTGGCAACACATGGACGTCACGATGATACGATCGGAACAGAACAGAAGGAATGCTTCTGGCTCTCCCGTCGCACGCAACGGTCCTCTCGCGACCATCTTCCTCTTCAGCATCATCGTCATCATCATCATCATCATCATCATCATCACCATCATCATCATCATCATCATCATCATCATCATCATCATCAGCAGCAGCATCATCATCATCATCATCATCATCATCATCATCATCATCATCATCATCATCATCATCATCATCATCATCATCATCATCAACATCAACCTGTGATCACTCGCACTCGCATCATTGTCAGCACGTGCATTGTGTCAAACGGATGTACAATCGTACTGCCAAATGTTTGAACACCTGCGAACGCAAACGATTAAACGGGTTCCACACCCGCTCCTTGCGGGAAATCCGCCACGTGCCGCCAGCGCGCGTCAGTCAAGTCTCCAACGCCGCAATTGCTATGGCTGGACAGATGCCATGAGGCGATAGCCGCATATGAACGACAAGTGCTGCTCAAGGGGTACCGCGCGAGACGCCCAGACGCAACCCCCTGAGACGCTTAGTGTCGAGGACTAAAAAAACGACCCTACCCTGGGCTACGAGTGCGTGTTCTGTAAACCACCTCGGAACCCCCAAAGCCTAGAGAGCCGCCAGGACGCTGCATATCACGCAGGGCTTACCCTGTCAGCCCAAAGGAGTCTCAGCGCACAGCGCCTCATAAACCAGGGTAGGAGCGTTTTGTATGCACTTGATAGTGGTCGAACCCAAGTTCGTTCCACAACCCCCGCGAGATCCGTGCAGGCGATGGCATCCAAGGCACCCTGAGGGCAGCACGGTCATGGGCAAGTGCACGTCCTTGGCAGGTCCCTGGGAGTTCTTGCGTGAATCTTTCTCTCGCGAATGCCAGGCAGCGGCGTCGCGGCAGGCAGCAGTCAACAAAGGAAGCGCGGAGCAAACGCCTGTTGATATCTTGAAGGGCCTGTTTTCCACGGTCTTCCTCCCCCTCTTCTTCCTCCTCCTCCTCATACTCCACCGCCTTCCCCCCTCCAACTTGTGGTGGTGGAAAACAGGCCCATCATGTCTGGCATTACTAGAACCGTTTGACCCTGCTCGCGCGCCGTCTGTCGCAAGGCGTTCGTTCGCTCGCGCCTCGCTTTGCGATCGTGTGGATTGCTTGGCAGAGCGCTGAGTTGCATCGCATTGCTTTGCATCTTGTTGCATTGAATTTTCTTGGCAGTACACTGCTTCGCGTTGTATAAACATTGCGATGCGATGCAGTGCAATACGAATAACACCTTCGATGTGTCATGCATTGTATTGCACTGCACTGCGATGCCAAGCAATACGCGTAGATCAACACAGCTGCGATGCAGTGCATTGCACTGCCCTGAACTCGAAGGCAACGCAATGCAGTTGAAACAACTTTGGAAAGCAAAGGAAGGCGAAGCAAAGAACAACAGAGTTGCGATGTTGCCCTGCACGGCAAATCAAAACAAACCCAACCAATAACATACAATTCAAACAAGACGGCAACGCAACTCCATAATATGTAACATCGTGGTCCTTTGTGTGTCTGGCTTGAGCTCGGTATAAGCTTCAACTTGTCGTGCATCATTCATGTAGTTTAGGTTGAATCCAACTTGCATTCAGCTTGCCCCAGCACAAAAAAGAACGTAATTGGCGTCGAGCACGGTTCAACGTTCAGCAGCTTACGCAACACCTACCCACGAGGTCGAAACGTACTACCATGGTGGCGTTTCTTTTTGGGGGGGATGACGCCAGAAGCGTTGCTGAGTTCTGCGGTGGGCAGGCCACTAGGAATAAAGCTCACGGCGTCCTAAAGCTAAAGGCCAGTAGAAAAAGCTCGCAGCATGACGCCGCTATGCCGCGAGCCGTCAGACTCGCGACATACCGCCCGTGAAACGGGCTGGTTGGTGCGCAGAAATCGAGGCGGGCATGCCGGCCGCAACAGGAGATAGCGGTGGGCGCCTCCGAGGCGGACGTGACGTGGAAGACCGGGGAGCCAGCAAGAAGTGCGCCAACCAACCCCGACCCCGTGACAGGACGAGAGGGGACGAGCAGGAGAAGGCTCAGGACCGGGAGGAGAGGGGCAGTCGAGGAGCATACAACTGCATAAACATCAACTTCTGTCTGTCCGCGCGGATTTCTTGAATCTGCGCCAGACCCCACTCCCTGGCGCGCGGAGCGCGCCACTGGCGACACCGGAGGCGCCGCCGTGGGGGCCCACCGCCGATCCAAGAAATCCGTGCGGAGCGCCAAAAGCTTATGCTCATGGCGTTTTCTCTTCTTCGAAGGAGGGGGAGGCGGAGGAATGGGGGGAGAGGGGGAGAAAATGACGACGACGACGACGACGCAGCGGCGACGAGGCTGAGGGACAGCAAACGCGCGCGCTGGCAGCTCCTCGGGGATCTACTGACCCGGGTCGACGCAAACCCGGGCCAGTCAGGCCTTGCAGGATCCTGCAAGATTCCGCCAGCTCCTGCAGGCTCCTGCAGGACCCTGCAGGATCCTGCCCGGGACAGTGCAGCCCTAGCTCAACAAGCAGATGCTTGCCTGCAAGATCCGGCGGTCTGACTAGAGGCCTCGCAGATGGGGTCCGAGTGGATGGGGTCGAAGGATCGCGCCGCATCGCCCATGCATCGCCGATGTATCAGCGATGCATCGACGACGCATCGGCGACGTCGGCCATGGGCCGGCGACGTCGGCGTGGGGAAACACGGGCACCACATCGAGCCGCACCGCCGATGCCTCGGCGCTGCGGCGAGATCCTCCGAGCCCCTCTGCTCCGACGCCATCTGCGAGGCCTCGACCGACGGACCCCCGCCTGCGTTGACCCCCGCCCCTCGGGCCCCGAGCTCGGGCCGCGGGGCTGCTGCCCGGGCCCTGCCCGTCACGGGCGCCCCCCCGCGCGGGCCCGCGGCGGCGCCCCGCCCGCCGGGCGGCACGGCCAGCATCGCGAGCGCGCCCAGGGCCGGCCCCATCGCCGGTGGAAGAAGAGAAGACGGCACGCAGAGACCCCCTCGCGCGGTGTGAGAGAGCCGCGACGCCGAGCTCCTCGCTCTAGCCTCGGCCTCCGGGGGGCCCTCCCCGGTCCCAGGGGCCGTCAGGAAGCGGCTCGCGGTGGGAAGCCGGTCTCGGGGAGGGGGTCCAGACCTCTGGGGCTCGACGTTGTGAGCAAGTCGCGACGTCGGGGGTGTCTGGGAAGACGGCATGTGGCGAGGGCACTGGACAAGGAACCCATGTCGGGGGTTGGCCTGACGAGGCCGTCAGGAGAATGATGAAGCCCAGTCTGGAAGTTCTTGAAGTTGATGCGAGCCCCCACTGCAAACAACTCACGAAAACTGGACCGTCAAAATCCAGGACGGCCTCGTCAAAAAACGTCGGCATACCCAAGTTATGGCGAACTCGAAAAATACGTTCCCCCGTTCGTAGAGAAGGAATCCAGGGTCTGGAAGCCGGTCGAACTCTGGGCACGGATTGGTCATGGATAACACTGTCGCCCTCATCAGACCACGATACCTCCAGGGTCTGCAGCATCCTAGGCGCACGAACTCTCCAGGCAACCATGGGTGAACCCTACCGCTGCTGGCTAGGGTTCAGAATCCGAAAGATCTCTGCAGCCAAGTGGATCCCAGTGGGGGTGTCCAACAACCCACCGCCGACTAGACCAGGAGGGGTAGGGTTCAAAATTGGTCGCAGACTTTCGGAGCTCCGCGCGGATTTCTTGGTTCGGCGCTGGGCCCCCATCCCTGGCGCGCGGAGAGCGTTAAGGGTGCCGCCGGAGGCGCCGCGCGGAGCGCCGAAAGGTTGTATTTATGCTGTTTTTTCTTCTTCGAGCTAGGCAGGGGAATGCACCGTCCCAGCCTGCCCACTCAAAGAGGATTGGGACGGCGTAGATGCCCACGGCGGTCGACGTGAACCCGAGGGCCAGCGAGAACGAGATGGCGGTGCCGAGCAGGTGCTGCTCCGGAAGCACGTCCGACAGCAGCGCCGAATACTGGGCGGAATCTGCGATCACGGACACTCCCCAACAACCTGCGAGTGCGAATACTACAGCCAGGGGTGCAGAGCGAGAAGCGAATGGAAGAATGGCAATGGTGGTGCCAGACGTGATATGTGCAAGAATGATCAGACATCGACGACCAATGTGATTCGACACCCAGCCTCCGGCGACGGCGCCAACACCACCAGCAGCAACGACTGCAAACGTAGCAAACGGCGCAATCATATCGTCGGCTTCTTGGGCGTCATCGCTCCCGCGCGCCCTCAGGGAAGACTCGAGAAACTCGCCCATCCAAGCCCAGCCGCCGAAGAGCTCCACGTTGTGCCCCACGTAAGATAAAGTCACGAGCCACCAGTCTATCGGGGATGGACAGAACCACCTTTAGCAAAACGTGGTTTGGTGAAAACGACGCCGGGCCCAAAATCTGGCGGGCGGCGCCCTCTCGAGAACCGAAAACGGACAATTCACTAATCGACTTGTCGGGGTGGGGGTTCTGTCCGCCCCCGTGTCTAGACGCCCGATGACGAGGCGGAGATTCCTCACGGAGCATTCGGACGGGCGCGGGACGTGGGGGCCATCACACGTGTTGCAAGACAGCACGGCGGCGACGGCTGCCAGTGCGGACATGCCAAGAGTGACCACGCGCCAGTTCGAGTCTGGAAACAGCCCCTTCAACAAGGAGGGCAACGCTATCCCGACCGTGAGGCTTCCGATCACACAGCCAAGCGGTAAACCACGAGTGCTGGACGAAAAACAGCTTGAGACAAAACGCATTGTGATCGGGTAGACGAACGCCAGAGCAACTCCGTTCAAGAACCGCGCCGCGATTAGAACCGAATATGGGAACCCCATGGACAGCACAGCATTTGAAACCACGCAGCCCCAACTGCCAATGGAAAGCAACCTCGCAGTAGGTACGGAATCGGGAAGCTGAAGACACGCAGAAGTGGTGGCAGCCACTGCAAACCCCATGTTCACGGCCATGGTCAGGCCGCCACCGTGCCTTTTCGGCACGTGTTGGGCGTGTCGGAATGCCTGGTAGCTCTTGCAGCAACAAGCAACGGTGTATGGGACGCACATGGACATACTAATACTATATGTCCTCCTTGGAGGCGCGCGTCCGACCCGAACATATAGTATACCCATCTTGTAGTATATCGTTTCCCGAGCGGTGTGGCCAGAAAGCGCCCGCCACGACGCATATACTATAAGATTTCTCGGTGCGCGCGTCGCCCCTGGGGGGGCGACGCACATATAGTATTAAGTATGTTGGGGTGTTGCCGAGTGTACACGAAAAATCTCGGAGGTCCGCGCAGATCTCTGGGATCGGCGCTGGACCCTCATCCCCGGTGCGCGGAGCGCGCCACTGGCGACACCGGAGGCGCCCCGCCAGGGGGGCCCAGCGCCGATCCGAGAGATCTATCCGCGCGGACCTCCGACGGTTTTGGTGCACGCTGCTGTCTTTTCTTCGGCATCTGGCTGCTGCAGCTTCCTGAGCACCCTCGCGGCGAGGAGCCCAAGAGATCGACCCCCGCAAGACGGGCCAGGCCACCAGACGAGAGCTCCGAGACGGGCTCGAGACCCGATCGGACGGCCTGAGTTCCAGCCACAGGAGGAGGAGGAGGGGGGGGATGGGGGAGGAGGAGGGGGAGGAGGAGGAGGAGGAGGAGGAGGAGGAGGCGGAGGGATCAGGGATCAGGCCGATGCGCATCATCCGATTCGAATGAGGGCTCGATGGCACTGGCGGCAGGGCCGCGGAGGTGGCCTGGAGCAGCGGCCCCAGGCCAGAAACGGAAACGAGCCGCGTGGCCGCAGAGCCCCGCCCGAAAGGCTACAACGTGTCCTCCAAGAAGCCCCAAGACGTGCCACAGGCTCTCCGGAGGCGCAGGGGAAGAATCTCCCCACGAGGCCCTGGGAGGAGGGGAAGAGCAACAGGAAACCTCGCGGAGATTCTGGTGTGGTTGCTCCTGGCATGCTTCAGCTTGTGATGGGCTTGAGAAAGCCACTGAGAGCCCACTGAGGATCCCAAAGGACCTCAACAAGCCCCCAAGACGGCCCCAGGATGTCCCCCCCCCCCGCTCCGACCCCCCCCCCCCAAAAAAAAAAAACAAGACCGCCCCAAGAGGGCCGGAACGAGGCTAAGGACGAAGAGATGGTGGTCAAGATCCGCGCCAGTTCAGACAGGGCGCTGAACTGGGGCGGGTCTAAAGCTCATCTTCCTCCATGCTCCCCTGCGGTACTGCCACGGGGGCGGAGCTTGCCGCAGACAGCTGCATATCGAGCCATCACTTTTTGTCAACCCGTAGTCTTCGCAAATTTCACCCAGAAAAGCATTAGACGAGAACCACACGGAGTGCGAAAGAACCATGATCGAGCAAGCTCTCAGGAGTTTACACATAGCGGGAGATACAGCCCCGTGAGTCCTCCGTTCCTCGTCTTCAACTGCATCTCCCGAAGAAACCAGCGTCGTTGCAGAAGATATTCGGTCATTCGCTTGCTGTTCGTGGAACCAGCGCCGTCGGAGCTGGTAAGTTTGCCGAGTGTCAGTGCTTCCGAAAAGGCTCGGTGGAAGAGTCACACCTTGGCCGATGCCCTCAACACTGGGATCAAGATGCCGCACCGAGGCGTGGCCGTCCTGACTAGTCCGAGTCCTTCCAATCACAGTCGGCAGCGACATCACGGTCGTCATGGTGGCATGCCTGGTACTAGTACACCGAATTGCGGCAGGCACACTGATCAGATGCACTTTAAGCCAAACATCTCAATGGAAATACATTGAGCCGAAATGGTTTCGCTAATGGCCACAGCGTCCCCCATGACAGAACACGGTAGTGACCGACTCGTCCATGGCACGAAATGCGTGACATGCCAAGGCAAAGTCGGGCAAGGCTGAGCAATGATGTTACCGCAACACATCGGCAAGCAAATAGGGAGTGGGGGCCATAGAACATTGAGATGCCAGATGTAGAAATGCCTGGCAGGCAACAAAGATACAACGCATGGCATTACAACAGAAAGCATGTCCACGCAAGATACCATGAGATTGGGATGGCTGGTTCCAGAGACAACGGGAAACGCTGCTCATACCTACACCCGCGACACAGCCACGACACGATCGTGCTCTTGCTCCTAACAATGCTCATTGTGGTTCTCCTCTCAAGCACAAGGCCCTGGGCGTAGGCGCGCCAGACTCCACACCGGGCCACTGCTAGGCAGGGGGGCCTCAAAGCACAGGCAGCACAATCAAACCGCAGCCGATATCAGTGCCGGTGTTGATGCCGCAAGTGGCGCCGCTGGTGCTGGTGTCGCTGTCGCCGCCGCCATCAGCGTCGCCGATGTTGCTGCTATTGCCGTGGGATCGGAAGCTCCTGTGGAGCTTCGGGCCGTCTTCGTGCCCGTTTCGGACATAATGAAACATACATCGTCTGGCGGGTACTTTTGGAATCCTGAGTGCCCTACCCGGGACCGTCATGGGGGCGTGTCGGGGCGGTCTTGGGGCGCCTTGGGCCCCTGGTGGGGCCCGCTTGGGCTACTTTGGGACCCCGTAGTTGGGCCCTCTCGGGTCGTCTTGGGGGAGTAACCCGAGGCAAGTCTGCAACTGATCAGGGTTGCACCAGGCTGGTCTGATTCTGCGTCAGACAAATCGTCAGAGCATCTTTCGCGGCCGCAGTCTGTGACGTCCAAGCTCATTCGAAAGCGTCAGCCTGGCAGCCCCAAGCACTTGATGGCTCGGGCTGCAGGTACGTCGAAAGCGGGCACACAACGTGCAGAGCTGCATCGAGCCGTGCACACGGGTCGCTACTTCCCGAGGTCAAGGAGCACGATGCCCATCTCACCCATCAAGCGCACTATGACGCACACCAGAGCACATGCAACAGAGAATGCTGCCGTGAATACTCCACACAATCCAACGTAGCCCACGTTTGCAAACAGAGCAGTGACGATCATGAAAAATGCGTACGTCATGTAGTTCAGCACGATCTTGTGATAAACAAACCTGCAGTGCAAACCAATTCCGAGCAAGCCGAAAACCATTGGCGTCCAAAGGTCGAAGAACACGTTCGGCCTAAAGGTAAACACGTTACGCCAACCTCCGTTGCAGTCTTCCTGGAAGAAGCTGCAATCCGAGAATTTGACGTCCAGGTCCTCCACCTTCTGCACAAAATGGATGAGCCCGATGAGTAGGGTCATAACCGATGCAATGAAACAAAGGACAGAGGCGACCGTACCGGCAGAGGCAGACATGGCCTTGCTGGTTGATGGAGAGAACTCGGGATTACTGGGCAAACGGTTTCACAGCGAGCTCTTCTGGCACGCTGGCAGGGGCCGAGACCTGCGCTGACTTGAGCTCAAAGACGACGCAACACGATGACACAGTGTCACCGATGGGGAGCATTGCGCTGGATTTGAGGTTAATTATGTAGATCCTTCAATCACTCAATCGACGCAAGTCGCGGGTTTGCTGGTACCACCCGTGGATGCATTAACTATGTATGCATATCACCTAGCGTGAACGAGGGAAATCCGCCGGCCCCCTTGTGGGGCCACCAGGCTGCGAGGCGCGTGATTCGCAGTTTCCTGTACCAGTTGTAGTTTCTAGTTTCCAGTGTTACAGTTCTGCTTCTTGCTGGTTACTGTAACTAGTTGACTTCTTGCTGGTTACTGTAACTAGTTGACTGACCGCGCGAGGGGGGGGGAGGCCCAAGACTTTCCAGCGTCCCCTGGGCGCGTTGTCTGAATTACTTGGGGGGCTCGAAATCGACACCCCTCACGCAGATCCGCGGGGTCAGGGTCCAAAAACACAAGGGATTTGCCACATTTCTGAAATTCGGTGCCACCCCTCACGCAGATCCGCGGGGTCAGGGTCCAAAAACACAAGGGATTTGCCACATTTCTGAAATTCGGTGCCACCCCTCACGCAGATCCGCGGGGTCAGGGTCCAAAAACACAAGGGATTTGCCACATTTCTGAAATTCGGTGCCACCCCTCACGCAGATCCGCGGGGTCAGGGTCCAAAAACACAGGGATTTGCCACATTTCTGAAATTCGGTGCCACCCCTCACGCAGATCCGCGGGGTCAGGGTCCAAAAACACAAGGGATTTGCCACATTTCTGAAATTCGGTGCCACCCCTCACGCAGATCCGCGGGGTCAGGGTCCAAAAACACATGGGATTTGCCACATTTCTGAAATTCGGTGCCACCCCTCACGCAGATCCGCGGGGTCAGGGTCCAAAAACACATGGGATTTGCCACATTTCTGAAATTCGGTGCCACCCCTCACGCAGATCCGCGGGGTCAGGGTCCAAAAACACAGGGGATTTGCCACATTTCTGAAATTCGGTGCCACCCCTCACGCAGATCCGCGGGGTCAGGGTCCAAAAACACAGGGGATTTGCCACATTTCTGAAATTCGAACCCATCACGCACATCCATCGCAAGGCGTGGTAACCCAAACTGCGAGAACTCCCTCGGCCCTTTCATCGCAAGGTGTGGTAACCAAGCCCTTAAACCATACACGTCTTACCAATCGCCAGGTGTGGTAACCCCTCTTGTGATCAGTTGGTTTTGCTGATTGCGACTCGGCTTCGCATGAAGTTTCGATACTGCTTCACGACAGCGCCAAGGCCTCATGACTTAGCTCTTCCATGGCCCATTCTCCGAGAGAAGGGGCCGGCGGCAGGGGGCGAAGCCCTTACGGTATATAGGATGACTCCCAACGCTGAGATTCAGACGCTTCGCGACGTACAAAGTGCAGTGCGCAACGACTCAGCCGATGGAAAGCCTCAAGCTGCACTAAAGTAAACCATGGTTGTGTGTTGGGGCTCGGAAAAATGTGCTGAGCTTCACAGCGCGCGTACGCCAACCTGTCCGTCTTACCTGAACTGCTGCTTGTGTACGCAGTACAGACATGGCGACACAAAAGATAAACGAATAATACAGCAGTGGGTGGCGCACCGAGGTATGTGTGCGATAGCGGTAGATGTGACAAACGACTCGACTGCGGGCAACGACTTCTGCGAGTAACCGGGGGGAAAACGAAAGGACTTGGCAGTGGCTAACGAACTAGTATAAGGTAGCCGTGGGAAGTCTAGGGGCTGACGTGAAGCATTTGATCATCACAAAGCCTGTATGCCTATACGAAAGAATCGAATGATGCACAACTCTGCCACGATGAAACTACGAACTCGACAAAAAGTGGCTACGAGGTCGCCGGTACGGAAGCTGTCAGGCAACAGAAACATAGCAATGGAGCAGCAGCGAGACAGCAAAGCACTGACGTGGTCATGAGATAGCAACGGCGCCGCTGTGATGCAACCGCGTCAATAAGAATCAGTGGTCGCCCAGGCCTAGCACTCGCCCACGAGCCTAGCCAGGGCCACTGCGCATCAGGCATTCCCTCTTAGGCTCTCCTCCTCCTCCTCCTCCTCGTTCTCCACCTCCTCTTCCTCCTCCTCCTTTTTCCCCTCCTCCTCCTCCACCACCTCTTCCTCCTTCTCCTCCTTCTCCTCCTCCTCCTCCTTTTTCTCTTTCTCCTCCTTCTCCTCCACCTCCAACTCCAACTCCAACTGCTCCTCCTCCTCCTCCTCCTCCTCCTCCTGTCTCCTCCTCGTCAGGCGAGGCAGCGCAGCGCGGAGGGGTGCGACGGAAGCGGCGAGGCAAGGCAGCGAGGCAGAGGCGCTCCACGGCGACGACGGGGACGAAGAGCACGAGGAGGACGAGGATCGGCGGCGCGCCCGGGGGGGGGGGGGAAGTGAGGAAGGGGGCGGGCCTTCTCAGAAGGGGCCCCAGGACACACAAATCAATACCACAAACAAAAGGACTCCCCCTAGTTTCCCCAGATTTTCTGGGTTTCTGCCTTCCCCCCCACTTCCCGTATGTTCCCGTACTTTCTGGGGAATCGACGATTCATTGTGTCTGTGTGTTTTTCCCCTCCTGACTTCTCAGAAGGCTCGGAAGCCTCCCGGCCTTATGAGGTTTGTCCTCAGCCCTCCCAAGAAACCCATAAAAGCTTCTAGGGAGGCCGGAGGGCTTCCGAGAACCCCCGCCGCCTTCCGAGAAGGCCTTCTCCTTCCCCCATTCCTCCCCCCAGGCGCGCCGCCGAGAAGAGGGGGGAGCAGGGCAGGGCAACGGGAGGAGGCGGGGATGAGCAAGACAAGGGCTGGGCGACAGAGGCAAGGCATGCGGCACGCAACTGCAAAGACGAAGGGTGGCAAGACAGAGCGCGAGGCAATGCCAAAGAAATGCACGCAAACGTGGTCAGGGCGGACGGCACCGAGGCGCAGCAGAGCAACCGAGGCGCAGCAGAGCAACGCACGGCAGTGCATGACGAGCTAAAAACGAGTGGCGATGCAAGGCAAGTCGGGGCAACACAGAGCATTCAGTCCAACGGGGGGACACATCAACATGAGGCACGGTAAAACAAGCCAACGTAGACCAAGTCTAAGCATGCACGTGAGCAGGGTTGCACCGGGCTGGTCTGATTCTGCGTCAGACAAGTCGTCAGAGCATCTTTCGCGGCCGCAGTCTGTGACGTCCAAGCTCATTCGAAAGCGTCAGCCTGGCAGCCCCAAGCACTTGATGGCTCGGGCTGCAGGTACGTCGAAAGCGGGCACACAACGTGCAGAGCTGCATCGAGCCGTGCACACGGGTCGCTACTTCCCGAGGTCAAGGAGCACGATGCCCATCTCACCCATCAAGCGCACTATGACGCACACCAGAGCACATGCAACAGAGAATGCTGCCGTGAACACTCCACACAATCCAACGTAGCCCACGTTTGCAAACAGAGCAGTGACGATCATGAAAAATGCGTACGTCATGTAGTTCAGCACGATCTTGTGATAAACAAACCTGCAGTGCAAACCAATTCCGAGCAAGCCGAAAACCATTGGCGTCCAAAGGTCGAAGAACACGTTCGGCCTAAAGGTAAACACGTTACGCCAACCTCCGTTGCAGTCTTCCTGGAAGAAGCTGCAATCCGAGAATTTGACGTCCAGGTCCTCCACCTTCTGCACAAAATGGATGAGCCCGATGAGTAGGGTCATAACCGATGCAATGAAACAAAGGACAGAGGCGACCGTACCGGCAGAGGCAGACATGGCCTTGCTGGTTGATGGAGAGAGCTCGGGATTACTGGGCAAACGGTGTCACAGCGAGCTCTTCTGGCACGCTGGCAGGGGCCGAGTCCTGCGCTGACTTGAGCGCAAGGGCGACGCAATACCATGAGACAGTGTCACCGATGGGAATCATGGCGCTAGATTCGAGGCGACTTATTCGACGGAAGTCGCGGGCTTGCTGGCAACACCTGTGCATGGTCAGAGTCAGCAGAACCGCGCGCATTGCCGAGGGCAATATCGCTGCAGAACCCGACCTTGAAGATTCTGACAGTTCTAGAGCAGGACGCATGACATGCAAGGCGCAACGAGCCAGCCCATGGCAAGCCTCAAGCCCCAAGCTGCACTAGGCAATGTCTGCGTTTAGGGTTAGGTAAGCTGCGCTGAGATCCATCGTGCTGCATACGCGCCTGTACGTCGTACCTGCACTACAGCTCACGTGCACCACACGAGAAGGATTGGTCCGCAAATAAAGCATTACGCAATACACATGCAAAAGCAGGGCAACGGGTAACACACCCAGGTCTACATGATACAGGAGTGGCCTAGGGGCGAAAGTAAAACAATGTACTATCAGACATTATGGATGACTCTACACATAATCAGACATGTGGAAGCTCTAGTATGATGAAGCCAAGGGTAATAGCGAAGCAGCCAAGCAACGATGTGGTCGCGAGATGGCAATGGCGCTGCTGTGACGCAGCCGCGTCAAATATATAGTGACCGCTCAGGCCCATCACACGCACACGAGCCTGTAGGTTCAGCAATCTTCGGACACGCCCAAGGAGCCTCTAGCGATGCCCTCACATTCTCAGGAAGTTCTTTGCCTTTTGCTTCAAACATGTTTCGGCTTCATACCGTATCGTGAGCGCTTCACGGAGCCCCTCAAGCCCCCAACAAAGTCCCCAGACTGTAGACATGGCCCAAGACCGCCCCAAGAAAGCTCCAAGACTGCTGCAAGACAAGCTCAGACGGAAACAATGCTGTTCAACCGCGGCTCGTGGAGAGAGTTCGGTAAGACAGTCGCACCCAAGACGGCCCCCGAAACCTCAACAGGCCCCAAAGAAGAGTGGGCCCCGCAGAGGCCAGACTAAGCCCCAAAAAAGCATCCATGAAACCTTCGAGAAATCCCCCGAACGCAACAGAACAACAATGTAAACATACGCTTCCGCCATGCTACATCATCGTAGAGCCGGCTCCTACACGGCAACCAAACGACTGTACGTACCGAGCCTGCGCGGAGACTTCAGAACTGTAGAGTTTTCATGCTGCGCTGGCACGGTGGCAGGGTGTACCATAGGCAGCTGGATATTTCCTGCAGTCCTGCTACCCCTTACACTGTTCATTCTCTCCCTTCCTTGCCCATTCGCACGGTACTGGACCAAACATGTGTAAAGCGTAGCCGAGGTACGCTCGAATCGATGCCCGTCGCCGCTCGCTTCCCTTCACATAGGCCACCCACAAAGCCCTACTCCATTCCTCCTTGTTCTTCCGCTGAAGGCCGACATCGTGTTTTGAATGTGCGGTGTCGCTCGACGAATCACCCGGTACAAGCGCAGTCCCTTCGGAGGCTCCGCACATTTCCCTCCACGCAGCCGTACTCCATGCAAAAATGGGACCCTGTGCCTTCGCACGAGAGCGCCTCGTCAAAGCCGTGATCCGCGGCTAGGAAAAGCAGCACTCCAGCGGGCCTCCACGCCGAGGCAGAGGGTGCTGCCTGCCTCTCGACCTGGCTGCACTCGACCTTGCTGCAGCCGTCTCGCTGCATCGTGCAGCGGTGCGCTGGGACGCGCAGGTGGTGCCCACGCAACGCGGTCAGCTCCGCTCGGCACCGCTATGCTTGCAGGCGCTCCCGAGCAGCTCCGGCATGCCGACGCGCCGCTGCGCTTGGAACGGCGCATGCCCCGGCCTGCGCTACACAGTGGCAGTGTCCCGGGAGTGGTCGTCGGTCGCCGAAAGGACGTACTCGACGGTAATCGCAGCGATGACGCGGGCAATGACAGCGAGGATGTCCAGTGGGACTGCACCCTCGGTCACGGTGATATTCATGTTGATGGTATTCGTGGTGACGACAGTGAACGCTACGTATAAATATTGTGTTGTTTATTGTGGTACACGTTGGCATGAACGTTCGGAACGATGGCGACGCGAACAGAGCAACGATGATGCGACGATGGTAACCAGAAGGCCGCCCGTCAAGACCGCTCAAAGACTACTGATGGCCTTTCCAGCGGTCCCTGATTCAGATCGCCGCTAAGGACCCCCGGGATCCAGTGGAACCCGCAAGGTTTGACAAGCAGAGAACCCACGAAAAAGAAAACATGTCCCAATGTCCACGGTCACACGTACAATTTACGTACGTATACAGTGAGATAGTGTTAGCCAACGTGGACCCCAAACAATGCGCGCAAGCATAATAGGTGGTGCAATATACGTGGTGAATCCTACGTGGCGCAATTCAGTTTGAAGAACTTGGAGATGACAACAATTTCACTGCTCGCGCAATCATCCCGCCCACCCACTCGCAGGCTTGTTTGCAAAAGCCATGCGACGGCAAGTGCGATGACTGCTTGGCACTGGTTGGCGCATCTCTGCGGCCGCACTCGCGCGAGCGCAAGCTCGTGCAGAGAGCGGACAGCTAGCTTGGCACAACCGACGAGGCCACTGGCGAAACAAGGGTAATCGTAGCGATGGCGGTGACGATGATGACGACGACGACAGCAAAACCAATGACGGCGCTTAAACGGGTCACGACGATGGCGATGATGCTGCCCATATGTCGCGGAAGAAGGTCCGGGGGGATTTCGACACGCGCGCGCGGCAGGCGCGCGCGAATAGCCCGCATTGTACGACTTGAAACCAACCCTCCCCTTCGAATGACTTCGGCAAGCGCGCGCGAGAGGCCCACTTGGTTGTATTGGACGAACATGTTGGTAAAACCGGACGACCCGTAAGAACTCGCATGAGCACGCGCGCTGACATGTGTTTGAAACGTCGCGGTGCAAAACCACTGATAGCTGATATGCGCTCAAGAACATCGGTCCTGAAATTCTGACGAAACTTGTCGTATTCCCCAGAACTCCCGCACGCGCGCAAAGCCGCTGTTTGTTTGCACGGGGCCACTGGAAACCAACAGTTTGTTGATGAACGGGCGCGCTTGCAGAATTCTATGTGGCAGGGACGAAGGTGCTCGATACCAGTACCCCCTGCGATGTTTTAAGCTTGTGTCTAGTTGGAAAGATGGGGCCGAACCATCTTCAAACGGTCATATCCGAGGTCGCCGAATCAGGGGGGCGGCTTCCCAGATCAGCATAGAAAAAATGTGCGGCGCAACGCGGTGCAATCCATGTGGTGGATGCTACGTTGTGCAAGCTACGTGGTGCGATTCGCTTGTGGCGCTCGCACTTGTCAACTTCATTGATCGCGCAAGCATCCCACCAACCCACCCGCAACTTGGTTTGCAAAACGCATGCGGCGGCGATTGCGATGAGTGCTTGGTGTTGGCTGTTGCATCTCTGCGGCCGCGCGAGCCCGCACATGCTCGCGCGCGCAACGGCCAGCTACTTTGGCGCGACAGACGCGGCCGCGGTGGCGCTGACCGCTGGGCACATCCCAGCGGGCAGCAGGCACTTCAGTGCGAGTCGGCGGCTTGGGTGGGCGAGATATTATGGCAACGTCGGCGATGGTAGACATGATGCTGATAGTAGCGATGGCGGTGGCCATGTTGACAACGACGACGGCACGGCCACTGACGGCGCCGATGTTGATCACGCCAACGACGATGACGGCGACCTCGCGTCGGTGACGAAAGTTTTGGCGGGAGTTCGCCATGCGCGCGCAGCCGACGCGCGAGCATATACATGTATATATGTATATATATATATATATATATATATACTCACTCGGGACACTCGATTTTCAAACCCTTACGACACCCAAGGTTTTTGAACGATTCCAGCGTGCGCGCGCGACGACGCGCGCGTGCGCATGTCGTCTCATGGTTCGCAAAGGATTTTTGAAAACGGAAGCCTTTTGATAAACAAATGCGCGCGCATAAAATCTGTTGCTGAGGACAAGGGGGTGCGTTACCGGCCTGGCTGGGATGGTACGAACTCATATTCAGGATGGGCGATGGGGCAGAGTCATATGTAAATTGTGATACGAGACGGTGACCCGGTAAGTCCTGGAAGGGGTGGCCGTTGGCTGGCGTTACAGCGGCGACGGCGCCGATGTTGATCACGCCGATGACGATGACGGCGTCCTCGCGTCGGTGATGAAAGTTTTGGAAGGAGTCCGGCATGCGCGCGCGACCGACGCGCGAGAGTGGCCTGCATGGTATCCTTTGACACGGATCGTGCCCCCCACCCCCGGCACGCGCGCAAGGGTGTTCGAATGATTTCGGCATGCGGCGCGAGAGGCCCGTTTGGCAGAATCCCATGACAGTGTTGAGAAACCCGTGGCTTTGTCAAGAAATCGCAACAGAGCGAGGGCAGGCGTTTCCGAAAACGGATGTTGCGAAACCATGTGCTTTCTTTGTATGGAAAACCTAAGGCTTATGACTGGTGTCGGCATGCGCGACGAAGACGATGCGCGCGCGTGCACTTCGTCCTTTCTTTTGCAAAGGGTTTTCGCGACATTTGCAGAAGAGGCTGCAAGATGTAGCAAGCTGCTCGTGCTGACACTCCTCCTCCTGATCATCTGTTTCCCATCCTGGTGCGCGACCCTGTGAGTGACCCTCACCTTTACACCAGACAGTTCGGAAGAGGAGCGCAAAATAGCGACTGCGACGTCACCAATGAAGGAATCCGAGACCGATACGTGCGTCCCAAAGCGTCTGGGAGTCTGGCAACTCGCTTGACCGAGTGCGCGCTAGAACGTTTCGTAGTTGTCGCGCCGCCCCTCCATCGCGGCGCGGAACACCCCCTCGTACTGCTCCGCGGTGAAGCCAATAGGGTTGGTGTGTCCCGTCGGGTTGGCCACTGCCTTCTCGGCGAGCTGCGCGGCGTCGCCGTCCGCCGGCACGCCGACCGCCGCCAGGTCGCGCGGAATCCCCAGGCGCGCGCACAGGGAGTCCACCCAGTAGCACACGCGGCAGAAGCCGCTGTCGCCGTCGCCCGTGGGAGCTCGGTAGGATGCCGGCGGCGACGGAAGGGCGAGGGCCTGAGCAACGGCGTCGCACTTGCCCTGGATCGCCGGGCGATTCACGCGCAATACGTGCGGCAGCAGCACGGCGTTGGTGAGGCCGTGCTGCGTGTTGTGCATGGCGCCGATGGGCTCACTGATGCCGTGCACAGCCCCGAGGCCTTTCTGGAAGGCCACGGCGGCCATCATGGAGGCGGCCTGCATGTGGGACCGCGCCTGGATGTCGGACCCGTCGGCGAACGCGACGGGCAGCCACTCCTTGACCATCCGCAGAGACTCCAGCGCGATGCCGTCACACTGCGGGTGGTACGAGTCCACGCAGTACGCCTCCAAGGCGTGCGTGAGGGCGTCCATGCCAGTCCAGGCGGTGAGGTGCGGCGGCAGGGACAGCGTGAGCTCTGGGTCGGCGATGACCGTCAGGCTCATGGCCGGGTGGGCCACGCACCACTTCACGCGCGCCGACGTGTCCGTGACCATGCTGGCCGAATCCATCTCCGCACCCGTCCCCGACGTGGTCGGGATGGCCACAACGGGCGGGACTAGAAGAAGAAAAACAAACAGCATAAACATTATAGGGCGACGGGCTGTATACAAACTGTTGGAGGTCCGCGCAGACTTATTGGATCGGCGCTGAGCCCCCTGGCGGCTGCTTCACACAGCCCCTGGCGCGCTCCGCGCGCCACAGAGAGGGGCCCAATGCCGATCCAAGAAACCCGCCAGGACCTCAAAAAGTGCTTGTTCGTGCCGCTTGCTGTTCTTCCAGGGATTGCACCTTCGGCCACGCAGACGGGCGGCCTGGTCCACTCGAAGTCGTGCAGCGCGTGGCCGGTGGACACCATGGCGATCGCCTTGCCGCCATCCAGCCCGCTGCCGCCGCCCAGGGCGACCACGGCGTCCGCGCGGTGCGCCCGGAACGCCTCCGCGCCGCCAAGCGGCACAACCACACTTTCGGAGCTGCGCGCGGGCTTCTCGGATCGGCACTGAGGCCCCCTCTTTGGCGCGTGGGGCGCGCCACGGGCGGGAGGCGCCGCCAGGGGGCCCTGCGCAGATCCAAGGAATTACCGCATGAAGGGTCCTGGACCCCGGGGCCTTCCCCCAGGGGCGGTTCTTCATCCTGAGTTACTTCCTGCCAGAACAGGGGCCCAAGGGAGGCCCTGGGAGGCCAACCACAACAAATACCATCAAGACATGTTTCCCTCAGGACCCGTTTGTCTTCAAGTCGAGAGATCCGCGCGGAACTCCAAAAGTTTATGGGTATGCAGTATTGTATTATCTGACTGACGACGTCAAGGTCGGTGGGGCTCGGGGAAACCAACAGGTACCAGTACCACCACTCCCCAGACCTCTCGAGGGGTGCGTTCTGAGCAGAATCTCCAGGCGAACCCAGCCGTGGCGACGAGGGCCTCCCAGAAGGCCCAAAAAGGCGAAAACGACTCGAAGAAGACGGCATCTTTAGGCAGCGACATCCGAAACCTACCCCCACCAACCATCGATTCTCCCGAATCGAAGGAAGGCGGGGGCAGCAAGCTTTCGGATGTCGGCACGTGTTCGACGAATTCCGAACCCTGCCCTCGCCGCCCATCGAGTTGTCTGGATCGTTGATCGGCGAGGGTAGGGTCCGGATCTCGCCGCCGCCTCAATCCTGAGGAGACGAAACAAAACCGACACCGCCACTCCACGGACCTCTCCAGGGGTGCGCTCTGACAAGGCTTTCCAGGCGAACCCAGCGGTGGCGACGCGGGCCTCCCGGAAGGCCCCAAAGTGTGAAAGAAAGGCGCGAAGGGCAGCGGCACGGGTGTACCTCTCCCTCCTCCGAAACTCCTCCTCCCGGGCCTCCGCGCCGCTGGCGACGTCCAGGTCCGTGGGGTTCGGGGACACGTCCCCGAACAGCCGCGGGGACAGCCCCGCGCCGCGCAGGCTGGCCAGCAGCGCCGCCACCGCCGGGCTGCCGGCCAGGCCCCGGTCCGTCACCAGCAGGGGCCTCGAGGCCGACTTGCCGGCCAGCACCTCCGGCACCTCTCTGGAGGAGCCTCAGTGCGAGGCGGGGTTTTATCCATACCCACCGCCTGGGAACCGACGACCTGGTGCCCCAGCGGGCGGTGGATATGGATCTATTTTGGCCATCGGGGGCCCGAATATATGAAGATCCACCGCCTGCCGAAGTGCCCGAACACTGATCCTCCAGGCGGTGGTCATGTGTAAAGTCCAGCCTCGGACTCAGACGTGCTCGCGTCGTCCAAACAACAGAAAGAACGACGCAGGGTTGTCGAAGTGTTCACGGGAAGCCGGAGTCTTTCTCGCTCTCCGAACGGCGACTGGAGACCCGAGCCATAGCCCGAAAACAATAATCTTGGCGTGGCGATAAAATCCCGAGGTGCGGGTTTGGGTTGTTTTCGGCCTCGGGAAGCCCTCGCAAGGCCCTGGGACCGTCAAGAGACCACGCGGGATTGGAGACTGGCCATGGAGAAAAAGGGTCGAGACTTCTGAGGGCCCCGCATTAAAGAAATCAAGACATCGCACGTCAGGAAACGTGGAACAAAAGGACGGCATAACAGCCACTTTCGGATCAGCATTGTGGGGGCCCCTGGACCTGGCGGCGCGCGCGCCAGGGAAGAGGTCTCAGCGGCGCAGGTCCGACAAAGCGGAGAAGCAAGGGGCAACAGATCAGTAACAATGCGTTCCAGGATTTCTCGGGCTTCTAACATGCCATAACGTGCCAGACGGGCTCCGGAGAAATAAATAAATACATAAATAAATAAATCAATAAACATATATATATACATACACACTCCAGCACTCCTGGGAAACGCACCTTCGGCCGATCGCATCCTGGCACCATCATCGTCCTGAGAACTCCACGCCAGGAGCTCCAGCAGACCACGATTACGCATATTTTCTTAAAGCCTCCCGAATAGAGTGCGAGCAAATGGGGTCGGAGGATCGCGGCGGTACATCGACGCTGCATCGACAATACGTCGGCGACGCCTGCGTGAAAAAAGGCGGGCTCCACGAGGCGCGTCCCCGATGCACCAGCGGTCACCAGCGATGCAGCGCTATCCCCCGACCCCATCTACTCCAACCCCATCTGGGAGGCCTACGGTCGGGAACTTTCGCTGACCGTGTCGCGGCGGCGGCCCCGGCGACACGCTGTGCCCTGCGAGCGGACAGCATGTCGCTCTGTCCCGCGGGGCGGGAGTCTCGGAAAGCCTCGGGACGTGGACGCCGGAAGACCAGGAAAGGGATAGCGTGTCGCACCGAAGCGCGGTGGGCCAGAACCGGCAGACCGCTACGCTATCCCAACGTCCCCGACCGTTCCTCAAACCTCGCGCCTGGCACCGACGACCGTGGGCAAGACTGACCTTTGGTGCGCGACGTTCGGGGTCCGCGGGGGGGGCGAACCGGAGCGCGCTGGCCGCTGCTGCCGCGTCGCATTCAGCCATCTGGAGGCCCCAGTGGACCCTCACCAAAAGGTAACTGCGGCGAAGGGTCCCTCTTGCGTGTGTGTGACATTCCGTTCCCTGCCTCCTGCCCCGCAGCACTCTTCCAACAACCGAGGTCTGCGAGGTGCCATGCCGAGGCACCACAGTGGGCAGCGCCACGCCAAGAGAGGATAGCCGAGCGTCGAGGGTAGCGATAGGGGTGAACTGGCATAGGGGGGGGGGGGGGAAACATCGACCTGCCATCGGCGATACCTCGCCGATAAATCGGCGACAGGCCCCCGATAGCAGAACCGCACGACGTTCCTGGGCAGGGTGGCGCTATCAGACCCCGATCGGCGATAAAGGGGCGCTGGGGGGTCGACGCATCCCACCATATGCTTAGGTCGGGCATGTCCCCCTCTAGGGGGCTTTTGAGCGAAAAATCAAAAATAGTCAAAATAACATCTCGAAATGACCCAAAAATATCTTAAAGAAATCATCCCCAGGCTATCTTTCAAAACTATCTTTGCATACTCCCCCTGTAGAGAGGGACGGGCCCGACTTGACCCCGTGCCTGTCACCCCCTCCTCGTGGCCTCGGGAGTTTGCTGCCCCTTCGACCTCGGAGACGCGCCCGGCGCCGAACCGAACGGGCACGGGGAAGCTCCAGTCCGCGGCCGCGGCCCTGCGCGCGACGAGGCGGCGGCCCGCCCGGGTGGAGCGCATGGCCGCTCCTCGCCGGCGGCCGACGGCCGACGGCGCAGCGTGAGCCAGCATGGCTGAGCTGCGAGCGCCCTCCTCCTCCTCCCCCTCGTCCTCGTGTTCCTTCCTCCTCCTCCTCCTCCTCCTCCTCCTCCTCCTCCTCGTCCTCGTCCTCGTCCTCCTCCTCATTCCTTGTCCCCATACATAACTTCTCCCTGTCGCACCCCGAGGCAAGTTATTCAGGGCAGGCCGGGCGTTTCGCCTGAGACTTCCTCACCACTTATGACCCTGAAGCTTGAACATTGGCAAGAGTTTCACGGGTTGAGGGCGGTTCTTGTTCAAAATGTTGCTCTCGCCTTAGCGCCTCGCACATTCATCTTAAACATGTGCCAGAGTTTCACGGGTTCTCATGATCAGCGTACCAGAGGTTCTGTTTCGAAAGAATTCAGGACTTCGAGGGTGTTACTGTTACGTTGATTCGCGGTGTTGAAATCCCAGGAACGACGTTCTGGCACGATTCAGGATCGTCAACTCGCAACAGTCAGGTTGATCCGTGGCGTTGGAATCCCGAGAACAATGTTTTGGCATGTGTCAGGGTATTCAGACTGTTGACTTCCAACGAGGAAATTCCCTCCCTTGTGGAAATGAGCCGTTGTAGGGACCGGTGAAGAGCGAGCGTGGAGGAAGGGTGTATTCCAACATCGTTGCTGACTCTTGGGTTTACGCTGGTCCTGCTCCTCCTCCTCCTCCTCCTCCTCCTCCTCCTCCTCCTCCTCCTCCTCCTCCTTTTCCTCCTCCTCCTCCTCCTCCAATTTTTCCTCCTCCAATTTCTCCTCCTCCTCCTCCGCCTCCTCCGACTTGTTCACCTTGTTCGCCTCATCCTTCTTAGATCCCCCTCCCCATCATCACCCTCTTCGGCTTCCTCCGCCTGCTCCTACTACCTGCTCCTACTCCTGCTCCTTCTCCTGCTCCTGCTCCTGCTCCTGCTCCTGCTCCTCCTCCTCCTCCTCCTCCTCCTCCTCCTCCTCCTCCTCCTCGTCCCCTCCTCCTCCCCTCCTGCTTCTGCTCCTCCTCCTCCTCCTCCTCCTCCTCCACCTGCTCTCCTCCTCCTCCTCCTCCCTCCTCCTCCTCCTCCTCCTCCTCCTCCTCCTCCTCCTCCTCCTCATCATCATCATCATCAGCAGCAGCATCATCATCATCCTTTCCTCCTCCTCCTTCCTCCTCCTCCTCTTCCTCCTCCTCCCTCCTCCTCCTCCTCCTCCTCCTCCTCCTCCTCCTCCTCCTCCTCCTCCTCCTCCTCCTCCTCCTGTTCCTCCTCCTCCTCCTTCTCCCTCCTCTTCTACCCCCTCCTGGCCGTTGCTGTCATATCCCACAAGCCTCAAAGGCGTCCGAAATGGCTCCAAGAGGGCCCCACGATAACCCAAGTAAGCTGCCAATAGGCTCCCGTACCGAAAGATCCGCGAAGGCATTTATGGTTCGCTCCTAGGTCTGCTTAAATGTTCCCGAGCTTCAGAGTGACGGCTGCTCCCCCCCTCTGGGTTCAACTGCTTGCTTCAACGCTGTCCTGATCAGGAACCCCATGGCGGCTCCTCTGGCGCCGCCCCTGGCGCTCTGCGCGCGCCAGGGAGAGGGCCAAGCGCAGATCCAATGAATCCAGTGGGGTACTGTTATGCAATGTGTTTTCTTCGATCAACATCGCGTCTGGATGGGCTGGCGGGGATGCGCGAAGCATCGAGACCTTCGAGGGGGTGGCTGGCAAGCCCGTGCCTCCTCCCGCCCAGAGGGTCCCGGGTCGTCCCCGCCCGTGGAGGTCTCACCGGAAGCCCGCAAGCCAACGGACACGCAAGATTACAAGATTTAGAGAAAAAATGCAAATAACACAGAGAGTGTAAATATACTTTTGGGATGTCTTGGTGGTACAGTCGCACTTGAATATGTTCCTGCAAAGGACGCAGCTTTTCTCGAGCGTCTTGGCCAAGAGCGCGGTAGCGTCTGGTCGAGGCATGTGGGGTATCTTGATGGCGGTGTTCTGGTGGAAGGCGTCGTGGTTGTGCGTCCTGCACTGTATGGCCTTGGCCCCGCGAGGGACGCACCAACTCGGCGCGGAGCGACGGGGGGGAAGCGAGAAGGCGGATGCGCTCTCGGAAGGAGGCGTGTCTTCGGGAAAGGCTCAGAAAACTTCTGGGAATGGTGGGCCTGTTTTCCACCACCACCACCATAAGTTGGAGGGGGAGGGGGTCCTCCTCCTCCTCCTCCTCCTCCTCCTCTGCCTCCTCCTCCTCCTCCTCCTCCTCCTCCTCCTCCTCCTCCTACTCCTCCTCCTCCTCCTCCTCCTCCTCCTCCTCCTCCTCCTCCTCTTCGTCGTCCTCCTCCTCGTCCTCCTCCTTCCCCCCTCCCAACTTATGGTGGTGGAGGTGGAAAACAGGCCCATCAGAGAAGGCGGGGGAACTGCCGAGCCGTCTAAGAAGGCCTACCCCTTCTAACATCACCCCACGGGCTTGCCTCCCACCGATGGGATCGCACATTCGCGGGGTCGCGCCTCGGCATCACAAACGCAAAGGCATGGATATGGATGTGCTCCCGAGCATCCGACGCCTCGATTCGTTTTACGCGGGGCCCAAGGGAGTCCAGACACTGTCCCCAGGGCCAGATTTTCATCCCGAGCCGTTTTCTTTGACAGTTCCGCAGCACGGCGAGGGCCCCCAGAGGCCGAAAACTGCCACGAGCCGTCCGTCGGGATTTTTGCTCACGACGAAAATGAAGATCCTAAAGGGCAAAGGCGGCGGCCGCCTCGCGCGTCTCGAGGACGCGCCGCAGGTGGTCCGCGGGGCCTGCCTCCGCGACGGGCGCCGGCCGCGGCCGCGGCACGGCGCCGCCCGCGGCGCGCTGCAAGCACGACGAAAATGAAGATCCTAAAGGGCAAAAGCGGCGGCCGCCTCGCGCGTCTCGAGGACGCGCCGCAGGTGGTCCGCGGGGCCTGCCTCCGCGACGGGCGCGGGCCGCGGCAGCAGCACGGCGCCGCCCGCGGCGCGCTGCAAGGCGAGCCCTCCAAACGATCCACGGCCGGCCGCCTGCCCGCCTTGGGGGGCGGCCTCGAGCCGCTGCTCCTGGGCGGCGCAGCCGCAGCCGCAGAAAGCACAGTGGCTCCCGCGACATCTCGTTGGCCACCTTCATCCCCCATGCCACCTCGCGGAGCTGCTTGGACAGCCCCGCGTTCTCCCCGGGCTCGGCAGCCGCGCGCACCGCGCGGAGCGCGCGGCGCCCGCCGCCGCGGCGGCGCAGGTCCTCCTCGCGCGGCCAGCGCTGGAGGCGCTCTGCCTCCAGGTGGCCACGGCGGGAGGCGCTCTGCCCCCAGGTGGCCACGGCTGGAGGCGCTCTGCCTCCAGGTGGCCACGGCTGACCTTGGAGAGGGCCACCTCCAAGGACACGCGGTCCCGCGCGTCCTTCAGCCTCTGTAGCCTGGAGCCCGCGCAGTCCTCCGTCGGCTCTTCGCCACCGGGGCCTCCGCCTCCGCGGCGCCTCCGCCGGCGGTGCTCGTCTGGCTCTCCGCGCTCGGCTCGGCGGGCGTGGCGTCGGCGACCTCGGGGACGTCCGCCTGCTTCGTGGCGACGGCGATGTCGACGATAACCTCGGCCGCCGCCGCGGGCGCGGCCTGCGGCTCGACGGTCCTGGTGGCGCCCCACGCTGGAAGCAGAAGCTGGATGGACTGGGGCCAAAATTGCTACGGAGGCTTGGGGCACTCTGGGGACCCTCCTGGGTCCCCTTGGGGGCCTCCTGTGGCCCCATTGGGGCTCTCTTGGGAGCACGGTGGGGCCCTGGAGGGCCTCTCTTGGGCCGTCCTGGGGCTCTCTTTGGCCGTACTGACGCCCACTTGGGCCGTCCTGGGGACTCTGGGGCCGAAAGGGGCGGAGGGGCGAGGCGGAGGAGTGGACACACGTCTGAGCCTTGGCCCATCGAGCCCACGCTCCTCTCGTGATTCCTGGGCGGGGTCGGGAAGGTCGCCGGCCTCGGGAAGACCCTGGCGCTGCTCGCGGTGCGCACGAAGATCAGGTTGAAGAGCTCCAGCGCGCAGCAGAAGCTGAACACCCGCTCCTCACAGGCCGCTGCTGCCGCCGCCACCGCTGCTGCTACTGTTGCTCATCCGCCCCAGAGATCCGAGGTTCCAAACAACTTGGGGCGGCATGTTAGCCCCCGCCAGCACAATCGCTTGGAACCGTATCGGCGTGCTCCCTCCCCCCGACTGTACTGCTCACTGTGACTGGTGAGAGTGGCAAGGTGGTTGCAGCCCCCTTGCGAGGCACTTGCAAGCGGGCCGCAAGTCCGCGTTCCTGCTCCAAGTGGGGTCCGTGATTTGCTTAAAAAGTATAGCACATCGGGGGGGCTCGCAACCCAGTTACAGGCGCTTTGCGGGCTGCAGCTGTTCCAAGTGTGGCAAGCCGAACCGATCTACAGCAATCTCCGTCCCCCTGCTTCTTCCTCCCCATCCATCCTTCCCAACGCCCCCATCCCCACGCCCTCCTCCACAATTACTGAATATGAATACTTTCCTCTGACCCCGAATATGTCCAGAAAATGTTCGGCCCTCTCCGCAGTTTGTTTTTTCACGCACGGGACTCCATTAGTTGGTCTTTCCTATGGTCTTTACCATCCGATTGTCCCCCGGTTTTGCATTTTCAGATCGGTGCTTTGCTCCCGTCGTTCTGAATGATTCGCGATCTCGCCCCAGCGTGGGCCACTGTTCTGGATCCAAGTGTCGCAAGTATCGCAAGTCTCACGGGTCCCACAAGTCCGACAGGTCCCGCAGGACCCACAAGTCCCACAGGTGCTGCAGGACTCACGGGCCCCACAGAAGCCCCCCAGGTCCCACAAGTCCCACAGGTCCAGCGGGTGCCACAGGTCCCACTGGTCTCGCAGGTCTTGCAGATGCTGTAATTCCCAGAGCACCCACAACTCCGTCAAGTCCCACGGCAAATGTCGCAGGTCTCACATGCCCCACAAGCCACATAGGTCTCCCAGGTCGCACCTGTCTCAGAAGTCCTGCCGGTCCCACAGGTCCCACAGGTTCGGTTCCCACCTGCCCAAAACCCCCACAGGCCACGGAAGTCCCGCAGGTTCCACAGGTCCCACAGAGCGCACAAGTCCACACTTCCCACCTGTCCCACAGGTCTCGCAGTTCGGGCCATGACACGCGTCTGCGAACAGAGAATAAATCAGCGCAGCGGGATGGGCTGGGATGGGAGGGGTAGGATGCCAGATGTAGCGCCAGTACACCCAGCTTGGCTCGCGCTCCTTCGCCTCCCCCCCCCCCCCCCTGGCGCCCGGCCGGCCTTGAGCCCCCATGGGGCCCGCCCGGCGGACCCCCAAGCATGGAGACGGGTGGAGTGCCGCGCGGGCGGGGAACCCCCGGCAGACGCGCGGTGCGCCGGGTGCTCCTCGGGAGCCACCACCCGTTCCTGACGACCTGCCAGACCATCCCAACCCAACCCGAGGACCCGAATTTCGGTTTGGGCGGGGGGTAGATGGGCTCCATATGTGTTTCTTCGATGCTCCCGGACCCCCCCCCCACTAGAAATCGAGGGTGAATCTGAGCCCTCGGGTTGGGTTGGGGTGGTTTGGTGGGTGGTAAGTTCCCTCTCCCCAGACATCCGACGTCTCGATTTTTTCGAGACACGGGCCTCCGACCTCGCGACCACTTCCCTGGGACCGGTTTTTCCTCCCGAGTCGTTTTTTGACGGTCCCGAGGCCCGGCGAGGGCCCCGAGAGGCCAAAAACTATGAAAAACCTCTGCCTCGATTTTTTCGAGACGCCCGATGTCTGGGTCCACCCCGCCTCCCCGCTCGCCCTCTCCTCCCCGCCCTGGACCTCCCCGGACGTGGGGACCGCCTTGCCTTTGTCCGCGCGCGGCCCCAGACGTCCTTCCTCCCCTCTCCCCCGGGGGCCGATCCTCCGGCCCATGCCCGCTGGCCCTCCCCGGGGACGACGGCCCCCGCGGGGCCCGGCGAGAGAGCCCCGGGAGCCCGACAGCGGGCCCCAGAACACGCCCGTCGTGGGCGCTGCCGCGGCGCGAGCTGCGCGGGCCCCTCCCGAGAGCAGGGGGCCCTGCCCGCCACACGGCCCTCCCCTGAGGTCGGGCCTGTCCCCCTATACCAGGGGGAGCTTGGACGAATTTTTGTTTTTTTTTAAGAATGCTCAAACATACATCGTCCAAAAGGGAGAGAGAACAAAAAGAAACAGAACAACGTGCCCAGATTATCTTTCGACTCTTTTTGCACACTCCTCCTGTAGAGGGACCCACGCCCGACTTGTTAACCCTCGCCTGAGGGCCCGCAGCGTGTGCGCGGGGGCCGAGGCCCCCATGGCCTGGCGGGGAGCGCCGGCGCTGCCAGAGCGCCGAGCGCCTGGGACTCCGACGTGGGCGCGGGCTCGGCGCCTCGGCACGCCTCGCCGCGCCTCGCGGGAGCCCCGCCGGCTGGCCGAGAGCTGTGCTCCGTGGGGCCCGTCGGCGCTGTGCTCCGTGGGGCCCGTCGGCGCGCACGCATGCAGCCCTCTGCCTCCGAGGCAGGGAGGCTGCACGCAGTCCCTGCACGCAGTGCCTGCATTGGTTGGTGGGCCTGTCTTCCACCGCCACCACCAGAAGTAGGAAGATCTAGGGGGTCCTCCACTTCCTCATCCTCATCCTCGTCCTCATCCTGATCCCCATCATCATCATCATCATCATCATCATCATCATCATCATCATCATCATCATCATCATCATCATCATCATCATCATCATCGTCGTCGTCGTCGTCGTCGTCGTCGTCGTCGTCGTCGTCGTCGTCGTCGTCGTCGTCGTCGTCGTCGTCGTCGTCGTCGTCGTCGTCGTCGTCGTCGTCGTCGTCGTCGTCGTCATCATCGTCCTTAATATTATATATCATTATTCTTACTCCTCCTCCTCCTCCACCTCCTCATCCTCCTCCTCCTCCTCCTCCTCCGCCTCATCTTCCACCTCCTTCCCCCCTCCAACTTATGGTGGTGGTGGTGGTGGACAACTGGCCCAGCATGCACGCAGGAGGTGGTCGAGCCGTCCGGGGGCAGGGCTGGCACGCAGCCCCTGGCCTCCGGAGGGCTCGCCGCACCTCCCGCCGAGGCTCGTGCTCTTCCCGTCGTACGTGAGGACCACATCCCAGAAATAGGTTCGAGCACCTAAAAAAAACATAGAAACAGTGCCAAAACGGGCATTAAGTCGGGCGTGTCCCCTACAGGGGGAAATTCGACGAAAAATGAAAAATACACAAAAACATCTTCCAAAATGGCCAAGAAATACTAAAAAAAATAGTCCCCAGACCATTTTTTGACTATTTTTGAAGATTCCCCCTGTAGAGGGACAGGCCCGACCTAAAACGAGCATCGCCTTCCAGGGCCCGACCCCGGAACACCCTCCGGTTGCGGTATACTTCCCCGGTGTTTGAAGTATTTGGACGCCCGAAATGGGTATGGAAAAGTGGGTACAACGTCCACCAAAAAGTGCTGTCCCTAACCAACAGCGTCCGCTGTTGGGCAGGAGGCCATTCTGTCTCAAACGGGCACAGGCCGCGGCGGCGCGGACAGCGAGTCCTGTTCCAAATGAACCAGATCCGCTGTTGGGTTGGGCATTGTACCCACTCTTTCCGTGCCCATTTCGTTCGTGCAGAAGGGTTTTTTTTGGCCCGCTCACCATTCCAGGTTCGAGTCACACTCATGAACTGCGCCTCCCAGCAGCTCCACAAGCTGGAGTTATAGCCGCTTAAAGGCTACGGCGGGTTCGTGTCGTGCCGACCCCAGCGCTGGTTTTTGACACCGCAGGGATCGTTCAACCTTGAAGGATCGGCCGCTGCCGCAACGTCCGATCGTTCAACATCGATCGATTCTGGGTCGCCGGCAGCGTTCAACCTTGAACGCCCGCGCTGGGGTCGCCGCTGGTCGACACGACGCAAACCTACCGTAGCCGTAGCACTGATCTCAGCGGAGGCAATTTCCAAAACAACTCCGAGACCATCGGCCCTACGTCCAAACGCAAGGTAGGCTGGAGCATCACAAGCCGAGGCCTTCGCCTCTCGCCGGCCCCGCCGGCGGGTCGCGGTGGTCCCAGGGCCTCGTCGGGCTGCAGCCCTGCCTCCGGGCGGCTCGCGTGCCTCTCGCCAAAGGCCCCCGCCCCGGCCGCCACGGCCCCACCGCGGAGGAGGACGCGGCTGGCCGTCGGGCTGCAGCGGCGCAGCGTGCTGCTGCGTTGGAGAACCCGAGGCGGGAAGCGAGAGCCCGGAATGGGACGTGCGAGGACATGCCAGCACGCAGTGTCCTCCTCGGAGGCGTGCGTCGAGGGGACGGCGGGGAGACCAAAGCCAAGCGCGCAAGCCGACGTCGGGCGGTCGTGGAGTCGGGGAGACATTTGGCCCGCTCGCGCCCAGACGGTGGGGATGCAGCAGGCGGTTTGCCGGTGTTGTTGACTGGACGTCCCTCGTTTCAGAGCCCCATGCTCATCGCGACGCAGCAGGCGTGGCACCAGAGCACCCCACGGAGGAGCCGCCAGAGGTGGGGGGCACCGGCCCGCTCGCGCCCAGATGGTGGGAATGTAGCAGGCGGTTTGCCTGTTTGGTTGAATACGACTTCTCTCGTTTCAGAGCACCCCATGCTCATCGCGACGCAACAGGCGTGGCACTGGAGCACTCCACGGAGGAGCCGCTAGTGGTGGTGGCATTGGCCCGCTCGCGCCCAGATGGTGGGGATGCAGCAGGCGGTTTGCCTGTTTGGTTGAATCCGGCTTCTCTCGTTTCTGAGCCCCCCATGCTCATCGCGACGCAGCAAGCGTGGCACCAGAGCACCCCACGGAGGAGCCACCAGGAGGTGGGACAGTTGCCCGTTCGCGCACAGATGGTGTTTCAGGCGGTGTGCCTGTTTGGTTGAATCCGACTTCACTCTCTTGAGAGCCCAATGCTCGTCGCGATGTAGCAGGCAGGGCATTGAAGCACTCCAAGGAGGAGCTGCCAGTGGTGAGGAGGGCATCTGCTCCTTCGCGCGCAGATTCTGAGGATCTCTCAGGGTGGTTCCCGAGGAAGCCTCGAGCGGGAGCCTTCCTCCCCATTGGGTCCGCGCTCCTGTAGTAATCCGACGCGGTCGTCCTCAACTCTGTACCCCGTCGTAACAGTTGGGCTCCTGAGGTCTGCACGAGGGGGACGTGTATGGCTGGAGCCTCGCCTGTGAGCGATTCGAGAGGCAGTCTGAAACGGGATCCCCCTCACGATGGGGCCCGCGCTGTACAACGTCCTGGGTCGGCCCTGCGCAAGCCCGCGTCAACTGCGCGGCAACTCTGCGTCAGGTCTGCCCTCGCCTGAGCTCCGTGCACGCGCCGCGCACGCGCGCAGGCTCCTCGTCGGGCGCTCTGGCAAACACTCAATAGAAAACCGTGCACCCGATGTGGCCGACAGACCATCGGGAGCGGCCAAGAGGGGGGTGTCCAAGAGGGGGGGGGGTGCAAATCATGACCGGCGGCATATGCGCGGCCCAGCGGGGGGGCCAGGGACGCAATGAAACAAGAAGAGGCGCCATGAAATCTGGGGAAAGATCATGGCCCCCGCCATGATATCCACCCCCCCCCTAGTCATCACCCCCCTCTGTTCCGCTCCCGAGACCATACGAACACCCCAAAGAGGAGCCGCCAGGCGGCATGGCGTGCGCCTGCTCGACCCCGGATCGTGGGGGGTACCTCGTGCGGTGCGCTCGTGTGGCGGCCCCGACTCCTCTCGCTTCAGAGCCTCCTGATCACATCGACGTAGCAAGCGTACAATGCAGGCAACCCAAGGAGCAACCGCCAGGGAGTAGGACACTTGCCGACCCGCGCCCACCCGGGGAGGAGTCGCCAAAAGGGGTGTTGCACGTGCCCGTGCGCACTCGGATCGTGGGGGTGCCTCGAGCGGTTCGCTGGTTAGGGCGCCCCCGAGTCCTCTTGGTTCAGGGCCTCGTGACCATCGCGACGCAGTCATGCAGTACGCATAGCACTTGTGCGCCGAAGCGGGGAACCGCCAGGAGGCGCTGCACGCGTCAGTCCGCGCCCGGCTCGTGGGACGTGTCGGACGGAACGCCGGTTTGGGCACCTCCGACCCCTCCGCTTTCAGAGTCCCAAGGCCATCCCGGTGCAGCAGGCAAAACATTCGGGCACCACGAAGGAGAGCCGCCAGGAAGAGCTGTCGCCACGGGGAAGATTGTCTCACTCAGACACCCACAAGCGGAAATCAGGAAGTGAGGGTGCCTTTATTATGAGGATCTCCGCGTCGATCAAAACACCCAAACAAGTTTGCCAACACACAGAAAGTGTGTCAGACGAAAGACGTGTCACGTGGTTCACTCTCCAGAGCAAAGAACTCCATTCGCAGCCACATCGCGCTCGACAAGATGGTGGACGCCATCTGATACTGGACTGCCTAGGCGACAATGGGAACCTCACTGTTCGGAACTACGCGTCGGCTTCGGCCACTACGCGGCAACAGGGAACCATCGGACACGTACTACCCAAAACAGTACTTGCCCTCAGGGATGTCCTGCTTGCGTTCGGGCCTTGCTTGTCGTCGACGGCCGTTCCCAGCCGATGCGCTACGTCCGCTCCCGCCCGGTGCTCTGACCGGTGCCCCATTGCGTGCCCTGCTCGTCACAAGTGGGCTGCTCCCAGACGGTGCTGCCCAACCCCGCCCCCTATCGGCTTGGGAGCCTGCAAACCAGGTGGTGAGATATCAGGTGGTGACCTGGAATCCTCAAAAGGCCACCGCTGGGCTTTGGAATACGGGGTCACCGCCGGGTTCTGTGACTCCTGGACCAACCAACGTTCGGGACATCCTTGAAAAACCACACGAGTCTCCAAACCGGGTGGCGACACCAAATCGCCCGAGACTCATCGTCGTGTGTTGTCACCACCACGTTTGGGGACTACCAATCGGTGGCCCGTGGCCCCGTTCCTGGCCGGTGGCGTGCCGTTGGTGCCGTGCCGTACCGTGCCCTGCGGCTGGTGCCCCAAGACACGCGGCTGCCCATGTTGCTGGTGCCCCGTGCCTTTGAAGGGGCCCCAGGACACACAAATAAAGACACACAAAAAAAAAATATGCCCCATATTTTCAAATATTTTCTGGGTTTCTGTCTTCCCCCCCACTTCCCATATTTTCCAATATTTTCAAGAGAATCGAGGATTAATTGTGTCTGTGTGTTTCTTTTCCTCCTGAGCCTTGTGCCTCACGGCTGGCGCTCTCTGGCTGGGTTGCCTGTGATGGCGCCCTGTGGCTGGCGCCCAGTGGCTGGCACGTCGCCTGCACGTCGGGCGTGCAAGAACCTGCCGAACGAGGTCACCGCCCGAGCATCCCGTGAAGGGTATTGGAGCGATGGGAAGACTCCGGGGCGCGTGCGAGCGAAAAGCGGCGGCAGTGTTGTGGGCGACCCGCCCCCGCCCACCTCGCCCCCACCCCTCCCAGGCCCTTCCCACCACCCACCCACCCCAGACCTCCGACGTCGTACTTTTCTCACAGCGTGGAACCCTGGAGATCCAGGCTTCCCCGGGGGCAAAGGCTCTCCGCCCTCTGGAGCCGCTGCTCTCGGATGGCCCCAGGGCCCGGCAACGGGCCTTCGAGGCCAAACGCGAGGGCCTCGTCCGTAGGGTTGCTCATGACCCAAGGGAGTGTCGGGCCCTCCCGCCCACCCGCCCCCACCCCCACCCCCAGGGTCACGACACCCGAACCACACGATTCTCCTGAATCGATGGGAGGCGCTGGTAGGGCTCGGCGTTCGCAGCGTCTTCGACACATTCCGAGCACTGCCCCCGCCGCCCATCGAGTTGCCTGGCTCGTGAATCGGCGAGGGCAGGGCTCGGACTTCGCCACCAACACTCCCACGCAGGATGGCGACATCGGATCAGAGCTGCCTCCCCACGCGCCCTCCGCCAGACGGACGGGGTGGGCTGCCCGCGCGGAACGCCGCCGCGCCCCGTCGGAATCCGAACCTGAACCTTCCGCGCCCCTCCGCGAGGCAGCCCTCGTCCACCCGCCAGCGCGGTCCCACCCCTCCCCATGGGACACGTGAGGACATGCTAGCACCGTGTGTCCTCCTCGGAGGCGTGCGCCCGACCCGAGCACGCAGCACCACCAGCTTGTAGCACATATCGCTTCCCGAGCGGCACGGCCAGAGAGCACCCGCCACGGAGCACGCGCTGTCAGATTGCTGAGCGCACGCGCCGCCTCTGTGAGAGCGGCGCACAGGGAGCCTCAGCATGCCTGGGTGACGCCGACCCCACGCTCACGACACCGTGCGGGAAGTGCAGCCTTCCGGATCGGCACCCCTCCCCCTCTTCTGCGGGGGAGCGTTGGAACCGAACCGAACCGGAAGCGCGGCCCCCGGCCTGCGAATCGGACCGAGTTCGGGGTCGGCCAAGAGGGGGGTGTCCGAGAGGGGGGGGGTGCAAATCATGACCGGCGGCATGTGCGCGGCCCAGCGGGGGGGCCAGGAACGTAATGAAACAAGAAGAGGCGCCATGAAATCTGGGGAAAGATCATGGCCCCCGCCATGATATCCCCCCCCCCCCTAGTCATCACCCCCCTCTGTTCCGCCCCCGACGAGTCGCATCGAACCGGAATCGTAGGCGGCCCCGGGACCCAGACCCCAGACGCCAGGACTGCTTCGCGACGTGGACCCCCGGAGGTCTGCACCCATTCCCGGGGACTCGTCTCTCCTCCCGAGTCGGTCTTTTTGGACGGTCCTGGGGGCCGGGAGGAGCAGACCATTGCCCACACCCTCGTCGCGATGTTGTTCGCGGCGCGAGGGGGCTCTGGGGAGGGTTCCTCCTTCTGCCGCTCCCCTCCCCCGCTGATTGATCGCCCTGGGGAGGAGCGTGGGCCCGAGGATGCAGAGGGGCTTCTGCCTCGAAGCCGTCCGGCGAGGACTTGCGGTACAGGATGAACTTCCACGCCTCGGCTCCCCCCACGCCATCAACGTGGAACAGCGCACCGTCCAGGACTGCTGCAGGGACGCCCTCCAGACATGCTCGCGTCGCATCGCCCAGGACTGCTGCAGGGACGCCCCCCCGCTGCCTCTGCCGCCATGCTCGGTCTTCATCTGTATTCTCGCCCCTTCCTGCTGCACTAGTGCCGAGTCCAACCCACTCCTACTATCCTACCCTCTGCTTGTGCAAACTGCTGCGGCCCACTGCAGTTACGGGCACGGCAGCGCGCATTCAGCAGAAGCCACCGAGACGCATGATTACATACCACATCTTCCCAGGGGCAGGTCGGCGGAGCCCCAACCGGGAAAACACTTGTTGTAGAAAGAGATGTGCGGGTCCTCGTCCTCCTCCTTCTCTTCCTCTTCCTCGTCCACCCCTCCCCCTCCCCCTCTCCCTCCTCCTCCTACACCTCCTCCACCTCCTCCTCCGCCTCCTCCGCCTCCGCCTCCTCCTCCTGCTCCCCATGCTCCCTTCTCATCCCCGTCCTACTCCTCCCTCTTCCTCCTCCTCCTCCTCGTCCTCGTCCTCCCCTACCCCTCAACCGCCTCCTTCTCTCTTCCTTACAACAATAACTCCTCCCTGTCGCACCAGCAGGCGTGTCCAAACGCCAGGCTGGGTGGTTCGCTGGCGACTTCATCATCACAACTGATTGCCCCGAAGATTGCAACTCCCCAAACGACAACTACACGGGCATAGGGCCGGTCGTTTTCAACATGTGGCTCTGCCCTTGGCGCCGCGCGCAGTCGTCTGCAAAGCTTCCCACTATGAGACAGGTAGAGGGCAGGTCGTTTTTTTAGTGTGACCCTGGACTTGGCGCCACACACGTTTGTCTTCAAAGCTTTCAACGGCTACGTGAGTAGTGGGCCACAGATTTCCAAAATGTGGCGATCGCCTTTGCGCAACGCACATTCATCGTTAAAGTGGTTCGACACTTATTCGATTGTGTTCAACACTTGGCTCTGCTTCAGCGCAACGCGCGTCCACTTCGAAGCTTTTCCAGCGGGGCGCGGCCAATGAAGCGGCCTAGGACGTGCCGAGGAGGCAAGGATGCAAGGGTGCCCTTGGGAAGGGTGCCCATCCTCACTAAGTATGCGGGTTGACTGTAGAGGCTGTTGTTTCAAGATGAGGCTCTCGCCTGAGACCTCGGGGATCCTCTGACCCGGGTTATCCACACCCGGGTCAGTCAGGCCTTGCAGAATCCTGCAAGATCCTGAAAGATCCTGCACCCAAATCTGGGTCAACGCGATGGATCCTGCAAGATCCTGCACCCAAACCCGGGCCAATGCGACCCTGGCCCTGCAGGATCCTGCAAGATCGGGCGCTCTGGCTGACCCCCGTTTGCGTTGACCTCCGTCTCTGGAGTCCCGAAGCCCATGTACGGCGTTACGGCCAGACATTCCACACTGTGCCACGGCTACACGGAGATGCAGGGCGGCTCCTCTCTTCAGAGCGGGGCCGTCGCTGGGCCCGTCCTGAAACTTCGAGACTCCGCCTCGTCGCACGAACCTCGAGACTTCCTTGAGCTTCGAGACTCCCTCGAACCTCGAGACCTCTCAGAACCTCGAGACTCCCCTTCCTTGACCTTCGAGGCTCCCGCGGGCCCGCACCTCATCGTGCGAGACCGGCTCGCGTGGCGAGGTGCGGGCCCGTGAGGCCGCCGTCGTCTTTCGAGGCTGTGGGGACTCACGCGGGGACTCGGGGACGGGAGGGCGTGCTTCGCAGCGTCGCTGGCGCGTCCTGAGGCAACGGTCAACACATAGTACATAAGAACGCACGATAATCGGGGATGGACAGACCCCCCTTTCGTAAAACGAGGTTTAGTGAAAACGACCTGAGGCCCAAACCTGGCGGGCGCAAGCCTGGAAAATAACGGCCACGGCGCCATCTCGAGAACCGAACACGGATACTTCACTAATCGACGTGTCACTGTTGGGGGTTCTGTCCACCCCCGAGATTTGGGTGCAGGGGCCTTGGAAGGCCACGCCGACGCCTTGCGAGCGGGGCGCGGCCAGCGAAAGCGACCAAGGATGGGCCGAAGGGGAAGGATGCAAGGGAAGCCTTGGAAAGTCGCTCGTCCTTGCCATGCGGGTTGGATGTACTCTGATCCTTACCCCGTCTCATCATCACCACCCGCGTTCCGCCTTCTCCTCAGACCCACACCTCCTCCTCCCCCGCCCGTCTGAACTCCTGCCCTCCTCGCCCCCCATCCAAGTTGCAGGACAGGTAGGCGAACGACTGCAGGAGCAGGAAGGCGAGGTGCGCCCGGAACAGCGGCCACGTGGGGTGCCCAGCCCGCCGCAGCACCTGGGGGAGAGGGGGCCTGCATTCCACGCAGCGTGCTGCCACACGGAAGTGAGGAGAGGAGAGAAGAAAATGCGAGGTGATTTATCCATGACCACAGCCTGGGGAATCGTCTTCGGGGACGTCGGCAGGCAGTGGATGTGGATATAGTTGGCTCCCCCAAGGTCCGAACATGTCCATATCTCGACGCATGACGAGTTCCCGGAAAATCGATCCAACGGTCGGTGGTTATGGCTCCAGTCAGGAACTTTTGCTTACGCGTGTCGCGACGGCGGCCATCATCATCATCATCCTCATCATCATCATCATCATCATCATCATCATCATCATCATCACCATCATCATCATCAGCAGCATCATCATCATCATCAGCATCATCATCATCAGCATCATCATCAGCAGCATCATCATTATCATTATTATTATTATTATTATTATTATTATTAGTATCATCATCATCATCATCATCCTCATCCTCATCATCATAATCAGCATCATCAGCAGCAGCATCATCATCTTCAACACCATCATCGTCATCATCACCATCACCACCATCATCGACATCAGCTTCATCAGCATGATCATCCTTATCATCCTCCTACGCCGCCTCCCCCATCTCGTCCTCAGCATCCTCATCGTCATCACCATCATCATCAGCATCATCATTATCATCATCAGCCTCGCCATCGTCATCGTCATCGTCATCGTCACCATCATCATGATAATAATCATCATCATCGTCATCATCATCGTCGTTGTTGTCGTCCTCAACATCATCCTCACAACATTACCATCACCATATCCACCAACACCATCATCATCATCATCATCATCATCATCAGCAGCATCATCGTCATCATCATCAGCATCATCATCACCATCATCAACATCTCCACCACCACCATCATCACCATCATCACCATCATCAGCAGCATCTTACTCATAATCATCATTATCATCATCGACTACATCAACAGCCTCCGAGTCATCGTCAGTATCGGCATCAAGGCCATCATCAGTATCGTCACCATTGTCTTCGGCATCATAACCATCATCATCATCAGCATCAGCATCATCATCATTCTCATCACCACCACCATCAACAACATCATCATCGACATGATCGTCACTATCATCGTCATTGTCAACACCGCCATCATCATCACCCTCTGCATAATCAGCAGCAGCATTATCATCATCAGCATCGTCAACATCATCATCCTTGTCGTTATCATGATCATTTGATTCCCCAACATCCGAAGCATAATCATCACCAGCGTTATCAGTTCTGTCATCATTATAATCCAAATCCGCCGACCCTGTCGGCGTGTGTGAGGGGCTTCTCCGTTCGACTAGTCGTCTCCGTCGTGCGAAATTAAACGACGTCGTAGTGGAGTCGAAGGGAAGCCCCTTCCCTTTGATCCCTTCCCCGCAGGGGGGGGGGGGAGGGGAGGGGGGGGGGGGCCGGGGGCAGATACGACGCCCGCTGGGGGCGCACTTTCCTCGAGCGGGCACGCACGGGATGCACTTCCTCCTCCTCCTGGTCCTCCTCCTCCTCCTTTTCCTCCTCCTCCTCCTCCTGCTCCTCTCCTCCTTCTCCTCCTCCTCCTCCTCCTCCTCCTCCTCCTCCTCCTCCTCCTCCTCCTCCTCTTCCTCCTCCCGCAGAGGCGTCCCGGGAGCGGGCCCCGAGTCAAAATACCACCCCCCTAGGGCGCATTTCCCTCGAGCGGGCACGCCCGAGATACACTTCTTCCTCTTCCGGGAGCACGTCCCAAGTCAGAATCTCACACTCCCGGGGCGCACTTTCTTCGAGCGGGCATACAAAGGATGCACTTCCTCCTCCTCCTCCTTCTCCTCCTCCTCCTCTTCCTCCTCCTCCCCCTCCTTCTCCTCCTCCTCCTCCTCATCCTCCTCCTCCTCCTGCTCCTCCTCCTTCTCCTCCTCCTCCTCCTCATCATCCTCCGCTTCCTCCCCCCACTCCTAGCCCTTTCGATCAGGGTCGGCGGCACCGGCCGCCAGGCCTCTCCAATAATAAGTAGAATCATCATCATCGTCAGCATCATCGTCATCATCAGCATCACCTTTCTCATCAGCATCATCATCACCACCACCCTCCTCCTCCTCATCATCATAACCCTCGTCCTCGTGCTCGTCTTCGTCGTCCTCCTCCTCTTCCTCCTCTTCCTCCTCCTCCCCCATGGTCGCGAGATTCGCAGGTTACTTCCCGAAGAGGGGCCCGGCATGGCTCCCGCCCTGTAGGCTAAATATCCACTTTCGGAGAACGGGCATGTGCTCATCATATGATGGAGCCTTGCAGGTGACAAAAGGAGAACGCCTGTCGGAACGACCGAGGACATCCCGACTGGAAAAGACAGTAACGAAAAGACACATGCTGAAAGCCTGCGGGTGAAGAGCCATACGCAGCAGTAACGGGGGAGAGAGGACAGCAGCACTCAGAAAGAGACAGTGCAGTAAAGGAGAGGAACGACGAGAGAGAGGGAGAAGAGCGAGAAAAAGAGAGAGATGATGAGACGAGATGAGGAGAAAGGAGAGACGACCGAGGAGAAGGGAGAGAGACGGCAACAGAGAGGAGAGATGAGGAGATGAGACGAGAAGAGAGGGGGAGAAAAGTGAGGAGAGGAGTGAGGAGGCAAGCCAGGTGCGCTCGAGCCATATCCTACATACAAAACAACAAGCACCTCTGGCTTATCCTGTGTTTTTTTCTGGAAATGATTTGTTCATTTTCTTCGGTACGTCTTCATTTTGCCAAACCAAAAAACACGCGGAGGGGAGTGGCGCGTCTCGCAGCACGTCTTGGGGGAGACGAGGAGCGCAGCACCCACGTCCCCAAGCAATTCGTGCACCCAGGGGCTCTTCTTGTGCTTTGCGACTCTGAGGCGTTGGACAAACCTCCCTCTGGTAAACCTTCCCTTAGTCAAAACGGCCTGGGACCGAAACCGACGGACTTGGACCCGCAAAAATGACGGCCGCGACGCCCCCTCGCGAACCGAAAACGGCCAATTCGCTAATCGACGTGTCGGGGTAGGAGGTCTGTCCACCCCCGACACAGGAAACCTCCTACAAAGAAGGGAGGAAGAGAAGGAAAGGGGGGGGGGGAGGAGGAGGAGGAGGAGGAGGAGGAGGAGGAGGAGGAGGGGAGGAGGAGGAGGAGGAGGAGGAGGAGAGGAGGAGGAGGTCTGTCCACCCCCGACTCTCCGGCGTTGGAGGCGTGTCCCGAGGACTCGCCGCGCCGCGGCTTCTTGCCGCCCCGGTGCCGCCCGCCCGCTGCCGCCCTGCGGGAGGAGGAGGGGGAGGAGATGAGGCGGAGGCGGAGGCGGAGGCGGAGGAGGAGGAGGGAGGATGAGGAGGCGGAGGGCGGGAGGAGAGGAGGAGAGGAGGAGAGGAGAGGAGGCGGAGAGGAGGAGGAAGGGAGGAGGAGGAAGGAAAGGAGGAGGAGGAGGGGAGGGGAGGAGGAGGAAGGAGGGAGGAGGAGGAAGAAGGCGCGAAGGAAGGAGAGGAGGAGGAGGCGGAGGAGGAGGAGGAGGAGGAGAGGAGGAGATAGAGGAGACGGAGGAGGAGGAGGAGGAAGAGGAGGAGGAGGAGGAGGAGAAGAAGGCGGAGACGAAGGAGGTGTCCTGGGGCTTCGCCACGCTCCGGCCCGTGGCCGCCCGTGGCCGGCCGCTGCCGCTCACGGCGCGGGGCCCACCTGGCGAGGCGCCGCCCGTGGACGCCTCGCTGCCGCCTCTCCGCGCGCCTACTGCACCACACGGCTTGCACATCGTGGAACTTGCACCACCGAGCCTGCACATCCACAGTGCAGGAAGTTCCTGTTTGGGGTCCAAGCCGGCTGAAACTGGGCAAGTGGGGAGGAGGGGAGATGCAGGCGCGGGGGGCAGTGGGATGAAGAGGAGGGAGGAGGAAATAGACAAAGGTGAGCAATGGCATGAGACCGGGAATCAAAAAGGCACCAATGCAGCTGATCTGGGGACCTCCTCGGGGCTCTTTCTGACCAAGCTTCCGCGGCGAACCCAGCCGCAGCGACGAGGGCCGTCGACGAAGGGGCAGCGGCATCGGTATAGTGTCCCCCTCTGAGAAGAGGGGGAGGGGGAGGAGGAGGAGGAGGAGGAGGAGGAGGAGGAGGAGGAGGAGGAGGAGGAGGAAGAGAAGGAGGAGGAGGAAGAGGAGGAGGAGGAGGAGAACGACGACGACGAAGACGAGGAGGGTGGAGGAGGAGGTGCAGCAGGAGAGGGGAGAGGAGAAGGGATGCGGGAGGAGCAGAAGCGGCGACGCCGAAGGCAAAGCCTCGGCAAAGCCTCGGCAAAGCCTCAGATCTGGAGCTGCAAACCACAATGCGACATCGCGATACCAATCACGACTGGAGCCCTGCAGACCCTACCCTGATCGCTCTGTGAGGGTCCCGGGCCTCGAAGCCAGGCGAAAACGCCCCCTGTAAAAATTGCAACGCCAGGAAATCAGGGAGCACCGACGGACGGGCGGCCCCGGTCCCCTGGGCCTCCACGTGCACCCCGATCCACGGGAAGCTGCGCGTCAGCACCCCGAGCGGCGCGCGGCCAGGAACGGTTCCCAGCGCGTGGACGGCCATGGCCACCTGCCCCCGAGGCGGGCGGCTGGCCGCTCCATTCCCCCGCGAGGCCTTCACCTCCTCCTCCGCTCCCTCCCTCCTTCTCCCCCTCCCCCTCCCCCTCCCCCTCCCCCTCCCCCTCCTCCCCCTCCCCCTCCCCCTCCCCCTCCCCCCCTCTCCCCCCTCCTCCTCCTCCTCCTCCTCCTCCTCCTCCTTCCTCCTCCTCCTCCTCCCCTCCTCCTCCTCCTCCTCCTCCTCGCCTCCTCTCCTCCTCCTCACCCTCCTCCTCCTCCTCCTCCTCCTCCTCCTCCTCCTCCTCCTCATCCTCCTCATCCTCATCCTCATCCTCATCCTCATCCTCATCCTCATCCTCATCCTCCATCTCCTCATCATCCTCCTCATCATCCACCACCTCCTCATCATCAGCATCCCCTGCCTCTCTTCCTCCCTCCCCGCCTGCTCCTCCATCTCTTCATTTCTCCCTCCCTTCCTCCCTCATTCCTCCGTCTCTCCGTCCCTCCCTGCCTCATCCTCCTCCTCCGTGTGTGCAGCAGCTGCCGGGAAACGCTCTCTGCCAGGCCGCTCGCGGTGCTCCGCTGCGGCACGGGAGATAAGATGTATGCACATCCATGCCTGCCCACTCTCACTCACACACCCGCTTTAACTCCAACAAACCAGCTGATTAGATGGTTTTGAACCAACACGACTGCGGAGCGAACCCCCGCATCACAATCTCTAACAGTTCCTTTCCAAGGGATATGTACTATGCACTGATACACTCCTCCTCGGCCAGTCGCTCCTTGCGGCGCCGCCGATACACCAGTGCACCAAGCCGAAATCAGGCGTCTTCGCGCCTATACACACAGTTATAATACTCTCTAGGCCGGCCACCGGCCCAAGTCGTGCTTACACAGCCGCCCTAAGAGACAGCTCACTCCTGCCCTGCATGATCACGAACCCGCACCGGTCCATGAAGAAATCGATCGCATCGCCGCTGAGATGCTTCGTCATCATGTCAGCTGTGTTGAGCTCGCCCGGCACCTTGATGAGCCTCGCCAACCTCTCGTGGTAGATGGCCTGCACCCACAGGTACTGGGTGTGTAGGTGCCGCACCTTGCCAGCACCAAGCCTGAGCGCCATGCCGCGCCCGGCTGTCGCATCCGTCTCGACGACCAGGCCCTTCTTCATGCCGTAGTCGCTGCACATACTCTGAGCGCCCAGGCCGACGCTCGTTCCTCGGACGATCGCGTAGAACTCCGACTCGCCGCTCGACAAGGCAATCACCGTCTGAGTGTTGGCGGTCGCCTTGAGCAGATGAGCACCGTGGTACAGGGCAATGCCCGATGTGCCCCTCCGTGTTATCACACAGCCCGCATGGTCCGAATCACAGGCTACCTTGATCACTTCTGGCTCGTCTTGCTGAACGAACCGCTGCACCATCCTCGGCCGGCGTAGCAAGTACCGCCCGATACGCTTCACCATCTCCATGGCTACCTGGGTCGGCTTGCTCATCCACCTGGCCGCTTCCTTCGCCGCGAAGAGCAGGTCGATCCTGTCCATCGCGAGGTAGTTGATACGCATACACACGCTCCTGAACAGCGCCGCGTCCGCAGCACCGAGTGGAGGAGATTCGGTCAGCTCCTCCGCCGTTCTCTTGATCCCTGGCGATGTCACCGCCTTGCTGCCCTTATCCAGGTTGAGCTTCAGCTGGGTCGTGACGATCTCGACGTGGCGGGCGTCTGCTTCCCATTCCAAACAGGGGATGCCGGCCTCGGTCTTGTTCAGCCTGACAATCCTGTTGAGCAGCGTGATCTCCCGCAAGTCGCCTTCGTCCCAGCCAAGAACTCCTCGAACCTTCACCAGCAGCCGCTTAGACAGCTCGGTCTTGAACCACTCCAGGGCGTCATCGTCGCCCTCGCTCACGAAGTCGCCCCCGCGGTAGAACAGCAGGATGTCCATCTCGTCGTGCCGACACAGGCACGGGCTGAACACCCCAATCTTGAAACCCATCTCGCGCAGCACCTCCATCACCTTGTCGGCAAAGTTGGCCGCTGCGTCTCGCGTGCCGTACATGCTCTTGAGCAGCAGCGCGCAATATCCTTCTCGGCGTCGCTCAGCAGGAAGCTGTACGAACACTCGTCGGCGTGCAGGACTGTGGAAGTGTGCCCGGCTGATGTCAATGAACATTAGCTTGCGCTTCCTGCAGTCGCCTCGCTTCCGACTCATCATTCTGCTGAACAGCATCTTGACCCCTTCCTGTGGCGGTGTCGCCGAGAACACGTCGTCTCTGAAAATCCCTGCCTTCTGCTGCGCGCTCTTCAGCTCCTTCGCGACCAGCCTGCACCGCATCTCCGGTCGAGCCTCGTCGCCCTTGTTGATGTCTACCCACTTGACCGGGATAGGCTTCGCCTTGGTCTCCTCCCAGCAGAGGGACTCTGGGACCTCCTGGAGCACCTTCATGTCGTCCATGTACTTGAGCTCCTCCTCCCGGCCGGCCCGCACCATCTTCGCGTCCAGCAGCTGGCCCGAGATGTTATCGCGGAACTCCTCGTACTCCTCCATGTCCCAGTCCACGGCGTCCTCCTCGCAGGTGACGCCCACGGTGAACGCGCTCAGGTCGCCGTTGATCCTCAGCTGAGCCGTCAGGCCCCTGAGGATAGCCGCTACTAGGGCCGGCGGGTAGTTCTGCGCAGGCCGCGTCCTCGCACTGCCGACCAGCGGGACATGAACATGCCACTCGCTCTTGGGCAGGCTCTCGTTCTCGCACCTGCGGGATACCTCCCCCAGGGTGCACGGCGAGTTGCTCAACCAGCCGGTGGGCATGAGGACCAGCCCCATCTCGCCGTCGTAGTCGACCGTCTGCTGGCCCCAGCAGCACTGGTGTCCCGTCACGCGTGAGACACCCTCCATCTCCATCAGCTCGGCCATGAAGTCCAGCTTCCAGCTCCACGCTTGGTCTGGATGCTCGTGCAGGAAGTAGCGTCCCTCCCGCACCTGCTTCTTGCACTGCTTCACGCAGAATCGAAGGTGCCTGATACCCTCGATGACCTTCCGCTCGTACTCCTCTGGGTCGCGATCCTTGTTCAGGTTCATGATGGCACTGAACGCCCTGCACGTTGGCGACCCGATCAGGACGTACGGCTTCTCGTAGTCGATGATATCCTCGCACAGCGCCTGCCGGTCTGGGTCCGACAGGTCCCACTGCACCCCGTTCTCGTCTGTCAGGCGTAGGTCGAACGCGTGCCCCGGGTTGAGGCCGAACGACTCCGCCCTGCCGGTGAACTTGCCCGGCCCGAACAGCTCCGTCACGTGCACGCCGAAGAATCCCAGGTCCCTCACGAGGCCCTTGACCTCCTCCAGCAGGTTGGCGTCCATGGTCTCCTTGACGCCCGGCGGGTCCTGGCTCTCGGCCTGCCGCTTCAGGTTCGTCCGCGAACTCTCGTCCATCGCCTCTTGCGGCTCTGGCGCCGCTCGGGTCTCGACCCGCATCTTCGCGTCAGATCCCGAGCTCCTGTTGTAGATACCACCTCCGAGCGCAGCGTGGATCATTGCGCTCGACGCCGATATATCTCGATCAGCTCGAGCAGGTTGTGCTTGCCCAGCTGCTGCTCCTGCTGCGGTCGATTTAGCAGCCGAAGCGGGTGCGCCACTGCTGCCTCCTCCGACCGCCTCCTCCGTGTCGACCGCCTGCTTCTCAGCCGGCCGTTTGACTCCTTGCCGCTCCTCGGCTATCCTTACTCGCTTACTCATCTCGAAGTCCTCCTCCATGAGCTTCGTGATCCTTGCCCTGCAGGCCTCACTGTGGCTGCGGGCCGGGAGTCCCAGGGCGTAGCTCTCGCAGCCGACGCACCCCTCGGTCCTCCCGAACTTCTTGATCTCTACCTCGTTGCGGATGTAGACACGCCTCGGTCCAGGAACACCTCCTGCACCGGTCCCCGGCCGCAATGCCCGCGGCGCGACTGGCAGAGGCGCCTCGTCGGACGCCTTCGTGATCGGGAATCGCGCCGCCGGCGCATCCTCCCCGTCCTTGACAGCACCTGGCACTGGCCGCCATGGTGTGCCCTGCAGCTTCTTCAGCAGCTCGCCGTTGTAGCGGCCGCCCCCGGCCTTCCGCTTGACAGCCCTGGCCCTGACCACGCCCAGCTCCAAGCCGATATACAGCTCCTGGCTCTTCAGCTGCACGCCCAGGTAGATGCCCGTCAACCACTTGGCGTCCAGCTTATTCTTGTGGCCCCTATTCCTGTCCGCCGGCAGGTAGTGCACCGTCTCGGCGAACGGTGGGAGCTCCTTGCGGTACTTCTTTCCGCGGATCCTCTCATACGCCGTGCGCCCATCTGCGCCGACGTCGAACAGGCTGATCACCACGCCTGCGTAGTTGATGAGCCACGGCACGATCGCGTGGTCATGCCCGATCTTGATGTCGCACTGGCGCTCCACCGCCAGCTTCAGGGTCCGCACGATACCGCTCACGGACTGCACCGCCCGCTCGATCGTGCCGTTGGCCTGGTGTTCCTCCACCGGGCTCTCCTCCTTCACGATCTTGGAGTTCTCGCCCAGCGCCTCGATGACCTTATTCTTCAGGTCCATGATCGAGGCCTCCTGGTCGCTCTTGAAGATGAAGTGCTTCACCCCCGTGTACTCGATGGCCTCCGCCACCCACTTGATGATCCAGACATCCTTCGTGCCCTTGCTCGTCACGGCGATCGATACTGTCCATCGCCCTTTGTGTTCCCGCAGCACCAGTGTAGGTTCTGCTCGCTCGTCGTCTCCCCCAAAGAACGTGTAGTCGATGGAGATCGTGTTGACCAGATGCTCTCGCTCGGCGTCCAGTCGCTTATGATCAGCATTACGGCCGCGTCCTCCCACGCAGTCGCCGCACCATGCCCTGAACTGCACGTGCCCTGCCGCCTCGTGCGCCTCGCGCTCGGCCATCGTCGGCTCGAACGGTCGTGGGACCACCGTGACCGGTGGGTCGCCCATATCGTCATCCTCCTCGTCCTCCAGCTGGGCCTCCACGGGTTCCGCCGCTGCCGGCGCTGCCGAAGAGCTCCCGCCTCCAGTACTCGGTCTGACTGCCGCGCAGGCCGGCTGTTTCCCGACACTGCGCTGAGGTCCGGAGCCGACCGCTCCTGACCAGTGACCTTCTTCAGCTTGATCGTGTATACTCCACGTCGTAGGTGGATCGGCAGCCTCCTGCCGCTCGCGATGTGCTTCAGGTAGCACTCCCTCGGCCCGAAGTAAACCTCGTGGCCCTTCGCCACAAGCTTCGACACCGCCAGCAGCATGCGGTGCACTCCAGTCGATGTGCATCGCAGTCTCCTCGTGCTGCCGTCCTCCGTCATGACCTCGATGACCTTCTCGCCCTCGTCCTGCACCAGCTGCCCGTTGGCCGCCCGGTAGCTCGTGCCCATCTCGCTGGACACCGTCGGCCTCGTCCTCACCTCCGGGAACCAGGTGTTCGGGACGACGCTCTCTGCCGCGCCGGAGTCCACAGCCGCGTAGAAGAACTCCTCCGCTACGTCGTCTACCGCATTCAGCTCCAGGGTGCACAGGTCCAGCCCGCCGATGTTGCCCGGCTGCTCGGTCTCTGGCTCCTGCTTGTCGTTCGTCTCCAGGCTGTGGGCCCCACGCTTCGCTGGTTGCTGCTGCCCACGAGACGTTGGGCAGTCCTGACGCTTGTGTCCCCAGCCCCAGCACAGCGAGCAGTAGCCTTGGAACTCTTGTTGCTGCTGCTTGTCTGGCTGACCTCCAGGTCGCGGCCGAGACGAGTAGGGTGGAGGCGGCCGGTCCTTGAACTTCCCCTTGCCCTTCTTGCCTTTGCCGCCCTTGCCGTCGCCCTTGCTGCTGCTCTTGCCGCCGCCCTTCGGGCGTTGAGGACTCTTGTGGGCGCCACCGCCCGGTGCCCAGCAGTCGACCTTCTTGTGTCCCTTCTTCCCGCAGTTGTTGCAGGTAATGTCCTTCTGGCCGAGGCTCCCGACGTCCATGGGCGAGGCCATCTCGTTCACCTTCGACTCTAAGTAGCTCTGGATCTCCTCCCGCACGCTCATGTAGGTCTTCATCTTGTTCGCGTTGAGCGCCAGGTGGTCCCTCAACGCGCCCTTCGTCATGCTGACGAGCACCTGCGCCTTGATGTCCTCCTGCATCGGTTGGCCAGCTCGCCTCTCGTAGACTCGAAGCCTCTCCTCCCACTTGGCGATGTGGCTGTTTAACTGTGGAGCATCGACCGCCCCTGGCTGGATCAGCGAGCCCAGGATGTTCCGCCTCCTGCCCGCTCCTTGCGGATCGAACCTCCGAGACACCACTCGCCACGCCTCGAAGCCGTCGTTGTCCTTCGTCGCCTGCACCAGGTCCAAGGCTTCGCCATCCGTGAGCTGCGCCAACACTGTGTACAGCTGCCTGCCAATCATCCTTAAGTCCGCATCCTCGTTCTCGTGCGTGAAGATCTCCCTGATATCGTCCAGGTTGTCCTGTGTCAGCGCTTCCTCCTGGTCCTGAACGTAGTCCAAGGCCTCCTTGATGCCGCTGACAACGCCCTCCATGAAGTTCTGCAGCTTGAACGCCCATGAACTCCAAGACTTCATGTCGCTGTTGTAGACGCTCGGCTTGCCGATTCCCTTCACGTCCACCAGTTGAACTCGTCTCTTGGTCGAGTCTCTCTCCGTGATGATTGTCTGCTGCAGCCTCGTCATCGCCTCCAGATCTTGCATCCGTTGGGCCTGTACTGCATTCACTAGGTCTCGTTGCCTCGTCAGCTCCGCCGTCAAGTCTCTCACCTGCACGGTCAGCAGCTCCAGTTGTTGCTCGGGCGTGCTCATCACTTCGACAGAGTGAGGCACTCACGGAGTCGTCCTCGCAGCTCTCGGGTGCCCAGCCGTTGAAGAAACTGTCCGATGTAGCCCCAGTAGCGCTGCAATCTCCGCACTCGCCAGAGCTGCTCGCACACAATCCACCAACGTTCTCGTATCGACAGGTTCCTCCTGCTGCGCCGCACCACAAGCCAATCAGCCTTACCACAAGGTTCTTCGTCGCTACTATCTTGGCGCCACGCGCCGGAAGACGTAGTGGTAGATGGAACGGTGCGGTCGCCGGATCGTATTGAACCAGCTCCTGCTACCATGATTATATGGTTTTGTACCAACACGACTGCGGAGCGAACCCCCGCATCACAATCTCTAACAGTTCCTTTCCAAGGGATATGTACTATGCACTGATACACCAGCAACACACACACACACACGTAGACCAAATTTCGGACAATGAGGAGGTCGGGGATGATGGGTGCAACACTCGGGTTTCGATGGCTTCACGTTGGATGACCCAACATGTAGCATCGAAGTAAAAGTCGAACTGCATCCCATATAAGTAGCCCACCATCTACGTACTGCGAATGCGATTGATCTTCACCATCACGATTGTAAGCATACTACATTTTATAGAAAGAATTCGTTTTCTAAGAATTGGCGTCGGCAAGCCCCCGGCCAATCCCAGCCAACCCTTATGAACAACGCAATGCCAACTCATGCGACGACGGACCCGGCCAACATTCCTGGCCAACCTCCGGAGATCGGGCCAACCCTCCCGGCCAACCCCCTCCGGCAAACCCTGGTTAGACCAGTTCTTTCCATAACATATAGTACTCCTTTCTACAACCATGTCAACGATCGGCCATCTGAGATGTGCAACAATATAGCTGACACATGTATACGTGTGAATATATTTGTGTTTATGTATATAGTGTATGAGCACAGAGACCGAGGGAGCTAACTTGACATAGTCCCTCACTCCGCCACCCCACTTCTGCTCCATCCCTCCTCCTCCTACTCCTCCTCCTCCTCCATTTCCTCCTCCTGCCTCACGCAACATCCTCCTCCTTCCTCACGCCTCCTCGTCCTCCTCCTCCTCCTCCCCTCCCCCTGAAGCCATAGACAAACCAAAGCCCTGCGGGCACCGGGAACATGATGACCGCGGAGCCGTTGACGGCGATGCGGATGAAGAAGCCGGTGATGGCGGACACGCTGGCACCGCGAAGGATGCGAAGGCGGAGAGGGCCCTCCTCCACGGAGCTTGGGCTCGACGTATACACCAAGTCGTCTGGCAGGCCAAGGGGCTCGACGTATAGACGCCCCAGCCTCCCAGCCTGTGGGATGCTGGAGTGTCTATGCACCGAAATCCTTCGCCGAACTCGGTAACTCCCAAGGCAGACCAAACGGCATGGTGTACACAGCGAGCCCCTCCGAGTTCACTCGATGGGGGGGGGCGGAGGTGGAAGGGAGAGCGCGAGCACACCAAAGTCAACCCACTGGCCTGCTGGATCATCGGACGAGCTCGCGCTACCACCAGAGCAGTGGAGCAGAGTTTGTAGAATCGGGAAAGCCGACAAGGACCTGAGTGCATCTCCCCCTCCCCAGAAGGCCAGAATGCAAAATAACTGGCACGACTCACAAGAGTGTGTGACCATCGCCCTGGGGCTGAACGTGCTGGTTCACCGTGATTCTGGCGCCCAGACTCTAGTCAGCTCGTCCACGTATCCCGTCTTCCCACTTGCCCCCCTTCTTCCATCTAGCTCCGAATTTCGACAGAAACGGCGCGGCAAGGAACCCAGGGTCTGGAAGCCAGTGGGAGTCCAATTGCGGATTGGCCATGGACAACACTGAAGCCTCCTGGGCACATTCCTTAAACGCGTGCCCCCGCCGTGGCCAGGGGCGCGGACGAGATTCATGCCCATCAGAGTGAGGGGGCGAACGGTCTTGCACCATCCCTGGGTGCGTGGGTGAAATGGGAGTCGCTGGCACAGTATGCTTGTGTTATTGCTGATGTTGTTGATGTTGTTGTTGATGATGATGATGTTGTTGTTCATATTGTTGTTGTTGAGCTCCCATTTCTAAATATCGATTATTGTTGTTCCCGCCCCTCCGTTCACTACTGCATTTCTTGGATTAAAGTGCTCCTTCCAGGGGCTCGCCCCCTGTTTCTTTGCAATGGCCAGCGTGGGGTCACCAAACTGGGTTGTTGCCCCCCGGTTTACAACAACGGCTACCGCCTGCGAGCCCCAGGGGGCGCACTTCCATTGAAAAAACACGGCGGCCACCGGACGGGGGGCGGGATCAACCATGATCCTTCTTCAGTAGCGAGAGCTCAAAACCAACAACGGCTCCCGCCGGATACGTCCTCACAGTGTATCCCGAAATCGCGCGCTCGCGCTGGAGCTCCGCAGAGATTCGCGCAGGCGTCGTGCCTTCGCGTGGGACTCGACGCCGCACGCCGCCATTCCGACGCCGCACGCTCGACCCTCCGGGATCACGCTCCCTCTGTCTGTGGAATTGCCTCTCCATGTCCTTGGGCATGGCGCTGTCGCTCAAGAGCTCCTCGCGCTGTTCACGCAGGACGCACGCGCGCCAGCCTCCCGCCCCTATTTCCCCTATTCTCTTGGGGATCGACGACCACTTCTGTCTGCGTGCTTTTGCCCCTCCGGCGCGAAGATCTCCGGGCGCGCGGCAGCGAGACCGGAGACCAGCAGGAAGGCCAGCGACGCCTTGCCGACGAGGGCCAGCTTCCGCGCCAGGGCCGCAGCCACCGACCGGCTCTCCGCGGGGCCCCCGTCCTGGGCGCGGCGCCGCTCTCTGTCGCGCGGGGGGAGAGCGGGAGGCAAGGGCAGCCGGAGCAGCGAGCGAGGCAGGGCGAGCGCCGCAGGTGCGGACAGCCGCCCGGGCCTGTCTGAGACCGGGCGGGGGAGGCCTCAGGAATCATCCACGGGCCGTGCCGCGCGAAACACACCCCCACACACCCACACCCACACACACACCCACACACACACACACACACACACACACACACGCACACGCACGCACGCACGCACACACACACACACACACACACACACACACACACGCACACACACACACACCACACACACACACGCACGCACGCACGCACGCACGCACGCACACGCACACGCACACGCACACGCACACGCACACGCACACGCACACGCGCACGCACACGCACACGCAAAATAGCTTCGAGAACTATAGGGCAGAGCGAAGGGGAGCCAGAGCGGGAGAAAGCAGGAGGTGAGGAGTGACAGTACCCTGGGGTCGGCGCGTGTCCCCGATGCGCCGGAGCTCGGCCGAGAAAGATTGGCGGCATGGGCTGGTGACCGAGGATGCGCTCGAGGACGAGTTCGGCGAGGCTGGGTCGGCGGCTGCATCGCGTTTCGTTCTGCTGCAAGCGTCGAATGCGAGGAGGAAAGCGAGGAGGAGGAGGAGGAGCAGGACGAGGAGGATGAACAGATGCTTCCCAGATGGGGCCCGACCAGACGGGGCTGGAGGATGGCCCCACATCGCAGATGCCCCGCCGGAGCCTCGGCGACGTCGGCGGTGCATCGGCGACGCCAGCGCGACATCGAGCCTCCTCGGCGATACGGCGCGATCCGACCCCATCTGCTCGAAACCCGTCTAGGAGGCTAGAATGAACGGAGGGTTCTATTGGCCGCCCGCTCGCCGCCCGCTCAACAGGAGCTCGTCTCGTGCCGATGGCTGGAAGATGTGCTGTGCTGCCACATGTGCAGACAGGCTGTGAGGGTTGGCCACAACCACCGAGGGGCACTGCTCCCCCGACGTGGTGGGGGCGCCTCCCGCAGGTACAGTGCCTCGCGAGGAGGAGGAGGAGGAGGAGGAGGAGGAGGAGGAGGAGGAGGAGGAGAGGGAGGAGGGAACACGAGGAGGGAAGGACGGGAGGAGGTCCCCGTCTCCCACCCTCAAGAGGGAGTACCGGCCAAACCCTAGAGAAAGGAGGCGGCCACGCAACGGACTCGCGCAGCGCACTCTCCATCGTATAAAAGAAAGGCCCGTACCAGACTGCCACCTTCCCAAATCAGTGCGGCAGACACCTCCAGAAGCTGGAAGCACACGCGGCTGTACTCACGCGCGTGAACAGCGGAGGTCATGTGCGGGATGCAGATGCAGAGGGCCAGCCTACCCAGCTGGAAAGACATGGGGCCAAATGGGTTATTCAGCTCTCGCCCAGTACATCCTCGCCATGTGGATCCAGCTTCCTGGCACTATCAGGGGGGAGAAGGAGATATCCGACCCGTCGCACATGGAGCTCCAACGAAGCCCTGCTTGCACAGTAGACTGCGTTGCTGACTCTGAGAGGCCTCGCGAGCCACCGAATTAATCCGCCCACAGGTACTCCACGACGTCAACGAGCAAGCTAACATATGGTCGCATCGTAGAAATGTGTATCAGACGCGGCTCGCACTGCACAATAGGGCAAGATTTACATAGATGTCTGACGTCATTGCTCTGAATGGACTGCTCAAACGTCTTCCTCATCGCACTTGTTTTGAAACTGCACGCGTACTGCTGCGACTGCTGCCCTCCGCAAATTTCAGACCCTGCCCCAGGCCCACGCAGGGGAGACGTGGGCGAGACATGAGCCCGAAGCCCGGAGATACAAACGGCAGGCTCGCGCCACGTCAACCCCAGAGCTAAGCTCCTGACACCGCGGAGATCGTCCAGACTCGAGCGCCAGATCGTTCAACGATGGGGCGGTTCTGGGCCACGGGCGGCGTTCAACCTTCAACGCCCGGGCTGCGGTCGCCGAAGGTCGACACGACGCGAACCCAACGAACAGGATGCGTCCTCCACCTGCTCCTCCGACCAGGCCCACGACTCGATGTCGCCGCCGCCAAGAGGATCAGCCCGCTTCAGGTAGCCGCGCGACCTCGATGTGGGCAGAGTGCCAGAATCACAGCTGACAGCATCGTTCCATCGCTGCAGCTCCACGAAACGAGGAGGAGCAAACGCCGACGACAGACACGGCAGGGGAGCTCACAGTCTATCGCAACATATGTATGTACATACATCTATATATATACACATACATACAGACGCCCACCATTACTCAGAGCCAACAATGCAGAATGGCTTCTCCGTGCTCCTGTATTCAGCCAGCACGGCTAGATGGCTGGACTTGCAACTACCTCCCAAACGAACAAGCAGATCTATACATATGCACACACGCATACCTCTCTATATATACACACAGAAAAACGCATATCTATATATATATATATATATTCACAAAAGATATATACACATACACACACCAAATGTGCCCTGTTATGAAAGCACGGCGACAAGCCCAGAAAAAGGAGGTCGTCGTCGTCGCACGAAGACGACGACGTCGACGACGACGACGTCGACCACGACGACGACGTTCGTGACTTCGGAAGGCTGTAATGGTCAGAATCTCAGACAGCTCATATCCAATGAAGGGGAGGGGAACGGAGAGAGAATGGGAGGGGGGAGGAGGGGTGGGAGGGAGGAGGGGCTCCAGGACCAATTCCCCCCCGGAGTATATATATATATATATATATATACATAGATATGTGTAAATATACATATAGATGCATACACACAAACACATATGTGCATATATATATATGATTCGGGGAAAATTTCTCTTATTGAAACATACTGTTGCGTTTTGTCCGCCGCGTCTACATCATCTTGTAGGAGCTCGTGGTGGCCCGTTTCCTGTGACAAATAAACGCCAAGAAAAAACAAATCGAGAAGGGACGAGGAGGAGAGTAGTAGTAGTAGTAGTAGTAGTAGTAGTAGTAGTAGTAGTAGTAGTAGTAGTAGTAGTAGTAGTAGTGGTAGTAGTAGTAGTAGTAGTAGAAGTAGAAGTAGTAGTAGTAGTAGTAGTACTGGTAGTAGTACTAGTAGTAGCACTAGTAGTAGTAGTAGTAGTACTAGTAGTAGCAGTAGTAGTAGTAGTAGTAGTCGTAGTAGTAGTCGTAGTAGTAGTAGCAGTAGTAGTAGTAGTAGTTAGTAGTAGTAGTAGTAGTAGTAGTAGTAGTAGCAGTAGTAGTAGTAGTAGGAGTAGTAGTAGTAGTAATGGTAGTAATGGCAGTAGTAATAGTCGTAGTAGTATTAGTAGTAGTAGTAGTAGTCGTAGTAGTAGTAGTAGTAGTAGCAGTAGTAGTAGTATAAGTAGTAGTAGTAGTCGTAGTAGTAGTAGCAATAATATTGATAATAGTAGTAATAGTCGTCGTAGCCGTCGAAGTTGTGATAGTACTACTACTACTACTAGTACTACGGGTACTACTGGCGCAAGCAGTAGAAATAGAAGCGGAAGCAGTAGTGGTGCAAACAATTGCAAAATTACCAACAATGGATGACTTAGTAGTAGTCGTAATGGTAGTAGGAGTAGTAGCACCACTAGTAATAGCAGTAGTAGTAACAATAAGAATAGTAGTATAATCGGTTCTAGTATAGGAAGCAGTTATAATAGAAGTAATAATATTTCTAGTGGTGGTAATCGTAGTAGGCGTAGCAGTACTAGTAGAACTAGTAGTAATAGTAGCAGAAGTAGTAGTAGACGTCGTTGTCGTCGTAGCTGCACTAAGAAATAAAAGCAATAGTACTAGTAGTAGTAGTCGCACTGGCGATGGCACTAGTAGTAGTAGTAATAGTAGTAGTAATAGTAGAAGAACTGGTAGTAGCAATAACAATGGCAAATCAGATATAATAGTAGTGGTCGTCGTTGTAGTAGTCGTCGCCGCCGTATAAGTAGTAGTAATAGTAGTACCCGTAGTAGTAATGATAATAATGAAAGGTACACTTAAAATAGTAGAAGTAGAAGTTGTGGTAATCGCCGTCGTCGTAGTAGTAGTAATGCAAGTAGTAGTAGTAGTAGTAGTAGTAGTAGTAGTAGTAGTAGTAGTAGTAGGAGTAGTAGTAGTAATAGTAGTAGTAGTAGTAGTAGCAGTAGCAATATCAATCTTATTGGTAATAATCAAAATAATAATCGTAGTCGTCGTCGTAGTCGTACTCGTCGTAGTAAGCATAAAAACAATGCTATCGATAGTAACAATGATACTAGAAGTCGTACTAGAAGTAGTACTCGTAGTCGTAATACTTTTAATAGTAGTAATAATAAAAGTAACACAAGTAGTAGCCACCATACTGGAGAACAGACAATAGCCCTGCCACACTAGGCAAACGCGTTCCACGACTCGCGAAGTCACTACTCGTAAATGACCTGGATCCGCCGTGGGGGATTCAGGATATAGTACATTGAGGCGAACGTGGGCATTTTCGGACGTTTGCGAATAGGCACTGTGCATATAGTGGAACGCGCTCGGTGACAGACACTCGTGACTCGGTGATGTTGAAGTGGTGAGAATATCATAGATTCCTGCCGCACGTTCCTGACTGAAGTAAGCTGAAAGGGTAAGAACCCCTCAGCCCTGCCACACGTTCGTGATGATGTTGCGACTCAACATGGGAAGATAACAACTTCGATTCGCAAATTTCCCCCGCGAAAGTGAAGTTCGGCCTCGCCGCCCCTCTCCCTTGACCGACGCTGTCCTGGCCGGAGAGAATCAGCTCTCAACGGCGAAGGGGGGGTCTGATTTATTATCCAGGGCTCGGGATCACCCTCGAGGACGGACGGTTGCAACCCTGTGCCGCGAAGGCTGGCATTGCAGTGGCATTGCGAAGGCGAAGGCTGGCAAAATATCATGGCGGATCTCACCGGGTCCGCCAGCGGTCCCATCCCCACCCCTCGTCACCCCGTCCAGGTGCGCCTCCGCCCATCGCCCGCAGCCCCAGGAGGAACGACGTCGTCGAGAGGCCAAGGCGGGCAGGCAGGCCAAGGCTGCGGCGACGTCAGCCTGGCCGGAACGGCGGCGACCGCATAGGGGCGGCGACCGTTTAGATCGCAAGCGCGCCCTGAGCGCAACACAAGCCAGAAGCAAAGCGCTGGGGTGCAGCCGCCTGCCGGGCGGTGCGTCCGCGGCTGGGAGGACAGTCATAAAACACTCTGCGATGGCGTATGCTTGCGAGCGCGGGGGGCCATGATGCTCTGGGCTCGACTAGTTGGACCGACGCGTATTTTGAGCGGCGGTCGAACGACGGCCATTGCTCTACGGACGAGCGCACGCCAACCTGTTGCCCCACGGGTGGCGCTCAGCACTGCTGTGGAGGACGCCTTCCTCTGTCACCCGCAGGCCGGCGATCAGTCCCGCTAGGGAGCCGCCTAATTGTCACCTCTAGAGCGCTGATGATCAGCAGTGGTGCGGAGCACGTCCCTCGGTCACCCGTAGGCAGGGGACCAGTCCTGCTGGGGAGCCAACCAGCCGTCACCCGTAGAGTGGCGATGAACTCGGGTTAGGGCAGGGTCCCCTGTCACCCCTCAGGCGGAACTGTGGACAAATTCCCCCTAAAACCGCCAGGGTGGCGGTCGGCTATTCTGCGGAACAAGTCCCTCGTGGCACCTCACGACGGAAACACCGGCGGCAGCGGAGGGGGTCCGCCCCGTCCATCCTGGGGGGGCGCGACCTTGCCTGCCTGAGAGCTGCCTACCCGTGTGACCCCTGGGGTGGCGAACGGGCCTGCGACGGCGCAGGTTCCACGGCGTGAATCTTACGGTGGAGTCCCGGCCTGCCGCAGAGCAGGTCTCCATGCTGCCCTGATGCGGAGCCCTCCCCCGTCACCGCCAGGATGGCGATCCCCCTCTGCGATGTAGCATGCGCATATGCCCCAACTAGGGCAGCAAGCCGTCCTGCCTTGTGGCCCCCGGTGAGTAGCCCCGGGCCCCCCATACAAAGTTGGGGAGCCAGCGGCTGACGCTACTCTGGAGAATGCCAGCCCGTCCTCTGATCAGGTGGTGAGACACGCATCATGACTCATGCCTCGTCCGGTAGAAGGCGATAGGGACTATCGTGAAGCACTCCACGCAAAACCGAATGTGTCGAACAGAGGTGGCTCTCTCGGGGTATGCTGACCACGCATACCATCCACCGACATCAGGTGCCAACAGCAGTCCCTGCACAGGCTCAGGGACCAGAAGGTTTGTCATTCAACCTTCACGAGCACCTCCACGAGGCCGTGCCTCCCCTCAAGGCCACTAGCACTACACTGCACCTCCTCCTCCTCCTCCCTCCTCCTCCTCCTCCTCCTCCTCCTCCTCCTCCTCCTCCTCATCATCATCATCATCATCATCATCATCATCATCATAATCATCATCATCATCATCATCATCATCATCATCATCATCATCATCATCATCATCCTCGCGCTCCTCCTCCTCCTCCAACTTGTCCTTCAACTCTCTTTCGTCCTCATCCTTTAACTCATCAACATCCTTCTCTTTCTCCGCTTAGTTGTGTGAGTACCATGAAAATCAACGTCCAACTCCTGC